CCACCACCTCTCTGGTCTCATTTCTTCCAGCTTCTCCATTGCACCCTGTGCTGTACCCCTCTTGCCATTTCTCAGGCATGCGGTCTTGCTCCTTTGTATTTGCCATTTTCTCTGTCTGTAGTATTCTGAGAGTTACACTGACCAGAACACCTCAGTGGTCTGCACTCTCATGCCACTTTATGGAAGTGGCCTTTCTTAGCCGTGTGCTGGGAGGCAGCACCTCCTCCCCTGCTGTTCTCCATCAGTTCACTGGATCCCGGGGTGTTCCTACCTCCCGAAATTATGCTTTCAGCATACATTTTGTATATATCCCATTTGTTGCCTGTCCCCTCTGCTGCAGGTTAAGCATCCTGGTTTTGTTTTTGTCATATCCCAGACCTTAGGAAAGTACCTGGCTCTTGTTGGGACACCTAAAATAGTTTAAGTGTAGATTTGAAGAATTGTTATCAATGATTCTCAACCTAGCTACATATTAGAACTCTATGGGAGGGGGCTTTAAAAATCTTAGAGATTTTGATCTAATTGTTCTAGAGTGGCTGCCTGGGCCATAGTTTTGTGTTTGGTGTTAAGTGTTTGTCATTTGGGTTTTATTTCATTTGGTTTTGTTTTGGGAAACAATCTCAAACTTACAGAATTTGAATCTGTATGATTTTGAAAAGCTGCTTTTTTTTCTGAGTCATTTGAAAATAAACTGCTAACCCTGTGCCCTGTTATTTGCAGCCTTTTATCAATTCCGTTGTTTTTAACAAGAACCTTATCCTGTAAACCCACTATCTCATCATCAAAGGAAAACATGGACGTTAATACAGCACCATTAATTGACCCTCCCTCCCCCAGCCAAGATAGCACACCGGTCCACAACACAGCACATTGGGTTTTGTCTCCTTGGTGGTCTTCTATTCAGAACAATCCCTCAAACTTTTCTTGACTTTCCTGGCTTGAAACTTCTGGAAGATTGCAAGCCAGTTATTTTGCAGGGTGCCTCTCAGTGTGGAATTGTGTGACAGTTGCTCGTAATGATATTCAAGTTGTACATATTTGAAAACGGTATCACGGAGGTGACCTCATATTGTTCTTACCACATCCTGTCAGGGAGCTCATGGCTTCAGTGTGTCTCAGTGCTGGTGACATTCTCATGGATTACTTCATTAAGGTGTTATCTTCCCAGCTTCTCTTCTTCTGTAGTTACTCTTTTCCTCTTTAAAATCAGTAAATATTTTATGGAGAAGTGTTTTGAAACTATGTAAATATCCCATTTCTTGTCACTTAACGATTTATTTATTTCCTTCTGTGTATAAGAATTTTGTTTTTCTAAGTTTTATGCAATAGTTTATAATCTCTTACTATTGTTACTCCTTTTGACACTTGTTTTGTCCCAGATTCAGCTTGTAGAAGCCCTTTCAAATTGTTTTCTGTGACCATTTAGCCTGTTGCTTTGCTCTTGAGTACTTCTAATCTTGTGGCAAACATATATCCCAGGTTCATCTTGGACTTTGCTTGCCCTAGCCCCAGTTGGCTTGTTTTCCCAAAGAACTCTGGTTCTTTTAGTAAATAATGGTATTTAGAAGCCCTAATCATAGGTGCTGTCAGTTTATTGCTATTTGGGTGTTACTTGTTTTGTAGCTGTCACAATGGCAAACAAGAAATAATTGTGTGTGTGTGTGTGTGTGTGTGTGTGTGTGTGTGCGCGCGCGCGCACACATGAAGGGAAATGTACATGTGCAAAGTTAAATCCATATAAATAGTTGTATTTGTCCCCATATTTCTCTCTAACTGTATTGAAAACAATGAGTTTATGCTAATAACTAACTTAGATCCTTTTAATTTATGTAATTCTTTTTTCAGTGGTGCAAAATCTGGATACTGAACTTGCTTATTGGTCATTTCTCTAACCAGTCTCCCATTCCCACCAGTCTGAAGTCCTGTTCACTCTACTTGGGCTCTAACTCAGTTCAGGGTTTTTTTAAAGCTCCCCAAATAATGCTAATACACAGCCTCGATGGAGCACCCCTGAATTAAGAGAAAAGTGAATCCCACACCATTTGAGTCATTTAAATAGCAGATTTTTAAAGTCAGGTTTGAAAAAATAAATTCTCCCTAAGGAAATAAAATATAAGAAGACTAAATTCTTTACCAGGAATTTAGTATAAAAAAAAATCAATGAAAGCATAGCCCATCTCCTGGAAAACTTTGAAAAATACTTGTTTTGAAAATAAATCCACATCCAGTGTGTATGAATTTCAATCCCTTTCCTTGGATTACCTGTTTATGGGCGAAATGTTCAGAAAGATTAGTTGTTTTTAAAGAGTATGTCAACAGCATTTTTAAAATAAACTTTTAGAATAATTTTAGACTTAGAGAAAAACGACAGCTTGGTTTTTTAAAGTGCTGAGTTTTTAGTGCAGATATCCAGGCTGTGGCTGCTCCTTTGCTGTAGCATGTTTCACTATAAAATGTGAAAGCCAAGTTGTGACAAAGAACCACATCCTGTCCTTCCGTTTGCAAGTGAAAAAGCAGGAAGCCCTTGGAGCCAAATCTAGCAAGGTCTGTGGCCAGCATACCTTAGATGGTCACCATCCATCTGGCTGGTTTCGAAACCCATTTTCAGATTGCGCACTGCTGCCAGTGAGTTTTCTCCACAAGCATCCCCCTGTACACTGCTAGAGACAGAAACTGAATCTAGAGAAACCGAGCAGAATCTCTTCCTCGACTGCATTGTAGCTGTTTTATTTTGCCTTTTTGAGACAGGGTTTCAAACTTGCAGCCCACCTGCCTGCCTCACCTCTCAAGAGCTATGATGAATGGCATGCATCACCAGGCCTAGCCCCTTGATGGTCCTTGTAAAGTTTTCATAGATGTTACTGCTATAATGTGAATTTTGCACATTAGGCTCTTGTGTATTTATGCCAGAGTACAGAGGAGAAAAATGAACATTTGTGAAAACGAAGTCTGGGGCAACCCGTAGGTAAAATGATTTTTAAGAAAATTTTATTTCTCCTGTGCATGGTCACATGTGCCTATAATCCCAGCACTCAGAAGGCTGAGGCAAGAGGATCATTGTAAATTTGAGACCAGCCTGGACTACATAGTAGGTTCAAGGCCAGCTGGAACTACATAGTGAAACCCTGTCTCAAAAAACTAAAAAGGAAAAAATGTTTGCTTATTTCCTATTGCTAAGATGTTACTTATATACTTGTAAAAGCCCACCTTGGTTTGGGGCCTCAGTTCCTTTTGTATAGGTTAAGTGTATGAAACTAGATATTTGGAGACTTGAGTCCTTTAGGAATCATCTTTGTGATTTTTGCCATTTGCAACCTTATTTCCTTAACATTTTTTCTTTTAATTCACTTAACTTCTAGGTGATGTCTGTAAAACCATGGATTGATGTGTCAGATCACTTAAAATCCTTTCTTTTTGCTGGGTAGGGGAGCACCAGGGATCAAACTCGTGGCCTCGCACTTGCCAGGCAGGCACTTACGCTGCAGAGCTAAATCCTCAGTCCCATACAATCCTAAATCCTGCAGTATCTATTTGATATGCTGGGGAATTGAGAACTAGATTTCTGACTCTTTCTTCTACCCTTGAAATTTAGTTAGCTCCATATCTGGGCTTCCTACCTTGAGCACTAAAGTTACACAGCAAGGTCTTCCCAGTGAATAGAATAAAAGGTGTTGGCATTAAAATAAATGCTAGGTTTCAAAATGTACATTAGAAATTATATTAAGATTTTAGTATATTTCTTCAACTGGAGTGTTTATTACTGTATGTTGTTTTTATATTAAGTGGGTAGCGTAAACCCTGTTAAACATAATTCATCTATACAGGAGGATTCATTGTGAATTCACCCAAAGGGAATATAATTGATTTATAGAACAGTCAGTTCCTGACTTACAAACACAGGCAGAACCACCCATGCTCTTTACTTGGAATTAGGTGAGAAGCTGAAACAGAAGGATCGCAAGTTTGAGATGATCCTGGGCAATTTAGCAATACTGTGTCTCAAACTTATAAAAAATTAAAAGGGGAGGGATAGAAGGTATAACTGAATGGTGGAATATCCATGGATTCAATCTCCAGCATTGTAAACAGATAGAAAATAGGAAATTATATTGTATTAATAAATGTAAAACAAAAATATGAAATGCAGAACAAAGACTGTTATATTTACCACCCTGAAAAGGTCATGGGCAAACAATTAAATTATATACATGTACATATTATACATATATAATAATTGAATTAATATATTCTACATTATTTGTTAGAAATACTGCCAGGAAAAAAATTACTATCAGAAGCAAACTGTCTTAGTTACTTTTCTTGATGCTGAAACAAAATATCCAACATCCACAAGAGGTTTGTTGTTACAGTTTGTAGAGATTTCAGTTCATAGTTGTCTGACTACAAGGCAAGGTGGCATGGCAGAGGGGCAGCACAGAGGAGAAATGCTTCATGACAGGCAGAAGGCAGCCAAGTAGCAAAGAAGCAGCAAGGTGGCAGGCAGTGACAGCAGCGTGCTCTTTCTGTCCCTGGCTTTTTATCCAGGCTGTCTACTTTAGGGTAGGTTACCTTTACATCCTGCGTGGGTCACTGATAACATCGCACCATACTGTAGATCTAGCCACCTCGCAAACACTGCATCTGTGACCACATGAGGCTTTGGTGGGGCATCTAGATAGATATAAGCTCTCACATCAACTGAATTTTGTCATAGTCAAATCAGATCCTTTGCTGAGTGTAGATAGTTTAATCTTATGTGTATATATTCTTCTAGGTAGTAGATCCTATAAAAATTAATAGATTTCTTTGAAACCAGACTTAATGTGACATTTTGTAAAAGGGGTAGCAGACCAAGATGTGGAAATTCCTACATGTGGGGAGTTTTATGCATCCATTTAAGTAACATACTGTGTTCTATGCAGTCACGGAGATGAATGTTGCTATGGAAATGTATTGTAAATACACATGTGTAACCTTCCGGTATGACATTGCTTTAACAGAGAGAAGGAGCAAGAAAGGGAAGAACAGTTAATGGAAGACAAGAAAAGGAAGAAAGAGGATAAAAAGAAAAAAGAAGCCACTCAGAAGGTGAGTTTAATCAAGTAGGACTGTCTTAACATCTGCCAAACACCCAGAATAAGTGACTGTCTTGCCTTGGTTACTAACATTTAATAATGCAACTTGAGAGGTTAGTTTATTTAAAAATTCAAAAGTTGAAAAAATTTAAGGTCTGCCCTTGAGATCATAAAATGGTTATTAAGATGTGACTGACCCTGTGAGAACAGCAGCAAACGGTACCGAGAAAGACAGCAGTGTTGACTCTAAATTCTTGTCCCATCTCCCTATTTGTATCATATTTCATTCTTGATTTGGGGGGATAGTACTGGGGATTTAGCCCAGGGATGCTCTACCACTCTATTACCAGTCCTTTTAAAAATTTGTTGAACAATTTTAAAGGTTTCTTCCTTTTTGCTTCCTGCCTGCCTGCTTTCCTCCCTCCTTTCCCTCCCTGCCTTCTCGCCCTCCTTTCTTCCATCCTAGTTTTGTACTGAGTTGTACCTCTTACTAAATTGCCTCGAGCTTGAAATCCTCTTGCCTCAGCCTTTCAAGTAACTGGGATTGTAGTCATCTGCCACTATACCTGACTTTGATTTTCTTAAATAGTCCTTTTTAATACTCACTTTTCAAAACTTGCTAGATTGTCCCCACGTGTACTTGTGTTCCATTCATAGCACTGTTGTTTAGATGTTTGGCCTTTTAACAGTTTCATCCGGAATACACAGCCCCCCAGACCCCTGCCAAAGAAAAGGATTTGGTGGGCCTCCATAATATTTTAGGAATTAGAGCATCACATTGCTTTTAGAAATTTGCTTAGAGAAAGAGATGTTGGTCAGGTCTCAGTGGAAGTATTTGATGCTGTTGGAAGCAGAGTTAAAATGTCCTGCCTGTCCCCTTGACTTCTAACCGTGCCCCCCTCACCTGATAGTCCCCCGGTCTGACTTCTTTCCTCCACCTCACCATTCTTTTAGTAACACCTGCCTTGGACTCTGGTTCAGCAGCACTGCTGCAGTATCTTTTGGGAAGAAGAGTGATTTGCTCCCAGTTCTTGTCACTGCCTGAGGCACTTGAGAAGCAGGTTGTCACTGCGGGTAGGTCTGAGGGTTATTGCTATAGTGCTATTTATTGAGGCTCAGTCAGGGACAGGTAAACTATTCTCATGTTCGCAAGCAACTCTAGATATGGACAGAGGCCAGGCAACTGGACACATGCCCATGTGAGGTATAGAATGAGGGACAGCATTGTTGGATGCCATGTTTCTTGTAACTTTTTGATCATTTGTGAGAACTAGCATAAAAACAGTCCTGGAAATATTTTCTGAACTCTGTTACATATGATGCTGCCATATTAGGCATGTGAAGTATACTTTTTTTTTTTTTTTTTTTTGGTTAGGACTTAATTAAAAGTAATATTATTTGGTGCTATAATTGCTGTACTCTTGAAGATTTTGTCTGCTTTTAATTGTGTTTCTGTTAATAGTAGTGTATTCCCCATCACATCCTCACGCTGTAGAGTACCTGCTTCCAAGTGCTGCTGCCCTTCTGAGCTCATTAAACTTGTTTAATATTCCAGAGTAAAGGCTTTGAATGAAGAAGACAGATAACAGTCCCAGGGGCTTTTTAGTACTTCATTTTGGATACACAGCTACATCTCTCATCTTTGAGGTCACTATATGCTGGTGCCCCAGTGTTGGGATATTACTGGGTTAGCCCCTGTGACCTCTGGGTTCTTGGCCTGTGCCTTGCATTAAAAATTCAGTGCAATAAAATCAGCTTGTCCTTTAATGCAAGAATGTAAAAGCTCTCGAGAAGATCCCATGAGTGAATCATTTAGCAGATCACATTCAAGGTCCGGTGGAGGTATACTGGGATCCATTTTGAGATGGGCCCATTAGCTCCGGATCGACCTTCCAAAGAGAACTCTTTTCATGAACACCCACAGCAGTGACCCCGTGTGATCTGACACAGTAAAGTATGTAGCTGAGGTGCCTAGAGACAGAACCTCAGCGAACACCTTTCCTCTTCAGGAACACTCTGCTACATTGGTAGAAAAAATGAGATTTTGCACTCAGGAAATGGACAGTTAATAGGTTGGACATCAAGGATCTCAAGCAGAAGCTACAGACAGTAAAAGACAAAACAATTGTTGTAAACAATGTATGTTCCATTCTTAACATAGATAAGTGTTTCCTTAAATCAAAAATAGTATCTGGAAAGGATTAATAAAATACACATTTGTAAATGTTGTCAGTTCTAATAGGAAAGTGATTTAAAGAGCGAGTGTGGGTGAATTGGCATTATTTATGCAGTGGGTATGCAACTGGGCAGTCCCTCTGCACTTGCATCTGCATTGAAAACTGATGAAGTCACAGCAGAGACAAATCTCCGTAAAATTTTGATGTGACTGTCAGCAGTGGGAGCTCCGTCATTTTTATTCAGAATTGTTATAGATCAGATGACCAGAATCGAGGGCCACACAGGCTGACACATGGCCTTCGGTAGCACTTTATTATACTGAGCTGGTGCATGATTTCAGAATTAAATTCCAGTTTAGCAGTTTTAAGGAGAAAGCACAAAGCTTACCATGTGATAGTCTTAGTGGTGTCCAACCTAATTATAAAGACAACTAGGAGGCATAAAATGTGCTATGAGGCAAAAAACTGTTGGGAAGGTGCCAGAGGTTCTATTAGTCAGTCAGCACATGTCTGTGGGGCCTTTACTAAGTGCTTCCACATCCTTCATGCTGTGTACACAATTGCTTTATCTCTTTGTGTCTGTCTTCTGCTTCAGACTTCGTGTAAGTTACTGAAGTTTCATTCATACTTGTATTGCCAGTAGCTAGGGCAAGTGTACAGTAATCACACCAAAAGTGTTTTTTTAATAAATAAATGAACCATCAAGAATGAATGATGAGCGGGCATGGTGGCTCACACCTGTAATCCCAGCACTTGGGAGGCTGGGGTAGAAGGATTGTTGGAATTCGAGACCAGCCTGGGCTACAAAGTGAGCTCAAGGCCAGCCTGAACTGCATAGGGAGACCCCATCTCAAAAAAGACAAAAAAAAAAAAAAAATTAAAGAATGAATGGTGGTGGGCTAGGCATGTACACAGTGGTAGAGTGTTTGCTTACCTGTACAAGGCCTGAGCTTCAGTCCCCAACACCATCGGGGGAAAAAATGAAGGTGGCAACATGATTTTCTTAAAGCATGGACTTTTGTCTAAAGCTAAAAGTATTTCCACACAGAACTTAAACATGAGCTTTTTCCACTGTGTTCAATGGTTGTAGCCATTTGCACTTTCCAGACAGCATCCCTGTGTAAATCGTGTTAGATTTCCATTCATGAGAGAGGTGTTAAGAAGGCCTCCGTTCATTCATAAGGCTTAGACCACTGAAGGAGCATTGTGTAGTATTGGCAGAACACATGCTTTGGCCATCCAGCTTTTTGCCATCTGGGGGTTGGCTCATTTAACAAAATCCACATTATAAGACATATTGACATTATTTGAGTCTGTTGCTTACAACTGGGAAGGCACTGACTTCTGTGTAACTGATCTTCAGAATGACATTTTAAGAAGTATTTATGGGGGTATAAAACCTGAATCGACTTAAGGAATTGGTGTGTGGACGCAAATTCTTCAATACATGGGGATTATGAAGAAATTGTATGAGGAAATTTTCAGTAGAACTGAGTTCTGTAACAGCACTGAGAAACATTCATTTTTAAGACATTGGGTTCTAAAAATTCAGTGCAATAAAATCAGCTTGTCCTTTAATGCAAGAATAAAGCACTCCAGAAAATCTTGCTAGTGAATCGTTTAACTCACATTCAAGGTCTGGTGGAGATATACTGGGATCCATTTTGAGATGGGCCCAATAGCCCAGGATGGACCTTCCTAAGAGAACTCTTTTCATGAACACCTACAGCCGTGACCCCGTGTGATCAACAACTACAGATAACGAAACCTCTTCTGAAAGAAGATTGCAATATTCATTTTCTAATGATTGTTATTACAAGAGCCAAATAACCAATATAAAAAGCACGTTAGACGATTAACAGTTGGGAGAAGTGGGGTTAGAATTGCCCATGGTCTTGAAAATGTAATGTAACCACTCCTGAAATTCTGGCATGTTTCCTGTTGGATGTGTTTCTTATGCATGACCTTCTGTGGTTTTGTTTTTATATTACAGGGTATGTATAATCAGGTGGCCTTTTTAAAAATTTTACCTCCTTAATAGCAGACGCAGCTTTTTATGTGACTCTCAAACATCACTTCCATGCTGTCCGAAACATGTTCGTGTATTTTGCTGTCTAGCCTTTTATGTTGCTCGCTTCCATAGATGCCTTATAAAAAATGCTTCTTTTCCTTTCAGATTTTATTGGTACATTTTAGATATACTTAATCACATTCATCATAGAGAATTTGTAACTGTATATGATATAACTTGTTTCTTTCTTTTTCCCATTCCCCTACCCTCTCCTCATCCCTCCTGCCCTCCCACTTACAAAAGCTTTGTTTCCGTTTTTTCCTTTTAAAACTTTCCCTTCTTTCTCCCTTTTCCTTTCATTGTTCCCCTCCTTATTTGAACATTTTCTTCCTATTTCACATTATCTATTATGGATTTTGGTTCTTATTTATACTTTCGGTTTCTGATACTAGAGAAGCAATGTGGTATTTACATGTGTGTGATTTATTTCACTTACGAGTATGATCTCAAGGTGCATCCATTTACCTAGAAATGGCTCAAGCTTATCCTTCTTAATAGCAGAGTAGTACTCCATTGTTATATAGAATACTTTCAACAAAGCACTGTTTGTTCAAATTCAAAATATGCATGTTTATTTCAATCTTATTACTGCATGCTGTTTTATATAAATCTCGATTATAGCATCAGACATGCATTAAACATTGTTGTAGGATGTCCTATTTAATCCTGGGATATTTTATTATTTTTTCCAGCAGATAGGTAATAAATGAGATCACATAGCCAGGGAGTAGCTGAAAACAAGCCAGGAAGGCTTGATTTTGAATCCTGTTTTCCTGTCTTGGGTTCTGATGCCTCTCATGATGGATCCCTAAGGTTTTGATTTTTGGCTTTTTTTTTTTTTTTTTTTGTCTTTTTGGTTTTTACCGGTACCAGGGATCAAACTCACGACTGCCTCCTTGCAAGGCAGGTACTTACGCCGCTGAACTAAATCCCCAGCCCCGAGGTTTTGATTTTTAAGATTTGAGAGCAAAAGTATTTGAATCCAAACTCAGGAGGGGTATCTTTTGGTCTCTATGGCTAATTTAGTTTCTGAGCCATATCCATTTGATTTTCTGTAGTCATACCAATCAGAATAGCAAACAACATTTCTACCTTACAGCTTGAATTACTTGCTTTATCAAAATTAACTGTACGGTGTAGTACTGAATTAAAAAGCAAATCTCATTTACTTATGTCCATTTGTTTTGCAGGTCACAGAACAAAAAACCAAAGGTAAGGTTTTTCTCTCACCTAAGACCTTTTGTGTTTAGAGTTGACACTGCTGCTGACTCAGCCTCCCTTCTCCTCTAAAGCGTAGGTATAGAGTAATTAAGGTGGGTTGTTTGCAGTCACTTAAAAGCTATAATGAGAAATGAAAAGTACTTTGTTAGTGTTTCTAGTTGGCCTTAAATTTGTTAAGAGGCAAAAAGTAAATACTTTGTTTTAAAAGTATGTGAGTCATGATTTTGAACTGAACTTTTTCAAGAGTTTTGTAGAGCTATTATAAAACATTAGCTTCTCATTTTAGATAGGAACTTGCAGAGCGTTAACCATCTGGACCCATGGAATGTATGAGCCTGGGATTGGAATGTCACATTAGAAAGTTCATACTGTCTTCTGAGTTAGAACCCAGATACACTTTTTTAAAAATGATAATACATTTTGAGTAGGTTAACTCTGTATGACGTGTTAAATAATGTGACACGTTGCAAATGTAACTATGTGACCCTCAGGTCATTCTCAACCTAAGGATGCATGTCTTTTCAGTTTTTCTGTATTAAATTTTAAAATTTTTCATTGGTATATGTCTGTGATATATAATAATTTGTTATGAGAATTTTTTGATGATATAGTTTCACCTGGTGTTGGTCACACTTTTTGACTGGTTCTTCTTCAAAATGGGGGACTTAGAGTAAAAGCCTAGACCTTCACAGTCCCAGGCGGCGGCCCCTAACCGCAGATGTATTTTGAATATATTTACAGGTGGCCCTAGAACATAAAGACCATTGCGCTGTGTGTGACTGATAACTTAAGGGAAAATAAAGGTGATGGGAAGAATCCAGGTTTGATGGTCGGCTTTGTAATGATTGGTTTCTTCCTTCCTTTGTGTTGTTGAACTGCCAGGCCAAGGCATGTCACAAAGTGGTGGGAAGGACTAATACAGGATAGTGCTAGTTTCTTAGGAAACTCAGTTATGTAAACATTCTCAGATAAATAGACATTACTGTCATGTATTTTTAATCAAAAGATACTTGAAAGCTGGCGATGGTGGCACACATTTGTAATCCCAGCATTCTGCGAGTCTAGAGGCAGGAAGATAACATGTTCAAGTCCCACCTGGACAATTTAGCAACTGTCTTAAAAAGTAAAAGGGGCTGGGATGTAGCTCACTAGTACTGGATTTGATCCTCAGTAACACACACCAAAAAAAAAAAATGAGATACATTTCAAACTGGGTCTGATATGCACAGCTATAATTCCAGCTACTGGAGTGGCTGAAGCAAGATTGGGTACGGAGACTCGGGGGTCAGTTTCCAGCACCACCAAGCTAAGAACAAAGTTTTGAAGAAAAAGGTAGCCTGGAATATTTAATGATTTAGAAAGTAACAGAAAAAACATTGTTAGTTATAGATATCTTAATTGGTTAGAGAAAATAGTGTTTTTCCCTTACTCGTTCACTAGTTCCCAGCCCAAAAGTAGGCTTCCTTTTGGAACTATGTTTGTAAATTAGGTGATCAAAATATAAACTATATATTTATTATAACAGTATTATTTTTAATGATACAATGTCAGTATTACAGGACATTTTTTTGATGATTTATGGAGACAGTGGATGAGAAAATTGGTATTTCCCTGGATAGCTCAGGTTCTGTGATTGCCGAAACATGGTGATTTGAGTTCCTGTGCCTGGCCAAAAGGCTAATGCTCATGAAACCAAGTTGTAGTTGTAGAACCAAGTTGCTCTGTATGATCAGTAGTCTTTCTGTTGGAAAACTGAAAATCTTTTAGGTATTGTTTCTCAGGCAGACAGGTTTAATTTTTTTGGCTTTTGGTGGTAGATCTGTTCTAAAACAGAAAAGCAGAAAAAGGAAAATTCTTTTTCTTCTGCTGAAGTCTTAAAAATCAAACTTTACTCGCTATCAGATTTTCCTTCCATTTGGGTCTTTTTCATGCCTGCCGTAGATGGATTGCGCTTCACAATTCCCAAGTTTTCCTTGCCCTTCAATCCTTTAATGATAAAATAAAGTCACATAATCCTAAGTGTTCTAGATCTAAAGAATGTAATTGTTGGAACCAGGGAGGAGACCAAGAGGTAGCAATAAAAATTGTCAGTTTGTTATACTCCTCCTTAGGAAGGAACAGGCCTTGGCCTTTCTAGGTTTTCTGTTTTCTGTTTTGCCACTTCTTCATCTTTATTGGATACTCTGCATGTTCTTTTCTTCCCTCAGTGAACAATTTTCTGCATCCTGTTTCTCTACCCAAAGTTGTATTTTCTTCAAGTGGTCTCGCCTTAATTCCGAACCAACCCCTCTTTCCCCAACAGACCCTGTAAGAAAAAACAACAACAACAAAAAAGACAAAACTGTGCTGGTGCCAACTGTTGGGTTGGACAGAGGCAGAAGAAACTTTGCATATTTCAGAGAAAAAATAGATTAATCACACATTCTTCCTTCATCTTCTATCATTAAAAAGAACAGCACATTCTGGGGGAATAGGACAGAGATTTGGGGTGGAGGTTCTGTAGTGGCGTAGACTAGAGCTGGGCTTGCACTCATGTAACAGAAGAAAAAAAAAACACTTTAGGCAGAAGCTCAGATCCTTCTGTGCTGTGTTAGAATCAAAAGAGTTTTAAAGAACTGATGTAATGGATGAGATTTAACAAATTGAAATTTAACAGGGACAAAGAGTAAGATTAGAGTTAACAAATTGAATTGCATAGACCATGTAACGGACAGAGTTGACTACATCAGGTTCTCCTTATCAAAAGATGTTCGTTGGGTGAAGGCTGGCTTAATGAGTCGTCATTGTGAAAAGACCAGTTTATAGAAAAGCAGTGTCCAGGATGGAAATTACAGTTCCTGTAGTACGGCACCACACTATGGAAGGGAACAGAGCCACCTCCTGGGCCACATGAAGTTTGAGCTAGATGGGTCATGAAATTTGTCACCCTGAGAAGGTTTAAACACCTAGGCTTCCCATCTTAGGAACCTAAAGTACTGTCCATAAAATTTGCAGGGCTCTGGTGCTTACTTAACATTGCAGATTTCCATAGTAAATGTCAGTTGTAAATTTTGTTCACTGAAACTTATTCTGACCCAAAGTACCCAGGGTGAGTCAAAGCAATGGGACAGTTTCCAGCTCAGTATAAATTAAAATTGTTAGATAGTGTGGTTCAGAGCAGTAAATCATACCATTATCCCTTTGTCCCAGTGGTGCTCACCTGAGGGGATAGCACATCCCATCAGCACAGCAGGCATTGTGAACCAGTGCAGCCCATCAGCTGCAGTTCTGGCTTCCGAGCTTACCCCAGAGCTTACCCCACGTTGCAGTCAGTGCCCAGTGGTGGCTGGGGTAACCTTGAGTTTGCTCAGTTTGCTAATCTTGGAAGGGTTTCCCTCCAGGGAAATCATTTATAAATTACTTGCAGTTCTTTGCCCTGTAGAAATGCCTGTATGTTCTGATCTTCGTGGGCACTACTTGCTCAGAAACAGAACTGGCTGCTTCTGAGAGTGAATGAATGTGAGGTCTTCCAAGCCAGCTGTTCCGACAAGTGAGTACATAGTCCAGATAGGAAATAGTGAAGACTTTACCTGTTAAGAGAAGCGACAGGGAGAAGGGTTCTTGGCCCTGTTGCGACTAACCTGAGCACCAGCTGACTCATGACTTCATACATTAATGCTAGGGATTTGGAGCACAGGAACAAATTTCAGGGGAAGGGGAAGGGTTAAGGAGATCTGCATTGGAGATGGTGAATTACACAACCGCTAGTTAAAACTTCAGCATAAGAAAGTTTATGCTAAAATAAGATGATTGTGAGAGGGCTGCAGGCCCACCTCCATAGCCTGTATTTTTGTGTTAAGGGCATCTGCCCTTGGTTTTGTTTAGGGTTTTTTGTTTTTTGTTTGTTGATTTGGTTTGATTTGGTTTTGGTTTTGGTTTTTGAGAGAAAGCCTTATGTTGCCCAGGCCAGCCTCAAATTCACTGTCTTCCTGCCTCAGCCTCCTGAGTAGCTAGACGTTTTTTTTTTTTTTAAGATACAACTCATAGCCATTTTCTACATTCGTTTTACAAATATGATTAAGAAGAGAGTCAGAAGAAAGAATTGCCAACTATGGCCCAACTCTGGTTCGCCACCTGGTTTTTTGTGAGCTAAGGGTATTGTTTTTGTATTTCAATTTTTGGGGGAATAAAAAGAACAATATCTCATGACATGTGAAAATGATAGTAAAGTTCATATTTTACTATCCAGTAATAAATTTTCATTGGAACACAGCCACAGAGTTTGTTTACACATTGTCCATGGCTGCTTTCACCCTCCAAGTGCAGAGTTGAGTTGTTGCAACAAAGACCTTAAGGCCAGTAAAGCCTAAATATTTACTGTCTGGCCCTTTACAGAAAGCGTGCTGACCCCTGATCGTATGAGAAGCCCACAAAGGAAGAGAGTGAAAGAGCTGAAGAGGTAGCCGGAGTGGGTCTCACACAAACAGAGAGGGAGGGACTGACCAGTACTGGCAGAAGCTGCCGATAAGTTGAAGATGCCAAGGTCCAACGAGTGCCCATTTAGCCTGGCAGTGAAGACCACTAGCAACTTAATAGGAGAGAAGTATTGAGGGCAAAAGCCAGGGTGCCTTGTAGTTGAGCGTGAGGAAGGTAAAGAGAGACAGACAGATCATGGAGCATTTTTAGCACCGCTGGCTACTCAGTGTGGATGATTGGGCTTAAGATGTTAAATGTGTCAGCCCCAAATAGTATCTGCCCTGGACTTGGTTTACATTTTAACTGTACTTTAAAAAAAAATCTCTAGGTGATTTTTTTGTTCCATTAGTAGAGTGAAAGAAAATAGTGATTTGTACTGGTCCTGTGTAGTCGTTGGGTTTGTTATGCATGTGTGCTAAAAGAAATTGAAAAGCTTAACTTTTTTAGAAATTTCTTAAAGAATGCTTTTATCTGAAAGATTCTTATTGTTTGTCAGGAAAGGGGCAATTAGAAGTTCAGACTGTAAGGTGGAATAGGGTAAGATAAACAGCATGAGAAAGGGGAATGTTTCAGCCATTACCATGTGCGGTACAGTGGTTTTTAAAAGTAAGTTGAGTCAAGATTAGAAAATAGGATACCCAGTATTTTCCTCTAGTGTTTGTATTTCCCTGTGATACCAAGACCGGGGTTAAAGCCCCAGACTTTTCCTCTGGAAAATAAGAAACTGTGACCTCATTTTGAGCAGATCATCTTTAGAAATTCACCTGCAGATCATTAAGATGCGGAAAAGCAAGAGCCTCCAAAGTAACACTTTCACACATAATGATAATTTTTCTCTTCGGTTGTCATCTTGACATTCTGGAGCATTTTGAAGTGTACACACTGACTTTTTTTTTTTTTTTAAGCATGCTGATTCTGAAGTCTTAATTTTAGACTGAGAGAATCAGGTTGGATCTGGCCTAACAGCTATATTACTCTTCAATAAATGTCAAGAATTTTGATTGACCTTTAAATGTTGTAAATTTCTTGAATTAACAGAGAGAGTAATGAAAGAAAGAAAATAAGAATCCAAGATCCATTTAGGTCCTGAAACACATTTGCCTATAGCTCACAAAGTCCTGCGGGGTTTTCTGGTTGTGTCCTAGAGTTTTTAGATGGCTGCTCTCCCACAACAGCACTGCATTAGAAGGAAGTGGTTGATACCAACCTCTAAACTTCTTTTTTTCTTTTATCAAACCCAGGACAGGTATTTCACTGGGGTCAAACTTGCAGTCCTCCTGACTCTGCATCCCAGAATGCTGGGATTTCAAGTGTGCACTACTATGCCTAGTGCACATTTCCATTTTTAAGTGATTTTTTAGTCATTTACAATCCATTCTGTCTGTGGTATGATGATAGGGAAGTGCCCCAAAGAACTTGGGCAAGGAATCCTACACAGTATATGATGCTCAGAGATTTCTTTGGTTGAAACAGTATCACGGATGTTGTAAATTTAGTCAGACTGATGTTTGGCCCTCTGCAGTTTAAGCCTGCCTGCCTGCCTTTCTCCTTTCTTTCCTTCCTTTTAGAGAAATGAGTTAAAGCATGTAGCTAGCCTAGTTAATGTAAACTGAAGATTCAAGCCCTTTTAATAGAAGGGCAAACTCATAGAAACATTACTCCTTCCACCCTAAAAATAAATTGGGAAGAATCCACCCAGCTGTTGCCAGCTTCTTGCATATTCTCATAATAAAAGAGCATCTGCATATGCCATGTGGAATCTTTGAGAAACAGATCAGAAAGTAATCTTAATCTTCATTCATTCACATGTTATTTGTCCATCAGCTGCTGTAGGTCCTACAGAGGTTAGTTTAGTCATATTAGACTGCAGCTGACTTACTTTCTTAAATCCTGTGTTTGTTCTACACATCAGATTGCAGTTCCTCCGGCCTCCACCCCTTCCTGATTGGGAAGCCAGTACTCTCAGCCTTGCAATTGGCTGAGGGTAAGCCAGTACTCTCAGCCTTGCAATTGGCTGAGGGTAGACAGATTACCTGGATCTTGCTTCATGTGTCTGTTCTTTTCTCTTGTCACTCAGTATTTGCTCGTGGTCTGTGGTGGAATAGAAGGGGCCCCTGATTTCTGTTGATGTTTCTTTCTCCTCGTAAAGGAGCCACTTAAATGGCAACATGCTGGCCCAGCATCATTTCAGCAGTCTACACAGGCCTGCTGTTAGAGCTGGCCTCAGCATTTCTGTGCATGGCAGGGATTTGGGCCTCAGATTATTTTGTGATATTGCCAGCCTCTGTATACTAGCAGATTTTCTTAGAAAGGGTGGTGGTCTTTTTTGAGCTAAGAGGGAGGTGCAGAGAACCACTAAGGGTTGGGGGGAAGCCAAAATATACCACAGAGTATGGCTTCACCATCGCTCTTCATTTCCATGCTGCCTGCAAGGTAAAAGTTGTATTGTTTAAAGGGAATAGGAAAATTACCTACATTTTGAAATTTTTTACATTAATTGAAATAAAATGGGGAGAGACAAAAGTAAAAGACTTATGTCATTTCTGATACACAGAATGCCAAGCAAAACTTTGAATTTAGGCAGCTGTAGTGGAGCTTTTTGCTTTGGCAAGTCTGAGCTTCCGCATAGGGTCTAACTGTGTGCCAGGCCCTAAGGAACAGAAGATGGATGATGGTCCCAGCCTTGAGGGAGTTGGGGCCAGTTAGAGAGAGGGACTGTCACTGGAAAATTTCAGTACAGTCTGATAAATTTAGTGGTAGAGGAAGATGGACAGCGTGCTACAGAAGCACACATGGAGTGTGCTTAGCTCCTGTTCAGGGACTCTAAGTGTGGATGGAGGGACAGGACTCTTGAGCTAAGAGGCTTGAGGCTTTGCCAAGACTTTGCCGTGGATCTGCTGGGCAACCCTCATGGGAATTAATTCTGCTATTCATTTAGTGTAGTGAACAATTCCTTTGACCTTTTTCTACTAAAGATCTTGCTGCTATCTTTGAGTGACTATTGCCCACCACTCCATAACCCAGTCTCCAGTAAACTGAAGATGTCCCAAGGAATTTGGAAAGACTGTGTCCCTTGAGAGTACAGTGACAGAATTGTCTTAGTAGAATTGGTCTCATATAAGCTTTCTTTAAAACAATTTTTAGAAAAATGCATTTGAGGGGCTGGGGCTCTAGCTTAGCGGCATAAGCACCTGCCTTGCAAGCAGGCAGTCATGAGTTCGATCCTCAGTACCGATTAAAAAAAAAAAAGAAAGAAAAATGTATTTGATCTCAAAGACTTTCCTCTCTTTCAGTGCCCGAAGTGACGAAACCAAGTTTAAGCCAACCAACGGCCGCCAGCCCAATTGGCAGCTCTCCATCGCCACCAGTCAATGGTGGCAACAATGCCAAAAGGGTGGCAGTGCCGAACGGACAACCGCCAAGCGCCGCCCGCTACATGCCTCGGGAGGTGCCACCGCGATTCCGTTGCCAGCAGGACCACAAAGTGTTACTAAAACGTGGACAGCCCCCTCCACCGTCCTGCATGCTCCTCGGGGGCGGGGCGGGGCCTCCTCCCTGCACAGCACCTGGAGCAAACCCAAACAACGCACAAGTGTCAGGAACGCTGCTGCAGAGCGAGAGTGGGACTGCACCAGGTGAGGTACCAGCATCGTGGGCTGCATGCATGGCAGCTCTAAAGGCAGGCTCTACTATAAAGTCTACAAAAGCCATTGATTTTCTAGATTGTTGGGACCATCCAGAAGGTGGGAGAGGATCCCAGGAGGAAATGTGCATGGATGCCTCTCTGAAACTGGACTTTAGGGTCCTGAGCTGTACTGGTAGGGAGGCTCGCACTAACTACAGTCGGCCTTTCACTATTTCTCAGACAATAGCACTGCAGTTTGAGTCTCTCTTCTACAAGTGTGTGTTCAGGGAAGAGCCAGAAGTAGGAATTGAATAGGGGCTTATTCTGATTCTTCAGATGCCTTCTTTAAGCTTCAAAAATGTTAGAAGTAGAAAAGGAACTCTTAGATTATAATAGAGATTTTTCAGAGGGCACTAAACAATAATCATTGTATAGTCATTCACTAGATTTTAAAAAAAAAAAAATCAGTGTTTCTTTTGAGAGTTCTGGGTTTTGAGCCTTGTTAAACTCTGTAATGCATACATAATGCCCCTGATAAGATGTTTCATTTTAGCTCTGAATTTGAACAAAGAATTGCCTATAAAATTCTGTCACCACTACATGTGTAGAGTAAGGACAGAAAACTTAGTGATGACACAGGGTGTATGTAGAGATAACCCCTACCCTTAAGGCTTCCCTGTGGGAGTTGGCAGACCAGGCTCAGAGTGGACCAGGAAAGGCCTCATAGCCCTGCCTGCCTGGCCCCTGGTGATCACTTGCAAAAGGAAGCAAGTGAGGGGACAGTCCTGTTGCATTTCTGCCACCGCTTATAGCTAGGCCTAAACAAAAATGTGGGTCCACTGAGTCAAGTTAAAACCAAAGAGCCCATTAAAATCGCAAGAGTTTGGTGTTCTGTGCATCTTCATCTTTCCACAGCTCTACAGAATACTTTTTTCACCTTCAAATTGATTTAAAGCTTTCTAGTTAAAGTACATTTAGAAGAAATTATCTCATTAAAAAAATCATCCCTGGGCCGGGGATTTAGCTTAGCCGCATAAGCACCTGCCTAGCAAGCGTTAGGTTGTGAGTTCAATCCCCACTACCAAAAAAAAAAAAAATCATCACCCCAACACCGCTAAATATGATGAATTCCAGCAAAATAGATCTGAGCTGGACTGGTTTTTGAGAGTAAGCTCCTGGGGAAACAGTTTGTGCTGGATCCCCGCTTGTATGCCCCCTAGTGCAACTCAGTGAGCAGTCATCACTCAGCAGATGCTTACTGAGCAGAACTACACCGGCCACTGTGTGGAATTGACACGTTAGCAAGATGGTGCCTCCAACAAAGAGGCACTGTGTGGGGAAGGGAAGATGCAGACAGAATGCTGTAGCACTGGGGAGAAGGCTGTAGACAGATGAAGATGATTTTCAGGTGATGAGTTTAGAGGACTTCATGGAAGAAATGGCACTTGAAGTAGGCCCAGAAAGATGAGTAAATTTTATTGTGTGAACTGAGAAGATAAAAAAGAATAAGTGCCAGCATGGAATGATGCGAGGGTAAGAAAGCACATCAATATAGAGTGACATCTACATTGAAAGTTATAAGGGTTGGGGATTTAACTCAGTGGCATAAGTACCTGCCTGGCAAGTGCAAGGTCATGAGTTCAATCCCCAGCACCACCAAAAAAAAAAAAGAAAGAAAGTTATAGATTAGAAAGGGTGGGTTGGCCCTGAGTCAGAGAGCATGTTGATCAGATGCCAGGCCAAGGAGTTTGCTTTGTTCTTGTGCATTAAGAAACTGTTAAAGGCTCTCACACAACAGTAACAGAATCAACTCTGTTTTAGAGAAATAACTACTGCTGTCAGTTGTATTAGAGTAAAGCAAGTTTAGGGTACTGTTGCATTTGTCTCAGGATATAAGAAGGCCCTCCTTTGTCATGAAGGGTGGCAAGGAGGTAGCTTTGAGAAAGTGTGGAAGTTAGAGTTAGCAAATATACCAACAGACAAATGGAAAAGAGATGACTCAGACAGTTGTGATACAGTCAACCAAGAGACGCAGCTGGATAGAGAAGCCAACCTGTGGAGAGGCTGGATGAGGTCTCCTAGAGGCTGTTAGAGCTCCAGGTGTTGATTGCAGTGCATATGCAGCTGTGACTGATGAGATGCTCTCTTTCCCAGAGTCAACCCTTGGAGGTGCTGCTGCTTCAAATTATGCAAATTCCACTTGGGGCCCGGGAGCCTCCTCCAACAACGGCACCTCCCCCAACCCAATTCACATCTGGGACAAGGTGATTGTAGACGGGTCTGACATGGAAGAGTGGCCTTGTATTGCCAGCAAAGACACTGAATCTTCTTCCGAAAACACCACCGATAACAACAGTGCCTCGAACCCTGGCTCTGAGAAGAGCACTGTGCCAGGAAGCACCACTAGTAACAAAGGCAAAGGGAGCCAGTGCCAGTCTGCAAGTTCTGGGAACGAATGTAATCTTGGGGTCTGGAAATCTGACCCTAAGGCTAAATCTGTTCAATCTTCCAACTCTACTGCAGAGAGCAACAATGGACTAAATTGGAGGAATGTGAGTAGTCAGGATAGAATTGGACCTGGCTCTGGCTTCAGCAACTTTAACCCAAATAGCAACCCATCTGCCTGGCCAGCGCTGGTCCAAGAAGGAACTTCTAGGAAAGGGGCATTGGAAGCAGATAATAGTAATTCCAGTGCACAGGTTAGCACAGTAGGTCAGGCATCCAGGGAACAGCAGTCAAAGATGGAAAATGCGGGTGTTAATTTTGTTGTCTCTGGCAGAGAACAGGCTCAAATTCATAACACTGATGGACCAAAAAATGGAAACACTAACTCCTTGAACTTAAGTTCACCAAACCCCATGGAGAATAAGGGAATGCCCTTTGGAATGGGCTTGGGGAACACCTCCAGGAGCACTGATGCCCCTTCACAAAGCACTGGAGATCGAAAGACTGGGAGTGTTGGATCTTGGGGTGCAGCTAGGGGGCCTTCTGGAACTGACACAGTCTCTGGACAAAGCAATTCTGGAAATAATGGGAACAATGGAAAAGATAGAGAGGACTCCTGGAAAGGAGCTTCTGTTCAGAAATCAACTGGGTCGAAAAATGACTCTTGGGACAATAACAGGTCTACGGGTGGGTCCTGGAACTTTAGCCCTCAGGACTCTAATGACAACAAATGGGGTGAAGGGAACAAAATGACATCTGGGGTCTCTCAGGGAGAATGGAAACAGCCCACTGGGTCTGATGAGTTGAAAATTGGAGAATGGAGTGGTCCAAACCAACCAAATTCTAGCACTGGAGCATGGGACAATCAAAAGGGCCACCCCCTCCCTGAAAACCAAGGCAATGCCCAGGCTCCCTGTTGGGGAAGATCTTCCAGCTCCACAGGAAGTGAAGTTGGGGGTCAGAGCACTGGAAGCAACCATAAAGCAGGAAGTAGTGATAGTCATAATTCCGGCCGTCGGTCATACAGGCCCACACATCCTGATTGCCAGGCTGTCTTGCAGACTCTTTTGAGCCGAACTGATTTGGACCCTAGGGTGCTCTCAAACACTGGCTGGGGCCAAACTCAAATTAAGCAGGACACAGTGTGGGATATCGAAGAGGTGCCAAGGCCTGAGGGGAAATCTGACAAAGGAACTGAGGGGTGGGAGAGCGCTGCCACACAGACCAAGAACTCAGGGGGCTGGGGAGATGCACCCAGCCAAAGCAATCAAATGAAGTCTGGATGGGGGGAGCTCTCAGCCTCGACAGAGTGGAAAGACCCCAAGAACACAGGAGGCTGGAATGACTATAAGAACAACAATTCTTCCAACTGGGGAGGAGGACGACCAGATGAAAAGACACCTTCCTCTTGGAATGAGAATCCCAGCAAGGATCAGGGGTGGGGAGGTGGACGCCCACCCAATCAAGGATGGGCTTCTGGGAAGAATGGTTGGGGAGAGGAAGTTGATCAAGCAAAAAACAGCAGTTGGGAAAGTTCTGCAAGTAAGCCTGTAGCCGGGTGGGGTGAAGGAGGGCAGAATGAAATCGGAACTTGGGGTAATGGTGGGAGTGCAAGCCTAGCTTCAAAAGGTGGGTGGGAAGATTGCAAAAGATCCCCTGCATGGAATGAGACAGGCAGGCAGCCCAATTCCTGGAGTAAACAACACCAACAGCAGCAGCCACAGCAGCCACCGCCACCACAGCCAGAGGCTTCCAGTTCTTGGGGAGGCCCACCCCCACCCCCTCCAGGCAACGTTCGACCTTCCAATTCCAACTGGAGCAGCGGGCCCCAGCCTGCAACCCCTAAGGATGAGGAACCCAGCGGCTGGGAAGAGCCATCCCCGCAGTCAATTAGTCGGAAAATGGACATTGATGATGGCACTTCAGCATGGGGAGACCCTAACAGTTACAACTACAAGAATGTGAACTTGTGGGATAAGAATTCCCAAGGGGGCCCAGCACCTCGAGAACCAAACCTGCCCACCCCAATGACTGGGAAATCAGCATCAGGTAAGCCATGGCTTTTTCCTCACAGGTTTTGATTTAAAAAAAAAAAAGATCCTAGGCCAAATCACTTTTATTAAAGTGTATTTATTCAACTTAGCTGTGCTCTGAGAATCTTTCCTACAGTTCCTACTCTGTTGCTAAGAGAACTTCTCTTTTTATAAGACGCTAGCATTGGCAGCTGCTGATAGTGTGTTACAGTGTTCATTCTTGGCAAAAGGAAAAGATGGCAATCTAGAGTTAGTCCCAGAATTATTTTTCTGTTATCACAATGGACTATAGAATCCAAAAGATACGTATCTTGCTCAACAAACTATGCTCTTGATTTAAAGAACTAAAGTAGTAGTAGAAGCAGACCAGATTTTCATTCTGGTTTCATCTGTGAACTCATCCTTAGTAACTCTCTTTCTCCAACAAAAGAAAGTAATCTATGTTGTTCTTCCAGAGACCTTTGCAGTGATGCAGCAAAACTGGCATATTGGACAACTGTGTTGTCTTTCAATAATTATCTCTAGAAGGAGAAGTATACTTTGTATAAGAGAAAACTATCTCAGGATAATCAGTTACCCAAAATTAAACTCTATTCCCTCACTATTTGAATAGGAAACAATAGATCTCATAAGTTACAGATAATAGGTATTCTCAGTCTCAGTTTGACACAAATGTCCTTTGAGCTGAATGTTCCCATAATTTTCTGTATTAAAGGAATGCACATTTCAAGTTTTCTTTTAGCTTAAATTGATCGAAATATGGCCAGGCATTCTTATACATACCTATGATTCCAGCTACGTGGTAGGTTGAGTCAGGACAAGTTTCAGCCCAGCCTAGAAAACCTGTCTCAGAAAGGCTGGTGATGTAGCTCAGTGCTCTGGGAGTTCAATCCCCAGTACCATCTCCCAAATAATAATAATCAACCATAACATTAATATGACTCAAACCTAGTGATTTTGACTATGGACACATAGGAAATGATTACTCTTTTATGAATTGAAAAGAATGACAAAGGAAACCAAGAATAAAATCACTAGGAGTCTTAGTGCCTTGTATTTCTTAGGTAATCTTTTAGAAGTTTGCTCATAAATAGTGTTCTTACCTATAGCAACACATATCTATCCTTTCAAAGGATAATACTTCCTACAGTGTTACTCAACTTGCTCTTTTCATCTACTTTTAAGCTTTCCATCTTAGCATATACAGAACTGTCTTTTAATTGCTTCATATTTTATGGGGAACCCACAATTCATCTGTTCTGTCCCCTTCAGATATTTAGGTTGCTTCCAGTGCTTTTCTAATAGTGATGCAGTAAACATTGTTGTGCATGTAATTTCATCTACTTTGATACATATCTGTGGTGTAATTTCCTGGCAGCAGAGTTACTGGGTCAAAAGTAATGTGCATTGAACTTTGAAAACTGACATTGCCAGATGCTCTCCATGAAGGTTCAGCCTGTGTCTGTTTCTGCCAAGAGAGAATGGGTGTGCCTGATCCCACCACCTTCATCCCACTGGATATCAGGTGTATAACAGATCATTCTTAGAGACACATTTCTTTTTACAGTCTGGAGCAAAAGCACACCACCTGCTCCAGATAATGGGACTTCAGCTTGGGGTGAACCGAATGAAAGCAGTCCTGGGTGGGGCGAAATGGATGATGCAGGAGCATCGACCACGGGCTGGGGAAACACACCCGCCAACGCTCCCAATGCCATGAAACCCAGTAAGTAGACCATGTTTTTTTGATTTTGAGAGATTCTTTCTTAATTTGGAAGGCAGACATTTTGATGAGGACTATTTGGTGTTTAAAACCATTGATTCAATGAAACTTGGGACCTAGAACATTAAATTAATAGCATCAAATGTTGGTGACTTCTCTTGGCATGTATTAAAATGTTTGAGCCTGGTGTGGTGACGCTCAGCTGTCATCCCAGCACTTAAGAGCCTGAGGCAGAAGGATTGCCATGAGTTCAAGGCCAGCCTGGGCTACATAGTGAGTTCAAAGGCAGCCTGTACTACATAGTGAAACCCTGTCTCAAAACAAACAAACAAAAAATATTTACAATGAACTAAAAGTCATAAATTAATGATTTTTTTAAAACCTAGATTTGGTATCTGGCCAGAACTGAAATTTTGATAATGATGCATTTTTACCCAGTAACTTAAAATATGCTCTCTGTCTATTTTGCATTTCTACTGTTTGTTAGTATGCTTAAAAATAAGTACCCAAGCTTTTAATGTGGAACATGGACTCTGTCACTCAGGGACTTCATCCTTCTGTACTTTCACTTTCGTCCTTGTCTCTTCTCATTCATCTGTTTACGTAAGAACGCTGTAGGTCTTGAACCTGACAGAGATTGCTTCATTCTAATTTTTTTAAACAAAATACCTTGTACTTACTTATAATCACTGCAGATGTAAGCTTGATCCAGCTGGGAATGTGTAGACAGCATAACTTGTAAAACTTCATAGACTGACCCTGTGGGATGCCTCACTGGATGGATATTCCTAAATTGAGAAATTTAATATCAAGTACCCATTTCAACTTGTTTGTAACTTTCTTTAAAATGGTTCAGCATTTCTTTTATACCTTATAGCAGAGGTAAGGGATTATCTTTTGGTTAAGTAATGAAATTTTATGGTGTGCTCAAAATTGAATAAGAAAAGATTCTGTGTTTCTGTTCAAATGCATGCAGTACATGGAACTCTTACAGTACCACAAGAAGACTAGGATAATTGACTTCATTGCAGAAATTCACACTCCTGCCTGTGTAACTTCACTGCATTTTACTATCACACATCTCTTCTACTTCATAGAAATCATAAGCTTGGTGAACCTTTTGTTCTAATCATGGTTTCTTTGTGACATCAGTTTTGTCAGCAAGGGAAGTATCACTGGACTTGAAACTGATTCGGTTGCTTGTCTGCATCCTTGGGACAGAGTGGTCTTTCAGCAGTACTTTAAGAGTCAGTCCATCTTTTTCAACTTTAAAATTACCTCTGTTCCATACAGAATGCTCACCTTTCCCATATTCTATAATGCCTTCTCTTCAGGGTCGTCTGTAGAGTTGATCTGTGGTTATGGCTCATGTCCTTTGTGTGGATGATTTGAATGCCTAATGCTGGGAGGAAGAGTTAGATCACTCAGTTGATGCTGGTAGTTAATCTGAGCTCTCTGGCCTCCAGATGCCATAAATTTGATATTGTGAGACCTATAATTAAAAATCAGAGTTCCCTAGGATAGGGTGTAGTTGGTAGGGAACGTGCTTCACATCTTTGAGGCCCTGGGCTTGATCCCCAGGACTGTAGGGGAAAAATGCCAGAGACCTTTGATTTTTGCACTTTGTTTTTTCCCCCAGCAGTGCTAGGAATCAAACTCTGGGCCTCACACACACTAAGAAGGTGCTCTGCCACTGAGATGCATCCCCAGCTCCACTCTCTTTTCTATAAAAAGAAAAAACTATTAAAGTTTAGCTCTTGTTCTCTAAAAGGATTCACAGCTGGGCATGGTGGCACATGTCTAATCCTAGCACTCAGGAGGCTGAGGCAGGAGGATCATTGCAAGTTCAAAGTCAACCTGGGCTATGTAGTGAGTTCAAGACCAACCTGAATTACATAGCAAGACTCTGTCTCAAAAATAAATAAATAGAGCCGGGCTTATGACTCAGTGGCACAACACTTCCCTGACAAGCGTGAGGTCCTGAGTTCAATTCCCAGTACCAAAAAAAAAAAAAGAAATGAGTGATTTGTTGCATGTCTTCATTTTTATAAAAGGATCAATGCCCTTTGTATTTGTTGTGTGTATTTGTTTTTTAATTTCTATTGTTTGTCAATGGATGGTATAAAATTGATATAAAAACCATAATATAAATATAATACAGGATTATATAAATTTGTAATCTTTATACAGAGAAAACAACCTTGGTTAGCAATAATACTTGAGCAGGAAGGGATCCCAGGTATTCTCCTTGCTGCTCCATCAGGAAGCCCCCGTGTGTGGCTGTGATGAAATTTCTATGGCTAAATGTGAATTTCTCCTTGACCACAATGTATATATATTCACTATCTTAATTTTCTTCCTTTTTCACATTTTTTCTTCTCTACTTCAGTTCAAAACAAGAAAGACAGTTCTTCACTATACTCATTTGTAACATTCATTATTATGAAGTATATTTAGGAAGGTAAAATCAGGACTACTGTAGTAATCCATGCTTATTAGTACAAGGACCCAGTTTTCTTGAAATGTCAATTTTTTTTGTAATCATGATAAGTTCTTTTCAGTTTTGGAATTCTTGTCATTTTGGTGCAGGGGAAACATGGAACCAGAGGTCAGAGCTTGACTGAATGGCTCATTTCAAGCTCTCTAAAATGTGATTCAAGCTCTCTAAAATAGCATTTGCCTTGCCATGTAGATGGAGTAGACAGAATCACAAAGATACTAAAGTGCTGCACCTTCAGAGAATTCTTGTGCTTGTTACTTTATGTGTGGTTGTCACAGAGAATTAATTCTTTCTTTCCTTGAAGATTCCAAATCTATGCAAGATGGCTGGGGGGAGAGTGACGGGCCGGTCACAGGAACTCGCCATCCCAGCTGGGAAGAAGAGGAGGATGGAGGAGTCTGGAACACTGCCAGCTCTCAGGGAAGTGCTTCCTCCCACAACTCAGCAAGCTGGGGACAAGGAGGAAAGAAACAAATGAAGGTAGCAGCCCGCTTCGGAAAAGTTGGTGTTTGCTTACTCATTCTTAGAAGGCAGAACTGAGGATTTGTTAATGGAAGAAATGAGGCAGCTGGTGTCTAAGTAAGGGGGAAAATATTTCCCTACAAATAACTACTTCTTTTTCACCGATCTTCCTTCTCCATGGCCTTGAAACCTTGCATTGCAGAACCGTTGCTGTGGGTAAATTGAGATTTTCAAAAATCTGAGGTGTCTTTTATTTTTAGTTTCCACATCGTCATAATTCATTGGAAGCTCATGAGACTTACTTTCTACTTTTGCCTTCTAAAGCCAAAGAATTACTTATGGTAAATCTCCATGTAAAAGAGAAATCAAAGAAAGATCACACTTGGCTTCTTCCATGGTGATCAATCAGCATATCTCCATTTTAACCTGATTGGGGAACTCTGAAGGCACAGAGCTCTCGTTCACAACAAAACGAAGTGCTCTCCGAGAGAGCAGCTAGATAAATTCTCTGCATCCTGTCTGGGATGCATTCTCAGCTTTCCACTTGCCGTATAACAACTTGGTTTTTTCTTGCATTTGTATAATTTGATCAGGACTTTAATAGTTTTCCTCTTGAACTACTGTCTAAGAGAAGAGAGGCAGTTTTTTCGGTTTGGGTTTTTTTTTTTTTTTTTTTTTAATTCTTGTTTTTCATTATACACACACAGTGATAGAAATAAGGAGTAGGTGCCCATATTCTTAATTTCAGCCTAAGCACCGTGAAGCTCTGTATAACATTTCACAGATAATATTATCTTGGATTAAAATATCTGATGCTGTCTTAAAAGGCCTTCCTTCCAGTGATTTAATTGCTCTAATTTTCTTCCATAGCATAAGAATACAGTTTGTTCTGTTAGAGACATTTTACTTAAGCAGTTTTTTTCTAGATTTGTTTTATTTTTTTATTTTTGGGGGGTTTTTTGGTGCTGGGGATTGAACCCAGAGCTTTATACATACAAGGCAAGTTCTACCACTGAGCCACATTCCCAGCACCCTAGTTTCCCTGTAAAAGGACTTTTTATTTATTTTAGTCATAAATGGAATTATATTTTAAACTTTTCTTTACTGGTATTTGAATCTAGGACTTTCACATTGAGCTACCCCATAACCCTTTTCTGATTTGGTTAGATTTTTAAGTTTTGAGACAGTCTTGCTAAGTCATATAGGCTGGTCTCAAATTTATGATTCTCCTACCTCAGCCTCTCAGAGGGCCGGATTTATAGATGCCACCATGCCCAGTTTTTAAATTTTCCACCATATTTATACTTTTAGTTTGCTTATTGGTAGTCTTTTAGTCATTTATAAATTAACAGTACGTCCAGGTTAACTGAGTGGAAGGATACATGAATCTGCCAGTCCGGTGACAAGCAAGATTTTTTTTTTTTTTGGTTTGGAGGTTCAAACTCATGACTTTGCGCTTGCCAAGCAGGCTCTTGTGCCACTGAGCTAAATCCCTGGCCCTAAAATGTAATTTTTTAACATTTAAACCTGTAACTAAACATAAGTACTCCATCACTTTCAAGAACAGTAAAATAGGTACATGAGATCACTATAGAGTACACAAGGCCTGTCATCACCCATCCACATCCTTATCATAGTCCCACTGTTCTCCTCACAAAGGGCAAGTGGAATAGCTTTTTGGGTGCCCTGTTCAGGGAAAAAACCAGCTTGTCTCATGAAAAAAATCAAAAAGCCACCACTGCACTCTTTACTCCAAAGACTGGTGATGGTGTCTTCGATCAGGCCTCTCTCGCACTAGAACCACTGTCCTTTATGGTATAAAGCAGATAGTGAAATGTTACCTGGTAAGTCCTTGTATCCATACAGAGGACAATGTCCCATTTTAAACAGACTCCTTTCCAGGTAACATGTCCTGGTGTCACCTCTTCCAGTATAGGTCACAAAGAGAGCAGCCTACTGAGGTGGAAACTAGTATACAGAATTATGTTGTACAGGGGCTGGGGATTTAGCTCAGCAGCATAAGCGCCTGCCTTGCAAGTAGGCAGTCGTGAGTTCGATCCCTGGTACCGATAAAAAAACGAAAAAGACAAAAAAAAAAAAGAATTATGTTGTACAAAATCTGACCATGAGTCAGAGATGGTGACACACAGCAGAATTCCAGGCACTCAGAAGGCTATGGAACGTGGGTCAGCTTGGGTTCAAGGCCAGCCTGCACTGCATAGCAAAACCCTGTATCAAAAAGAACAAAAACAGCCACAAAAATCTGACAGTAGTTTCTTTCCATGTAAAAAGTGAAAACCATGTATTTTTTGGTAAAAAAAAGTTCCAGTTCATTGTGGTGAGAAAAATAATTAAAACATAAATATAGTAGGGCATAGTAACCATTAAAACTAATGAATAAAATATCAAAATAAAGAGAAACAGGATTCAAAAGGTAAACTCTTCAACTCAATTTTCAGTGTATACTTGCAACTCAGGAGGTTGAGATAAACTATGTGGTTCTGAGGTTATATATTTCATTTCTGTAGTGCTCACTAAAAGGAGGAAACAATGATTCATGGATGAATCCTCTTGCCAAACAGTTTTCAAATATAGGATTGCTGGTAAGTGTTATTTTTCTCATATGTATAACATATCCCACATTTAAGGTTTAGTATAAATTTTAAAACCACTGCCACATATAGTACAAAATTACATATTTAGAAACTGGCTAAACAGTATTCTTGATCTCTTAAATAAGCAGTATTTACTTTATGTTCTTTTACTCTTCATGACATACTCTAAACATTTAAATTTAAAGCTAAGGGCTTATAAATTGGTTGTTTTTATGTCCTGTAGGAGAATAAGGAAGACACAATTTGACGCTTAACATTGCTGTGCCAGTTTTCACATTATAATTTTTGAAAGGGCAGCAACAAAGTAAGATACACTGGGATTAATTCTATAGGGAATTCTTATGGAATTTCTAATCTCCTCATCTCTTGGGAATACTGTGGGAACACCTTGTCTTAACTGCCAAAAGACTTGGCCGCGCACTTTAAGATTTGATGACTTGACAGATCATAAGAAGAAGTTGTCATCATTTGGCTGCCATTCATGGAATTTGATCCCAGGCCGACTGGAACTTGAGTTCAAGGGTTTATTTCTCCAGTCAGCTGTTTAGCAATTGTGCTCTCCATAGATGTGCTGAGGCTGTGTGTGGTGATTGAACTTCAGGAAATATAGACATTAGCAGCGATCAAATTAGTATATTAAAAACGTTAAATTCTTCATTCTAGTCTAAAGTTCATTTCAGAGAATCTAATATAGTGTCAGGGATAAGGTGCATCATTCCCTGACTCAAATACAGACACCCTTAATTTGCTCTTACGTGGTGCTTTTTTTGTCCTTCTCAGAGTCAAAGTGAAGATAATCCAAGCAGCAAAATGGATTTGTCTGTAGGTGTGTATCCTTCCACCAATGGGAATCGACTACATTGGCATTGTTGGGGTCTCCTGCCAAGTCTGAGTGGGGATGCTGCTGCTCATTACATGCTTATTGAATGCTTAGTCTGCACAAGGGTCTCTGCAAGACACATGGTGGAGGCTGAGAGCTCAAATGATTGCAAGAGCCAGGGCAGGTGTAAACAAGTGGGAGGCAGAGGCCACTGGTTGGCGTAGAGAAAGTGCATCCACCTAATGCCTTGCTGGAGAGGGCAGACGCGGCTGGCTGCATCTTCTGGTTTTTTTGAGAGAGGCCAGCTACAGTATACAGATATATATTGACATCCTAACTTAAAAATACTGGAAACTAATCAGATTGTTTTATTATGTGTATAATGCTGCCAGGCTTGAGTTTCTGGTTCTGTCTGCACCAGAGGTCTCATTGTTAATGAACTTTCCCATTGCAACTAGAGCATATGCAATGTCAGCCCTTAATCTGGGGGATTTTCTCAGTAATGCCATGTTCACCCTAAAGAACTTAACAAGTATCAAACTAAAAAAAAATCCTGGGTAGTAGGGGAAATATGCAGACTTTGATCTACAAGTTTCCTAGGGTTCTGATCATGTCAGCAGATAATCGAAAATTTATCGGGCTGTGAAAGGAAAGAGCATAATCATTGAACTTGGAAAATTACATTATTTAAGTAATGTGTTCAGCTCTGACACTTTAAATTTTAGGGTAACAACTGTGCCTCTTTGATCTTTTTATTCCCCAAACTGTTTCACAATCCCATTTATTTTAGCACATGCTAAAATAGGAAAAAAGACAAACTTCTCTCATTGAGAACATTTGCGTTTATGAGCAAAATGTATCCATCAAACACACCAGTAATCAGTATAAATATTTTCTTAGCCAGATTTTTCCAAGTTAGCTCTAAGGCTCTTCTAGGCTCCCATGAGAATCAAGCTACAACAGATACATTTTTTTGTGTTGCTTTTTAAAGAGGATCCGCAAATAGCTGGGCGTGCTCGTGCACGTCTGTGGTCCCAGCAGTGGGGAGGCTAAGGCAGGAAGATCACTGGGAGTTCAAGACCAGCCTGGGCTACCTAGTGAGTTCAAGGCTAGCCAGCACTACAAAGTGAGACCCTGTCTCAAAACCACCCCCACCCCAAATAAGTTTAAAGTAAAGAGGACCTACCAATATTCTAAGGACAAATCTTAGAAGCCTGAACCAATGAGAGCTGTCCTGGTCTGATCCCCAAAGAATAAAGAGAGCTCATACCTTACACCCTAAGGAGGCGGGCGTGGCAAGTCACTTTTAGTTTTTGTGGGAAATGTTGATTCTTAAATATTTTCACTCTTGTTTTTATTCTTGCAGATAAGAAGTTTGATGTGGACAAGCGAGCAATGAATCTCGGGGATTTTAATGATATCATGAGGAAGGATCGATCTGGGTTCCGTCCACCTAATTCCAAAGACATGGGAACCACAGATAGTGGGCCTTATTTTGAGAAGGTGGGTTGAATTCTTCATTTAAAATAATTTATAAGAAGCACTTTGATGTTCCCATTTGTCTTTTGAGAACTAATTCTAGAGGAAGCATAGAATTTCTGAACTCAGCAAAAGACAAGACATCACCTGCATTAAATTGGTGGCAAGAAAATAAATAATGTCAATAGGTAATAGGGCAGGAACTAGAACCATCTGTCCTTAGCAAGGGAGTATTGTGGTAAAGGTCACATTTTGAAATATTCATGAAATTTGGGGCATACTTGAAACAGGTAGCAGAATTTTAGGGATGAATTTATTGTAAATTCCTTTTTTTGCAGCTACAAACCAGATTTTGGGTTTTATATAAATTCTGTTGTCTCCTAAGGCCTTGCCTTCTACTTTTGAAAGAACTCTTTATCTTCTCTACTTCCTTAGTGATTTGTGTTATAGTGGTATACTTTTCAAATCCTCAACTACTGATTGAACCAAATAATTTATTTTTATTCTTAACATTTCTAATGTTAAGATTAGAGATTGTTCCTTGATTCAGAATACCAGTCTGCAATACTCCTGGTCTCCATAAAGCAGTTAAAATCAAAATTTTTAGGTCTGCCTTCTTTTTGACATAATTGGTGCTGATCCAGGCAGCAACGTATTTATAAGAAGATTGTCCTAGCATCTGCTGCAAGAGCTACACAGAATAATCAATATTAGATGCCTAAAAATAAGTATATGACAACTCTTTTCTTAATACAATGGACAGAATGTGTTGCTGAGAGGAAAAGAAAAATCTTTGTCAATGAGGATGACAGATGGTGTCTGTTGGGCCAAGTATAATGGTTATTATCAGATCCAAATTCCATCCTGGGTTATTACTAATACGCTCTCACTTTGTTTATTCCTAGTGTCTCTCTCTTTCCCTTCTTGCATTCTGTTGCTTCACTAACCAACACTCATTGTGATTGGCTAACTCCTACTACCTTTCAGCTGACTTTGCCTTTCTCCAATCAAGATGGGTGCCTTGGGGATGAGGCTCCCTGCTCTCCCTTCTCCCCTACTCCCAGCTACAAGCTGTCTCCCTCTGGTTCCACACTACCCAACGTCAGCCTTGGAGCAATCGGCACAGGGCTCAACCCCCAAAACTTCGCTGCTAGACAAGTAAGGAGGCCTCTCAAATTTGTAACTGCTTGGCTGTGGCCTCGCCTTGGCTCTGGTCTGCAGTTTATTGCATCATTTGTCTGTCTTGGGAAATTTGTTGATTAATGAATGCACAGAATGATACTAAGTGTAGGTTTTAGATCTTTGAACCCATAGAACCCATCTCTCTTCATGTTTCTCAACATGGATTTTATTTTAAACCTGTTTCTTTTGTCTTGCCATTTTTTGGTCATCAGTTCACATTTAATCAGTTATCTAATAACTGATTTAGGGAAATGTTAATGAGGTTACAAGTTACCTTATATAATTTAATTTAGTAATACATTTGCTATTTTTAACATTACATTAGATAATAAGCAATATTTAGTGGGTCTTCTCAATATAATTAAAAATAATAGTACCCACACTTAATGGCCCAGTTGAGTCCCAGCTGCTTAAGAGGCTGAGGCTAGGGGTTTATAAATTCAAGGCCAGCAGGGGTAGGGTGGAGGTTTTAAAAAATAATAATAATAATAATAATAATAATAATAATAATAAAAATTCAAGGCCAGATAGGGCAACTTAGCAAGACCCTATCTCAAACTTTTAAAAAGATTGGGGATGTAGCCAAACATTTTGGGTTCAATACCCAGTAGTGGGGAAAAAAACCCTAGTGAGATTAATTTTGAGAGTTACAACATCTTAAAATTTAAAAGCAACTTTACCTTAAAGAACTTTAGTGTCTTTTAAGTTAAAAATACAGTAATTACCAAAGAAGGGTAACTTTAATGTGTAAAGGAGCTTTGAAAAGAGGAGATACTGCTGGGTATGGTGGCACACGCTTATAATCCCATTGCTCAGGAGGATCCTCATGAGTTCGAGGCCAACCTGGGCTACAAAGTGGCCAGCCTAAACTGCATAGCGATATCCTGTCTCAAAAAAATAAAAGAAAGAAAGAAAAGAGGAGATATTGCTTAGATGTAGCAGGAATTCATTGGACACTAGCCCCTTTGCTGGGCTTGCACCTGGCGGTCTTCCAAGGAAAAGCTGTGCAATGGAGGCAGAACTGGCAGGGCTGGTCGGATGATGCCTCCTCCCCTTCACTGGCCTGAGGCACACAGCATGGGGCTCAGGCAGTCTATAGTCTGTTGCAGTTTTTATAGAGGAAATCAGGAATTTGCAATCACAGTACCTTTCCAACAATAATTCTAGCAAGAGTGTTTTCCTAGCCATAGTTCTTGTGACCTCTCACCTGTCACTGTGCTCGTCACCTCAGGGGACCTTAATTATACAGTGTGTAATTACTAGTTGGTTCCATTCTGTCTCGTGTGGTGATTTTCACAGGTACATTCATGATGATGTGGAGCAATACCTCTTACACCATAGGCAGGCTACACACAAATCTCACGTATGCTTTCCAGTTGTCCATGTGTTGAAATTGGTTATATCTGAATTGAGAATAGTAGGTAATCTTTTGTTTTATTCCTTTATGTTTTCCTTTATTTCTTCCATATGTCTACAGAGAAGATGTATATGTACTGTTTATGTAAACAGAGAAGAGACACCCTTGGTTAATGGTGTTTATAAATGTGGTACTAGAATTGCAGAGTTACCAGATGCTGTCAGAACATAAACTGAAGTGTAGTAGACCGGCCAAACTAGGTTGGCATTGGCTTTCAGGAAAGGTCATTCCTCTTTTTGTGTTTTTGGATTGCTACAAAGTACACTGATAGCTAAGTTGGCACATGTACTCTATCCAAATATGGTTATAATTTTTTCAGCGTATTCTATACAGTTAATTGATATACTTTATAATTTAAAACTAAAATTTTTATGATTTTTATTTTCCAAATTACAGAACATTTCAATCACTTTGCTAATTATGTTTTACCATATATTTACTTTTCTGAGTTAAACACAAGTTGAGGGCAAATATCACCGGTAACCTTGAGGGATCAGGTCATCTTAGAAGCTTCACTTACAATAGTCGAGCTTTAGCTGGGTAAGCCAGCTTAGTATATAAACAAGCTTTGGATTATCACTTTTCCTATTTTCTAATTTTTTTTTAAAGACTAGGAATATATAGTTTTCCCCACTCTGTCACTATAGAAAACAGCAAACCTGAGTCAAGAAAATGAGCAGCTGATGATACCTAGATCCCATGTTAAGCTCTAGTAAAGGAATTTTTTGATAGACTGGTATGGACTTATCTATACTATTAACCATTTCAGATATATCAAAGCACTATTTATGGCTTTAGAGACCCTTGGTCTTGGGAAGAAGAGTGGAATCTTGTCTACTAGGAAGAGGAAAGTATGGCTTGGGGCGAGTCTAAGATGGATGCTGTGGTGCATGCCTGTAGTCCCAGCTAGTTGGAGGACAGGCAGGAAAATTGCTTGAGCCCCCAAGTTGAAGATGGACATCGTGAGACCCTGTCTGTAATGGTGGTGATGATGATGATAGATGAGTCCCACAGGGATAAGAGAATATCTCTGTGGTAGAATCCATGGTTGTCATGAGAAGGTCCCAGGTTCAGTCTCAGTATCTGTTTCCCCCTCCACACACACCAGGGAGGAGATATGTTCACAGTAGTTTAATTTTTCCAAAACATGCATTCTGGCAAAGACCAAAGCTACCAGCAACTCCACCATCCAAGAATCAGTTGTGAATAAATGGCATCTAGTCATAAGGTTGTTACTTTGGCAGTAAAATGTAAGAGTGATCTTATTAGACTGTTCTTGGTGAAATAAATAATACATTTCCTTTTTTTCTTGACAATAATCAATACCAAAGCTGTTGTAATCAAGAAAAGTTAGAGCTGAGCCATTTTGCCCTAGACCCGCAGTTGAAGAATAAAACAGGAGAAATAAGAGACCATATAGTAACAGAATTATAGGTCCTCTCCTATTTAAACAGTCCTTTGGGAGATGTAAAACTCAGGGTGGATCTTTGATTTTTTTTCTGAGATACAGATTTTAATTGCCATTTCTACTTTATGTTTATAATCATTTTTATTTTCAGTGCTTTTAAGTTTATTAATTTACCTATAGTGATCCCTTAATCTATTTTTGAATCATTAAGCCATCATGAGTATCTTTAGTGTTCTAGAATTTTGAGTGATGCCATCATGAAATTCTTTAAAATTGCCTTACCCTTGTGATAAGCTGATGGTGACTTCAATTCAGGATTTATGTCTTTGGTATAAACAGTGGGACAACTTTCTTTGCTGAAGGTACTCAGCAAGGTGTTCTCAGGTGTGTAAATTGGTGGGCAATGGATGTTTGCAAATGATGCAGTCATCCTACAGACCAGGGCTTTACTGAGTTCTGGGAATGCGAAGAGGGAAGGATTAAGCTGGTGGTGAAAAGACAGAATGTTAAATAACTACAGCAGTTTGTGATGGATACTATCAGTTTCACTGTTTTGATAACAGAGAGGTGAGCTCAGTCACTGCATGTGGAGTGAAAAAAGTTTTAGGGAAGATGTCTTGGCCTCTGTACTGGGCCTTGAAGATCATGTAGGGAAGAATCTCAATCTGCAGAAGACCAAGACCATATTACAGCCCAGCCCTGTAGCTTTCACGGGGACACTGGCCATTGTGGTCCTCTAAACCAGGGCTTGAGCTTACCTTTAACTAGACTGATAGTCATACATTTGAATGCAAAGTTACAGGTGAGTAATATTTGTTTTGGTATCCATGGTGTGATCCGTACTTTTCCCTTTCTTCCCTTTTTTATCTCTGTGCGATTGATTAATAGTTCCTCATCTAGCGGACAAGGGGTTGAACAGACCCAAGACAGGAAAGGATATCGAGAGCTGGAGTGGGTCCTCATGGTTCTAGCCTAACTCCTGGAATGAGCAATGGATGGTAAAACTACCCAATTCAGAGAAGTGCTAACACAGGGTTATTTTATACTGGTATTACTTATAAGCATGTACTTCTAGACAGGGCCTTTTTAAATGGATCTGCAACTATAAAGTTTGAGAATAAAGTTAACCCAACCTTAAAAAAAGAAAGTTTAATTGAACTAAATCTCATATTGCCTGTAACTCTCTGTCACACAAAAAAGAATATAGCTATGCTTTTGACATTTGGCTGAGTATAACTCCTTTGTTTGTAGAATTCATCAAGCTACTCAAATGGTGAGTGGTATTCCCGAGACTCCGTTTGAGTAACTGCCCCCAGCATTCCAAGATGAGCTTCTCAGTTATAAAGTGCTGTGACTCCACAAAACAGATGATGATTCCTCTGAGGGGTAGAACCCAGAAGTGCTGTGTACATGCATTTTCTTTTGGTAACGAAAGTCTCACTGGTGCTGTTACTTTCACAGGGCAGCAATCATGGTTTGTTTGGAAACAGCACAGCACAATCGAGAGGTCTGCACACTCCAGTGCAGCCGCTGAGTTCTTCTCCTAGTCTTCGGGCGCAAGTGCCTCCCCAGTTTATCTCCCCCCAGGTAAGCAATTTTATGTTTCCACGGTTCAGAATTAAAGACATTCAGCTAGTTTCCAGCTGTTCACTGGCTAGATTTGTGTGTACAAAATGAATGGTAGTTATTAGCCGAAAGTATGGAAAATTGAGTGCCTGATTCAGAATTGTCAGAAGAGAGTATCATATCTTTCTCTTTTTGCATCATACATACAAAGTAGATGTTTTTTATGAAAAACATTATGATTATATTTCTTTACCCAAATTATTTTTCTGTTATGATAACACCTAGAAGTTGGTGGTTCTTTTGAGTATTCACCTGAGCATAGAGAGAAGAATTTTCAGATTGTGGGTTATTCCCAAATTTTAAGGAGGGTACATGTTAAAAAACTAGCTAGATGCTCTGGAAGGCATTCTAGAGCTAATGAACGGGCAGAAGCTTGTGGCTGAAGTGTGTAGAACACGGTCCTGTGGATACTACAGGACTCCTTTAGTCCTCTTCCTTAATAGGACATATGTCACTTGGTTTTCTTCGAGGTGGGGATAAGAGATGTGTGCCAGTCTCTTTATGGATTCTGATAGCCGAAAAATAGCAGAGAGCATAGTAAATATCATATAGATATGTTTACTATAGTTTGGGGAAATGGATGAAGCTTCACACTAGCAGTGATATTTAAACTGGAGTGCGAAGCATCAGTCAGTTTTCAAGCCCCAGTAAGATCAAAGAGGCCTTCTAAGCAGCAGTAGCCTCTCATGCAAGGGGCAGTGTTACCCAAAAGGTGTGGCATCTTTGGAGAACTGAAGTTTAATTACTTTGAGCTGGTCGAAGTGTAGCATGCATGTATTGGCACAGCTGATCGCTCCCTCCTAAAATACTTGGCCTCATTTGAGTTTCAGACACAGTCTACGTTGGTTCTTCTCTATGTGCATCTCCTTTTCTGTCACTGTTATAAGTGCATCTTAAATTTCCCAGCATTTAATCATCAAAGTGCTTAATCTCAAACCTTTCTACTTACTATTTATAGCCACTGGTAGGTGTATATTCAGTCCATCAACAAATCCTCCCTTCAAAACTGTATCCAGACTCTGACCATTTCTTGCCATCTACTGTAACACGGCCCCTGGCCGCATTGCCACTATTTTTCTCACTTATTCCTGGGACCTTTTGCCTATCTCAGTTGGTTCTTGCTGCCTGCAGTCTGAGTCAGGGTGATCCCTTAAAGCCCCACTGTCCCAGTGGTAGCCATTAGCCACGACAGCGCTGGAGATGTGGCTGGTGGGCTGGAAGAACTGAATTTTTTTATTTGATTTGATTGTAGTTAACTCAATTTTAAATATACCTAATTAGTGGCTATTTCAAAATTATAGGAAGCTCTGCATATACTATTCTAAAATATAGGGTAAATAATAGTATTCCTTTCGGGGGAATCCCCTCAGGGCTTGTTCTCTCACGAAGAATGCAGCACCTCTGAGGTTCTTGGTGACATCCTTACCCAGTGCCTGCTGCAAGTTTCCCATGCATTCATGTCTTTCCAGCCAGCTGGCCCCAGCATACCAAGCATACACTAAGAATGCTTTTTTCATAGATTGCCTCTGTCTTCGGCCATCTTCTTCAGCACCACTTTGTAAGACAAGTTTCCCCAGGCCAAATTATACATTAAGTCAGTGTTATAGATCATACAGTCACTGCATCACTCTCTAGCCTCTTAACCTCCAGTAGTTTCCTCTGTCCTTGTGCCCCTGCCCCTAGGAGCATATCATGCTTCAGTGTGACAGGGGCTGGTTTACTTTGTTCACTCCTAAAGCCCAAGCATCTCCAGCTGTGCCTGGCATGTGTTTTGAGCTAAGTGACTATGTCAGATTGTGGAACACTACATATTAGAGTGGTTTCCAAAGTGGAATCATTAGGGCCGGGAATTTAGCTCAGAAGTGTAAGTGCCCGCCAGGCAAGTGTGAGGTGGTGAGTTCGATCCCTGGTACCAAAAAAAAAAAAAAGTGGAATCATTAGAAAAACACAGCTTTCACTGAGAACTGGATGCTGCAGATGCGACCAATGTACTAGTTCTATTTAAAAAAGAAAAGTACAAGCTGGGTGTGACATTGCATGCCTATAATGATAGCAGTTTGAGAGGCTGAGGTAAGAGGACTACCTTAAGTCCATCCTGGGCAACTTAGCCCAGGTGAAATCCTACATCAAAATAAAATATGTTTAAAAAGGGCTGAGGATGTAGCTTAGTGCTGAGACCCTGGGTTCGATCCCCAATATTCCCCCCACAAATTTGTTCACACGGATTTTTGAAATTTGTTTATTTAGCCAGAAATGATTAACACTGACTTAATGTATAATGGGAGCAGGACATTGACTAATGGAATATTCCATTTTTTCTCTTGAAATTTCTGTATTTTGAAAAAACAAAAACTTTGTCTTTTTTGAGACAGTGTCTCGCTATGTAGTTCAGCCTGGCCTTGAGCTCACATTGTAACCCAGGCTGGTCTCAAACTCACAGTGGTCCTCCCACCTCAGCCTCCCAAGTGCTGGGACTACAGGCTTGCTTAACAATTTTTTTCTTTTGAATGTTTTCCTTTGAATTCTTTTTTTAAACTTAGTTGCCCAGAATGACATTTCTTTTCTTTCTTTCATTTTTTGGTACTGGGGATCAAACACAACTTTGCACTTGCAGGGCAGGCACTTGTGTGAATGACATTTCTGAGCCAACGTACATGATTTTTTTTTTTTTTTTACCTTTTTATCGGTACCAGGGATCGAACTCATGACTGCCTGCTTTCAAGGCAGGCGTTTATGCCACTGAGCTAAATCCCTAGCCCCAACATACATGATTTTTAAAAAATGTTTGAAAAACATCAAAATTTACATTCAGTATAATCAATTTATAGGAGAAGTCACTGTTTAATGTAAGCGTAGACAACGAACACTGAAACTCAACATTAAGGCTTCTTGTAGGATTGGGGGTGTGGCTCAGTGATTGAGGCTTGCCTGGTTGTGCAAAGCCCTGGATTCCCTGGGGTGGGGAGAGCAAGTTGTTTCTGTTGTTACCTTCTTCCTTCAGTGGCAGAAGTACCAGAAAATGACATACTGCAGCAGGCTGTTTTGTCCTGCCTTTGAAGTTCCTGCCATTTTGCACCTGTAGTGCATGTTCAGTGCCACATTGATTATAAGATCTTCATTCTCTCCAGCCCACCTAGAGACTGAAGCAATTTTAAACCAGAATAATTGACTGCCAATACCAGGAGTGTACAAACCTGCACTTTACTCACTCCACAATCCAGGCATGAACAGCTGTTTGCCAGGAGTGTAACAGTGCTTCTCGCTGGTCCTTTTGTAATTCTTTGGAAGAAGAAGAAAGGGCAAATCTGCAGAAGGCAGAAGTTGAGCAGAGCTGAATAGGAAGTCCTTATGAGTGTAATTTTCTTGGTTTCTGAAACCATTGTTTTGTGGAACGTAAGAGATGATGCGATGTGTTAGCACTCGTGATTTTTTTAAAAATTTTTCTATAGATGTCTGTCATTAACAGTTGATTCATTTTGCTTTTTTTCCCCCCTAGCTGTGGTTTTTATAGACTCATTTTGTTTTATTTTATTTTATTTTTTCTAGCTTGTGGTTTTTATAGAACTACATTGTGGAAATATACCGTGATTCATTTTGTTATTGTTATACATCTGGATTATTTCTAGATATTCACTATTATGAGCAATATTGCTGTGAATATTCTTCTTTTTGTCTCCTAGGATATATCTTTGTGTGTCTTTTGTGTACATACCTTAAGTGGCCATATCTTTAGTTATAGGAATGTTGAAAAAGGGCACAGAGCAGTGGGCTCTTGACAAGGAATGGTATCCAGTTCCCAAAGTGGAGAGAAGTAGTTGGTCCAGAGTCCTACTGATTTGTTCAGTAGAGCTGGCAAAACGGAACAAAAGAAGGGAAGTGAAAGCTCAGACAATGGCCATATATTTTGGATGCCAGCAGGTCAGCAAATAAAACAGGTAGAGAAGAGCTCTCATGAATCACAAGAAAACTTGGGAAAGGAATTTGGAAACAGTGCTGACAAGCCAGTGTAGCACTGCCCAATTGAAGTATAACTCAAGCCACACAATGTAATTTTTAAAAATTTAATAGCCACATTTTACAAAGGTAAGGAGAAACCAGTAAAACTAATTTTAATGATATATATGTACATTCTCAGGGCTGGGGGTATAGGTCAGTAGTAGAGCCACCAGCAAAGCATGTTGGAGGCCCTGAGTCTGATCCCAGTTTGCTATCTCCCTGTGATGGGGGAAGGAGAAAGCGACAGACAGACAGTGTGTGTTCTTTAACACAGCGCGGTCAGAATGTCATTTTCACATGTAATCAGTGCTTAACAGTATTACTGAAATTTTTCTTTTTGAAAAAAGCTTTTGAAATCGTATATGTCTGGGGGGCAGTACCAAATAGTAGTGAGATTTACTGTTTAAAGTCTGATACAGTTCATGGTGGGAAGTTTTTAGTGACTGCTATCACATTATTCCGATCTCTGTCAAGTTCCACATTCCCATCGATGACCCACTGGGGGAACACAGGTTTGGGATAAGTGGAATACCACTAGAGAAAAGAACTTGGTGGAGGGACTCTTAAGTTAAAATATAATAGATGCCCATTTGTTTAATGGGTTCTTTCGAAGCATCAGCTGTGTGCTGTGCACATAAAAATAGAAGAAATAAATTAATAAAAATTAAAACACAGGGACTGGAGATTTAACTCAGTGGCATAAGCGCCTGCCTTGCAAGCAGGCAGTCGAGAGTTCGATCCCCGGTACTGATAAAAAGAGAAAGAAAAAGACAAAAAAAAAATTAAAACACAGTTGCATGAGTTATTAAATACTACTCAGGAAGAGCAAAATATTTTAAAACATTGTAGATTTTAGTTGACATTGCACATAGTGTTTCAGTTGAGGGTTTGAATGTGACCACTGGAGAAACTAAGATCATAGGCAACATTAAGGGGTGCCGTGTTTGAAGAGGACGATTAGAAGTGACAGAGTCTGCGGGGTGTGAATCTCCCCCCTAAAACATGGTGATCGGCTCCGGGCTCCTCGTTGAGAAACAGAGTGAGCTAAAAGTGAAAAAAAAAGTGTCATGTTTAGCTGAAGATGAGAAACAAGGGAACTGTAATCCTGTGTCTCTCAATGTCTGAAGAGCCATCATGTGGCATAAAATGAACATTTACAGATACATTTCTAAGCATTTGATACAGGTCAAATCAAAATCCTCAAACAATCTACTGTTATTCCTGTTTTGGACATAAAACATATGAGGCCCAGAAAGACTGAATAAGTCCTATGTTCTGAGGCCTACAGCTTAGAAATAGCAGCAATGGGACACATGACCAGGCAGACAACCTCTAGCAATACACTCATTTGGGGTTTGGTTTGTTTTTTTTGAGACATGGTCATGGCCTTGACTCCTGGGCGTAGTGATCTTCCCACCTCAATCTCTTGAGTAGCTAGAGCTGCAAGCATGTGCCACCATGGCATGGCCAACACTGCACTCTTTATCATGTGCGGCTTGCCCTTGTGGGGAAGCGTTATGTTTGTTTGTCCATGGCCCAAATGACCAGCAGGTTCTGTGAATGAAAATGCAGGAGAATTCATTTCAGCTCACTTAAGACATCTTAGCTGCATGATCCAGCAATGAGAGGGAATCCCTTTTGTCACAAGAGCTTCCAGCAGCCTATCCTAATTCACACCTGAAACGCAGGCAGAAGGGGCCAGCTGGGTTGTCTGATCTCCAGGCCCTTTCCATCAGCTCTCTGTGGCTCTGTATTTGGTATCAAAAGTCATCAGTTGAAACTCTAGTGTCTCTTTCTTAGGAGTCTCTATGTATATTGTTCTTATTTGTATGGTACACATAAGTATAGTATAAGCATTTATGCCTATATACAGATAAGTACAGTATAAGCATTTATATGTTCACTTCGTGCAATTTGATATATTTTGTTTTATGACACATTTCCAGTAATAATTTTTCGTGCAATTTGATATATTTTTTTATGACACATTTCCAGTAATAATTTTTCAGTCCGACAAAAGCACTGTTGTCATCAGATCTTTTTTTCCTTGAAGATGATTTCCTAATTGTAAAATTTATCATTTTTATTGTAGAAAATTGGAATAATCCAGGAAAAGTTTGAAAAGTTGTTATGTTACTGTTCAGAGATAATTGTTGTTAACACTTTGATGTGTTTCCTTCACATATTTTTCACATGTGTTGGGTGTGGTGGCACATGCCTGTAATCCCAGCACTCAGGAGACTGAAGCAGGAGGGTCACTGCAAATTCAAGGCCAGTTTGAACTACGTAGTAAGACCCTGTCTCAAAAGAATTTTTTTTCAAGGAAAAAAATGGTTAGTTCTTGCTTAAGATTATTTCTCATCGAAGAAAGTTTTATTTTGGAATTTTTGAGACTCTCCCTCCTCTTTTTTGGCTAGGTTTCTGCCTCAATGCTCAAGCAGTTTCCCAACAGTGGCCTGAATCCAGGTCTTTTCAATGTGGGGCCCCAGTTATCGCCTCAACAAATTGCCATGCTGAGCCAGCTTCCGCAGATTCCCCAGTTTCAGTTGGTAAGTAGTGATTTTCCACCTGTAGTCCCCAAAATGCTACTTGCCCTTTTTTCCCTTTAGCTTTGATTTCTTTCACATATCTTAGTCCTTATGTTTGAAGGACATTAGTTCAAACTTTTGTGAAAACTGTTGAATGTGTGTAAGAGTAGAAATACCAGTTCAGCTGCAGATAAACATAACCAGTTGTCTAGAAACTCGGTGCTTTTGAATTCAGTGACTTGCCCTTGGGTGTACAGACGCTTTCAGGGTTCTTAGGAAGCCTTGATCCCCTCTCTTCCTCCTTGCTTTTGTAGGCATGTCAGCTTCTCCTGCAGCAGCAGCAGCAGCAGCAGCAATTGCTCCAGAACCAGAGAAAGATTTCGCAAGCAGTGCGCCAGCAGCAAGAGCAGCAGGTACGTGGATGGAAAAGGCTATCCCAGGCCTCTTCATACGTGGGTATATCTCAGTGGGAGAACACACATCTTGGCTTCATTTCGGGTAACAGTCAAGGTCCTATGCCACCTTCTCCAGTGAAGTTCAGGCTGTAGGCTGATTGTTTGTTCTCTTCTCCTGGGCCGCTCCTCGATCTGACAGTTGGCTCGAATGGTGAGTGCTCTCCAGCAGCAGCAGCAGCAGCAACAACAGCAGCAGCAGCAGCAGCGACAGCCTAGCATGAAGCATTCACCGTCTCATCCTGTTGGGCCCAAGCCACATCTGGACAACATGGTACCCAACGCGCTGAATGTGGGGCTCCCAGACCTCCAGGCCAAAGGGCCAATCCCTGGATATGGTTCTGGTATGTTTTTCGTAATGCAAACTAACCATCCTAAAAATCTGCCTGTGTTAACCTATAGTAAGAATGAGACCCACGTTACCCTGCATTTTAAGAATAGCCATACAAAGCAGATAAATATTCTTCTCCCTGTCTTACACAGGAAACGAAGTTATCTGAGGCTGTTACGTTTCAGTGGTTTTCCAGGCTTTCCCCACATGTTAGTAAATAGCAGAGATAGACTCCAAAGCAGCCTTCTGCTACGATGTATGCGTGAAGGCTACACTGATCCCTTTCACTAGGTTTTTTGGGGGTGACTAAGGACTCAAGAGCTACACTGCCAACCAGTTGACTAGGTTTTGGGTTTTTTGTTTTGGTTGATTGCTTTATGGGGTTGTTTGTTTGTTTTGTTTTCATTTGAGGGAGGGAGGGATTTCACACTGTTCTTGCCAAGTGTCCCAGGTAGAACATGAACTTTCAATCCTCTTGCCTTAGCTTCCCTCAGTGCTGGGAGCACAGGTGTGTGCCACCACACCCAGCTTCAGTTTTAACCTTCTTAACCGTATTTTCTGTTAAAGATGCAGCCTGATGGAGTAACCAGCTATTCAGTGCCTATGAGTTCTGAGCTCACCCACATGTATGATAAGCAGATTGGCTTTCCCCTTTGTCACAGTGCAGTAGGGCTGGGGGTGTAGCTGCATGGTAGAGAAGCAAACATGGTGTGTGTGAAGTCTGGGGTTCAGTCCTCAGAACCACACATATAGCACTCACACAGTGCAAGCGTTCTCAAAGATGATCAGCAGAAAAGCATCAGAGTCAGAAATGGCTTTTTCACGTCTTTAAAAATACTCTTCTCCAAAAACAAAAAAACCATTTAATCTTTCCACATTCATCCCAAGGGCATGTCGCTAGGTGGAAAGAAAATCCCCTTCCATACCTAGAGCAAGTAGCTTGCTGATGCCTAAACACACACTGGTGGTATGTCAGGAAAGGCCAGGGCCTCACATGCCGGGCAAGCAGTTTTCTGCAGAGAGCTCACCCCCAACCCAAGAGTCACTCTTTTTTTTTTTTTCCTCTTCATTTTTGAGACAGGGTCTCGATACGCTGTTTAGGTTGTCTTTGAACTCACTATATAGCCCAGGCTGGCCTAACAGTCATGTGATCCTCTTGCCTCAGCCTACTGAGTTGTTGGGTTACAGGTGTGCATCCCACACCCAACTAAGGTGGGGCTTTTGTTTTGTTTTGTTTTGTACCAGGGGTTGAATTCATGACCTTGTACTTACCAGGCAGGCGCTTATGCCACTGAGCTACATCCCCAGCCCCAACTTTTTCATTTTAATCATGACTTGATGGTTTATAATCTCCCTTAAAAGTTACGTTTTTGTACATTTTAGTTATAATTTTCCTTACTTTACAGTATAATGTTTGTTGAGTTGAAAAATACTTAGAGCTGAAAATAAATTTGATAAGCCTACCTATTTTGAACAAGCTAAATCTGCATCTGCGGATATTCCTAGCTAGGTGCAGTAATCCAAACTGCTTGAGAAGATGAAGCAGAAGGGTCAAAAGTTCAAGCCCAGCAAGACCTTGTGTCAGAAATTAAAAGAGGTCTGGGGATGTAGTTCGGTGTAAGGCCCTGGGTTCAATCCCAAGTAGCAGGGGGAAGAATTTGCCAAAAATATATTTAAGTATATGTAGAGGGTCAGGGATAGCTCAGTGGCAAAAGCACCTGCCTGGCAAGTATAAGGTCGTGAGTTCAATCCCCAGTACCAATAAATAAGTAAATCAGTAAATAAGTAAGTAAGTTATTTGGAAATGTCTGATAAGAAAACTCTCTGGTATGCAGAAGAGTTCTGAGTATATGTAAAGTTTTTTTCAAAAGCATTATCAGAGATGTAACAAGTACTTCAATTTTCTTAATTCTGAGCACATCAAATTCTAGCAGTGAGCTAGACTCCTAAAATAATAGTTTTTTTGTTTTTAAAGCAACAGCAAATAGACTGTAGATAGGGGAATAAAGTCATAATGTAAGAAAAAGTTAATTTGAGAAGGTAGCCTCAGAATATAGGGATGGAACCAAATGATAGGGATGAATAGAGGCCGAATTAAAATATGCAAGGCAGCAGAGGTGTGTCTGGCCGGGACAGATAAGGTAGGCAAAGAGTTGTACTTGCAAGAATGAAAAGGGAGGTAAAAGCATGTTCTGGTGAAATGAGTCCCGGGGAAGGGAAGGGGCCTGTTTTGCCTCTGCTTGCACCTCAGCTTCTAACACAGAACCTGGCCCAGGTTAGGCTGCTTATAAATACATCATGGAGCTGAATGACCTGGCTGGTTGACTTGAAGTGCTCTGTGTTTGTGAGCTGGACAGTTCCATTTGGTGAACTGAAGAAGTTTGGTTTTCATGAAGTGGTGAGTACAGTGAAGTCAGTATTGTCCTGGGTTTGAGCCATGAGAGTTCATAAATAGCCAGAGATCACTAGTGAACTGTCCCCTACTCTGTGTTAAACGTAGCACTTAAATCACTGTCTCCAACTTTCTTCCATCACAATCATCACACACATTCCATATCCTAGTGTCATATGTTTACTGTGTGTGTGTGTGTGTGTGTGTGTGTGTGTGTGTGTGTGTGTGTCTCATCTGGTGCTAAAAATGGAACTCCAGGCCATATGTGTGCTAAGCAAGCTCTGTACCATTGAATTGCACCCCCTAGCCCCCAGCGCTCCCCAGTGTACATCTTTGCATTGGTTTTTCCCCTCATTTTGGGTTTATTTTTCCCCTCATCATTTTGGGTTTATAGATTGATCCTTCCAAGACAGATCTATCTCCTGTTCCCCCTCTTTTCTCCCCATGCCCTTTTCTTCCTTACTAAACCCTATGATCTGACTGTGGTCCCTTCCTGTTGTAAGGCTCTTGGTCCTCAAATTCCCAGTGAGACATTGGTCTACTTAAGCTAAACTACAGCTACATCTCCTCACCTTTCCCCTAAGATTTATAATTCTTAGTTTACATGTCATAAGAAAACTCCAGCAGCTGAAACTAAATAACTAATTCACTATGAGTTTTAAAGGCATTTTAGAGTAACTTACAAGAAAACTAACATATAAAGAATGCTTCCTTATCTTCCTACCAGTACTTATATTCATTTTAACCGCTGCCCAAATCCTAGGTTATTTTCAAAAGCTTTCAGTTTAGATGGCTTGTAACCTAAGCATCTTGGCCTAATTTTCTCACTCAGATCCAGAAATGTAATTTGTCCAGGGAGCAACCTGCTTAGTCCTTTGAAGGCTTATGTCAGAGAAATTCCTCATTCCTTTCAGCCTCCCTGTCTGCCTGTCTCTTTTCATTTCTTTTACATAGGTCAAATGGGGAGGGAAATCTTTTCTTGTTTTTTGAAATAGGGTCTCACTATATAGTTTAGGCTGGACTTCAAGTTGTAACAGTCCTCTTGCCTCAGCCTCTGAGGGCTGGGATTAGAGGTGTGCTCCACAACCAGCTTGAAAATAGCAAAAATTTAAATACAGGGTAGGATTGATTTATTGTTTATAACAATACCCTATACCACTAGGATAAGCACAGGGGAGAAAAACCATGAGATATGCCTCAGTGGGATTTGGAGAAATGAAGGGTGAAAAAGGCCTGTTAGGCCTTCCAGTGGTAGGAAGGCAAAATGAGACCCCTGGAGCCTGGCCTAGTTGGATCTGCACAGCATTCAGCCTGCAGGCCTTCATGATCTTGATGTGGTGGCCCTCACCTCCCTGGTATGCCTGCTCTGCCACTCTTGTGTTGTTCCCCATTGCTTATTCTCAGTTGTCTGCGGATATTCATTGTTCTTTAAGTCTTTAATTCCTTTCTTCCTTCCTTACCTCCTCTCCGCTTCCTCTTCTCCTTCTTTCCACTTTCTCCTTTCCTTCCTTTTTTTGACAATCAGTTTGAAATGTTATGTTCTTTCTGTCCCAAATGGAAAATGGGTGGAGGCCCCATGAGACTCCATCAAGCCTCTCATGTGCATATGGCGTTCAGTTCTCTTGCTCTGTGCACTGGGAAACACTACCCACCTCAACTCTAGAGCTTGACACCTAGGGCTTACTTGGGGCTTGTGGCAGTGTGAACTCAGAACCTTTGCTGACTGCATCACCAGCTTTGGGGTCTTCTTCATGGAGTCTCCTTTGAAATCGCTGTCTCAGGTTCTTTCCACCCTCCATCTGCTCCATTCTTACCTTGCTTCTCTTTTTAAACCACAACCCCTACCCCACCCCTCACCCTTTGCATGCAAAAATTGAATTTCGTCCTATGGGGAGAAAGGTCCCAACTCCTTGGCCAGAAATTTTCTTTTTTTTTTTCCCTTTTTGTACTGTGGATCGAACTCATGACCTTGTGCTTGTCAGGTAAGCGCTTATGCCATTGAGCTAAATCCCTGGCCCCTAGAAATTTTTAAGACCATACATGACATGACTTTTCATTCCTGCCTATGCCCTGCCACTCTCTGCCCCATTTTTTGTGCAGTCAGGTTTCTTGGAGCCCCGTTGAACTGAGCAGACCTGATTGTCATGTATCAGAGCCTTGCACTTGGTGTCCTAGGCCCTGGCTCATAGGCCCCCTGCAAAGCCTTTCCTCCCAGGTACCCTGTCACTGTTCTGCCCGCTGGTTTCATGTGTGGTTTTCTCCACCTCATCTGGAGAAAGGTTGCCCCCAGGAAACTTCATGGCACACATGTTTGCTCAGTAAAAAAGTGAATGCACACAGACACTGAGACTTAGTAGATGACAGTGACACATGTCATCATGCCCTAACAAGGTGGCAGCAGTATTTTAGCAAGTGGGAGCTATAGTTAGTTTTAAATCAAAGAATTTTTTTGTGTGTGGAGAGACTTCGTGACTTAGCCTGTGAGCAACAAACAAGGCATTCATGGGTTCCTGAGGATGCTTGTTTACTGAGAGGAGAGATGTGTGGCTCTTTGTTTCAGGCTTCAGCTCTGGCAGCATGGACTATGGCATGGTTGGTGGGAAGGAAGCAGGGACTGAGTCTCGCTTCAAGCAGTGGACCTCCATGATGGAAGGACTGCCCTCTGTGGCCACGCAGGACGCCAGCATGCACAAAAATGGTAAGAGTAGGTTGGGCTCAGTGGCCTTGATGAAGCGTGACACATAGGTCTCGTCTTAGTGAGTCTCTTGATACTTTTTTCCCCAGGTTTTATGCTTGTCCATCAGAGGAAGGTTAGCCTTGTGTGTGTTTCAAATTATAAGAAATTTAAAGTGCTAGTTCTAATTACAGGGAGTAAAATTTCCCACCTGCTGTGGAATTAGAGGGTAGTAGCAGTGAATTTGGGCACCTCATTAGGTTAAAGCCCTAATGAAGTACCTGAGAGGGCAGAATCATCCTGTCTCCCTCACCTCTGCCTCTGGTCTTATTCGTTTTTGTTTTTCTAAAAAACAGATCAAAACGAATAATGTCTATATTTTGCCAAGTGTTGGAACTATATGAAATTCACCAACTTTGGAAAATTTTCTGCCCTTTAAACTCCAAACGATGACTAACAGGTCAAAATACACAGGGTTTGAACTTTTTTCACAAGGCTTTCTTATTCTTTGTAAGTTGCAGTGTCTTGCAGGGGCATCATTTGAGGCTCTGGCTTTGGCTGTAAATGTGGATCTGCCCCTCCTCACCATAATCTTCTATAAAGGTTTCTCCATGTCCCTGCAAAACAGATTAAAAGTCTCCAAACCTACCACCTTCAGCCTTGTTTCAGTATTTGTTCCATGTGGCAATAATTCCCTTGTACTGCCCTGTACTGTGACTAGGAAGTATAAATGACCGTCTCTGCTACACCACCCCGGCAGTAACTCAGTCTGCAGCCTTTCAGGTTCCCGCAATTATCAGCCTCTTCAAGAGCCCCACAGGAGGTGGGGAAGGAGCCACCTGGAGCTTCCTGCCTGCCATCCTAAACATGATCATTTGATTTTATGGCGCACAACAACAGTGATTTACTGGAATTGTGAAATCTATTTTTGGTCTGAATACCGCTGTAGCCAGTGGGCATACTTTTGGACACTTCCACTGCTTCCTCAGGCTAATGATTCACCAGGTCCCCTTGTCTCCAAAGACGTGAAAGGTGCATGATTATAAGTACATAATGGCGTGTGAGAGGCTGTCTCTGGAAGGTGAACTTCCCTATTTATTTTTCAGGTAATGTTTTTTCCATTTCCTTAGAGATCCCCAAGGTAACCGAGCTTCTCATTTTCCACTATTTCACTGTAATGTGCTTCAGAGCCAAATATCTGTCCAAATAATTCTCTAGCTGATCGTGGAGATGTTTTTTTAAAACTCCTGTTAGGCCAATCAGATTATTTTATTCAATATCTGCACAACTATTCTAGAAATAATTTTATCTGTTCAGAGGCATCTTAAGACTATACTGAGTAGCCCAATACAATACCTAAGATTTGTTTCGTAAGATCTGATAAGTACAATGGTATCTTATCAGATACCTAAAACTTTATTTCAAATAAAGCACTTTCTTTTCTTGATGGTTTAAGGGGATCTTAAGCTATTTGCTTTTTTCCTGTAGCATGTAAATGCGTGAAAAGGGGGCCGGCAAAGCCACTGGAATGCCCTCAGGAATGTGGTCACAAAGGGTTTGCTGTTCTTGGTCTGTGTGGCCCTGAGTCTTAGAGCTGCTGAGTTCACTGCTGGTCTTGTATTGGCAGAGACCCTGAGTGGGAATTCTATCTCATTGCTTTGGAATTTAAAGCAATTGCAGATGGCTTTCTCTTCAATGGCCCCTCTGCACACTGCTGCTTCCAGCTAACATAGGCTCAACCAGCACTAAAGGGGCGGGGGGCAATCATCATCAGTAGAAGTAACTTTTCAGACCCTCCACTGTGCTACAATTTGTGCAGTGTTCTTTGCGTTTTCATTCTTGAGTGATTAGCATAGAAACCACAGCGATAATGGTATGATTAGTAGTTGCAAACTCTCATTGATTTTACAAATCATGGGATTTTAAGGCCAAAAGGACTTTTGCGAATGAGAACAGTCTTTTGGGCCTAAGTGAGAGACTGAGAGGCTTAGAGAGGTAAGTTGAATTGTTATGGTCATGCTGCTTATTAATTATAGACCGAGTCTCCCATGCAACCTCTTAGTCCAATATTCTTTCTTCTCCGTAAGTGTCATACTATATTTGAGCTTCTCTGGAAAAAAGATAGAGAAGTTCTGTTTGCCAGAGCTCTCTGAATGAATTAATTACCTCTCTTTTTTCTCAGGCGCTATAGTGGCCCCTGGTAAGACCCGAGGAGGGTCACCGTACAACCAGTTTGATATCATCCCTGGTGACTCACTGGGCGGTCATACGGGTCCTGCTGGTGATAGCTGGTTACCTGCCAAATCTCCACCAACAAATAAAATCGGAAGTAAATCCAGCAATGCCAGTTGGCCTCCAGGTATTGTTCAGGAAATGGTCTTGCTAAGATAGCCTTTGTTTTTTAATTGTTCATTTCAAGTTCTTGAACACTTGGCTTTGGCACTTACATTCCTTTTATTTTTAATTATTGTATGAAAGGCAAGGTATGTGCTTAAACATAGGTACTGTGGGAAGATAGAAAATCTCCATCAGACAGGGAGCCTGGGGCTGAAGGCAGGGACCACATAACTAAAACCTGGCACCCTTCGCGCATATGGGAGGCTCTGTCCAAGTGTCTGCAATGTTGATTGGTTTACTTACTAGGCAATTATTTATTGTCAGGTTCAGTTATGTGGCAGTGAATAAAATGAGATTGTTAATGTTTTCTCTGACTCTGTCTCACAAGATAATCTGTTTTGATTGTAGAATAATTAGAAAATTTAGTAAAGCAAAAATAAAAATCAATAATGGTATAAATACATCTATGTCCAAGACTTCTGTGTGTGGTAGTTACTTGTGTGTGAATATGTATAATTCCATTTTATTACAGTAGGATGAATAATGCATATTATTCATATATATACTGTCCTTTCTCAACATTAGGAAAAGAAAATTTATTTCTGTCATATAGCTTTATATATTATTTCAGTTGACCAACAGGATTATTTATAAGCTTTCATTCATAACCTAGGCAGTGATGGTGAACCTTTTAGAGCCTTCAGTGATAACAAACAGCCCGGGGCGCCATACATGCCATAGGTTTGTCACCCCTGCTGTGGGGTTTCTCCTGATAAGTAAATTATTCCTGTTGATTATGCTTAAGTGGTCTATTTAGCAGGGGTTATTTGAATTCCATTTTCCTTTGCATTTTTGGCCAATATCTAATGAGGGAAATGGGAGAGATGACTGGTCTCCAGCCTAGATTTTCTCCCAGTTCTTGGCCTCAGTTCCTGGACATTTCTTAGGAGCCCCAGATTATATACTCCTGTTTTATCCCTGCCTTCAGGCCTGGATTTCCCTTGGAACTTTCCTGGGGCAGAGACAAAGCAGCTAATGGACTTGGCAGCATATCAGGGAGGAAACAGCTGAGCCATCAAGTTCACTGCTACATTTAGAGAGACACATGTTATGATAACATAAAGGTGCTACTGGCAAGAATTTGTGTTTTGAAAAAATTTTCTTTATAATTTCATGATGAGTGCTTGTTTAAGCAGCAGGTACAGTAAAATTTCATGATGAAAACCTGAGACAGATTCAGTATTTAGTCTTTCACCAACCCATTTCTTCTACTAAAAAAATATATGTGTGTTTTCATGAACAGCCTTCTACCCCTAACACTTGTTGTTCTTGTCTCAGAATTCCAACCAGGAGTGCCATGGAAAGGTATCCAAAACATTGACCCTGAGTCTGACCCCTATGTGACCCCAGGAAGTGTGCTGGGGGGTACAGCCACATCTCCCATTGTAGATACTGACCACCAACTGCTGCGGGATAACACCACAGGTAAACAAGTGCAGCATCCCTTGTGTGGGGGTACAGCATCCAGCATTTTTGTAGTTGTCAACCTGTGGCTTCGTTGGTACATGGAATTGCTTTTCACATCTTTGTTTTTAAGATACATTTTATTCCCCTTCTGTTGAAGTTTTAACATACTCGGAGGATTTCACCGGTTATACTGACATGTGTCTTCAATATTTTCTTCTTGTTTGTTGTCACCTCAAGGGTCTAATTCTTCCCTCAACACCTCGCTGCCTTCACCTGGTGCCTGGCCCTACAGTGCCTCTGATAACTCCTTTACCAACGTTCATAGCACTTCAGGTATGAACTTTCATAAATGAAACATGCATTTATTTCCTAAGGAACACATTCAGAGACATTGAATTGCATAGTTGGTGTGGGGAGAAGTATGTCTTTTCTGTTTGACATCTGCTCAAGGAGTTTCTGGCCCTTCAGAGATCAGATGAGACAGGTACAATTCTGGGGCAACACCATTGGCCAGGAGCTAGGTACAATCTTGGGCATAGGTCATGACCTGGTGACACAGATGCTTCTCTTAGCCAGCTGATCAAGAAATCAGTGGCCATGGGAGTAACCAGTTAAGCCCAAGTTAATCATTCCTCTGACAGCCATTGATCCGTTGCTTTTCCATAAAAATCTTTCCGCTTATACACAAACAAGGGCAGATTGCCAAAGTCCAAAAGAAGATCTCAGTTAATTGTACCAGTTAATTTGTTGGCTCAGTGCAACCATGCACACCTGTGATCTCAGCACTTGGGAAGATCGCCACCAATTCAAGGCAGCCTGGGCTATGTAGTAAGACCTATATCAAAAAACCAAAACAGATTTTTGAAGTCAGCACAATGTCTTGTAGATAATAGAAAACTCATTAGAAATTGGTGCTTTTGTTTTGCAAAAGTTGGACATTAAGCTGTTAAAGTTACTAAGATTTCTGTGCCTTGTTCAAGTAAAAGCAAATGAAGGAAATCTTAACCTAGTAAATCACTGCAGCCTCATGGTCTTGACATTTTCTATTTCTTTTCACCTCTATCATATTAATAATGCAACCTCCCATTTATTGAATGCTTTTGTGGGTCAGGCATCATGCTGAGTAAGCCCTGAGCTGAATTCTTTTCTGGGCTTCACCTTCTTTTTGATACTGTATGATCTGCTATTACTCCATTTTGTAGATGGAGAAACAGATTCAAAAAGCTGTTAAACAGGCCAGGATGTAGTTTAATAGGAGACCACTAGCCTAGCTTGTGTGAGGCCCTGGGTTCAATTCCAGCACTGCAAAAGAATAAAAATAGAAGCAAAGACCTGTTACTGTTTCCCCCAGGTCTGAGCCTGAGTTTCCTTTTTGGTGGTGGTGGTGATGGTGGTAGAGAAAGGGTCTGGTATGTCATTCAGGCCAGCCTCAAACTCCAGACTGGCCTCACACTCTGCCTCAGCCTCCTGAGATGTGCCACTCTGCACTGCCTGTCTATTTTGAGGGGAGCAATCCCAAAGATTGAACCTAGGGCCTTGGCGTTGAGCTATATCCCCTTGCACCCTCCCGCCCACCTCCTTTTCTTGAGTTAGGATCTTGCTATCTAGCCCAAGCTTTCCTGGAACTCGCTGTGTAGCCTAGGTTGGCCTCAAAATTTTACCATCCTCCTAGCTTAGCCTCCCAAATGTTGGGTTGCAGACAGGCCTATGCCACCATGCCTGGCTTTTTTTCTTTCTGTTTATCTTTTTTTTGAGATAGGGTTTCACTATATAATTCAGGCTGACTTTTACTTTGAACTCACTGTGTACCCCAGGCTGGGCTCAAACTTGTAGCAGTCCTCCTGCCTCAGGCTTCCAAGTGCTTGGATTTTTTAGACATGTGCCACCACAACCAGCACTACTTTATTTCTTTAATAATTTTTGATACGGGATCTCATTATGTTGCTCCAAACTCGGGCTCAAGTGATCCTCCTTCCTCAGCCTCCTGAGTGGCTGGGTACCCAATGCTGTGTTTGGCTTTCATCCCAGACTTTTACCTATAAAAATGCTTGTATCTTAGGCTGAACTATGTATCTTTTTCCTGTAATTGAACATTGACCAATCATCTCACACTTACCTAATAATAAAAGCTCTACATCCTCTAAATTATTTCTTTCCTTTCCTCTTCTGTAATATCTCTGTGTGTGTGTGTGTGTGTGTGTGTGTGTGTTGCTGGGAATCAAACCCAGGGCCCTGTTTAGAGGCGGCAAGCACTAGTATCATTGAACTACAGCTGTACCCAGCTTCCCTCGCTCTGTCTGTCGGACTTTCTTTCTGAAATAGGTTGTCAGTAAGTTGCCCAAGTGAGTCTAGAACTTGTGTTCCTCCTGCCTTTGCCCCTGGAATAGCTAAGACTACAGTTGTGTACCAACACACCTGGCCTTTATTTTTCTTCACAGTATTCCTATGTATCAGTCACAAAATTTCAATAGTTTTCCCCTTTCCTCTCTGCCTTGCTCCAGGCAGTGCTGTCTCTGGAGTGGTGTGTTATGCATTTGAATGTCTCATACCTCCTCCTCCTCTTCCTTTCTCTTGGATGTCACCCTAATTGAAACATTCCATGCTGAATCTACTGCTTAAACTCCTGATAACCACTTACTCAGCCCAAGCCTATCTTGTGGCCTCCTTACCTGTCTGCCCCTGTGCTCAGCCAGGACTGAAAGAGAATTTATCCGGTACAGGGACAGTGTATGTTGAACCTTTGTTCTGTGCTCCACTTTTCCCAAACCCATCTATTTGTGTAAATCCTGGAATCCTGTCTTTGCAAAGCCTTTGCTGTCACACACTCTCCTCTGTGTGTGGAACATACATGGTGGTGTTGGAGTTACCAGTCCTATCATTTCACCATTCAGTGTTTCATCTGAACTGGGGACTTGAGAATAACGTTACTTATGGTGCTGATTTAGTGCCTTAAGCATAGTGAGCCATTAGTGAATACTGGCTGATTTTTAAAATTTGTTTGAAAATTGGGTGTCTGTTATGCAGAATCAAGGCACAAGAAAAGTATAATTTTTAATACATTACCATGCAGTCAGTATTTACAGAAAGTTTTAGATTTTTGTTTTGTTTTTAATTTTACTTTTGCCAGTACTCACCGTATCACTACATCTGTAAGCCTGTTACAGCTTTGGGAACATATCCTTGAATTTGTCTTCCATTTATGTTGTATTTAGCTAAGAAAGTAGTAGAAAATCAGTCATCTCATTAAGTGTTCAAGCCACATGATGATGTGTCTTTTCAGAGTAATAATCACCAAAAATTTTAAGCTTGAATAACAATGTTAGTTGGTACTGCCATTCTTAAAATATGTGCTTCTTGGGGCTGGGGATTTAGCTTAGCAGCGTAAGCGCCTGCCTTGCAAGCAGGCAGTGGTGAGTTTGATCCCTGATACCAATTTTTAAAAAAATGTGCTTCTGTTAGGGGCTGGGGATTTAGCTCAGCGGCATAAGCGCCTGCCTTGCAAGCAGGCAGTCGTGAGTTCGGTCCCTGGTACCGATAAAAACGAAAAAAAGACAAAAAAAAAATAAAAAAGAAAAAAAAATGTGCTTCTGTTGCTTTTTTGATATAATACCTGTGTGGAGACAAAAATTTGTATGTTAAGGTAGTCTGTCTAATCTTTCTCCTTCCGAAATTTTCTCTTGACAGCAAAGTTCCCTGATTACAAATCCACGTGGTCCCCAGATCCCATAGGACACAATCCCACTCATCTCTCCAACAAGATGTGGAAAAACCACATTTCCTCCAGGAACACTACACCGCTGCCCCGCCCACCTCCCGGCCTGACTAACCCCAAACCGGCGTCTCCCTGGAGCAGCACAGCACCCCGATCAGTCAGGGGGTGGGGGACACAGGACTCTCGGCTTGCCTCGGGTGAGAGGGCTTCGCCTCAGGGGAGGAAGGACATGAAGGGCTGTGCACACAAGCAGGTCACAGTTGTCTGGAAAGGGCAGAAGTATCTCACGACTAGCAGATTGCAGTCAGTACAAGACAGAGTCAGGGACTGTCAAGGACAGGTGGAGTAAAGAGAGCGGGTCGCAGAGTGAGGATTCTGGGAGGGAAACGGAGCCATGCAGATAAGCAGAAGAATAGAGAGGCCAGGGACTAGGAGGAGACGAAAGTGAGTCAGGCAGAAGAGACACTTTACAAAAGAGAGACAAGAGGGACAGGCTACATGAAAATGGTTCTGCCTCATCGCTTTCTTGGCTTCCCTTGCTAGTCTTCCTCATCCTTTTTTCTGGTTGGTTACAGCCTCTACCTGGAGTGATGGTGGCTCAGTTCGTCCTAGTTACTGGCTGGTTCTTCACAATCTCACTCCACAGGTAATCATACTCTCTTGTGGTTTATAGATAGGACTCAGTGGTGTTACGAGAGAGAGGGGAATGTGGAGATGGGGAACTTATTTCCTGGTCACAGCACAGAGGTCTTTTCTATAGGAGTGGATCTTCCCTTGCCACCCAAGTTTCCCAGGCTACTTCTAAAGGGAACTGGGCAGCCCCTCCGCCTCACACTTGCCTCCAGGTATGGAAATACATGTAGTTTAGAGAATAGGGACAAGGCAGGGGGGTATTGTCTGGTGATTCTGGGTAGCGGAGGTAATTTGCTATATAGCTATGCTGGTTAGAGGCTGGAACCAAGTGGAAAGGGATGTTTTTACCACACACAAAGAAATTGCCTGTTTTAGTTAGTTGTCTCACAAAACTTGAGGGTCAATGTTAACAAGTTTTATGCTTCTTCAGTAATTAACTGTCCATCTTTACAGTAGAAGAAATGATTGATTTCACAGTTTAAATGCCACATGGGTTCTTTTGGTATTCGACCTGTTATCCTCTTTGAATATAGATGGCATCACTGCTTTGCACACCTGACAAGCCCTGTGGGTAATATTTCTGGGGTAGGTTTTCTCTACCCAGAGGCACATTCACTGTCACCTTAATTGCTCGATAGCTGAAGCATTTCTGGCAACATCATGTTCATCACTTTAACGTGACCAGGTGAATCCTTCCGGTCTGAACCCGTGGCCTTCCTCTGTGCTTCGCAGTACAGCCTTTGCCACGCTGTGATAAAGGGGTCAATTATGTCTCGCTCTTTTTGACATGGAGAATAATGGCCTGTCTGGAATTTAGTTCCTACGTGGAGTTGCAGATACCTCTGTAAGTCAGTATTTGCAGGGTGTTCCCTTGAGATTCATTATCAGGTCACCAGCCTGGTGTTCAGAATATATACTTCATTAAACAAAAGCATTACCTTCGTCTTTGGGGAAATACATTATCCTCTAAATTTATTTGCCCAGCTAACCCAGTTGTTGGGAATAGATCATAAGACCCATATTTCAAGGTCATTTGAGAAAGTCATTATTAACCTCTGTATCTAGATGCAGCTAAAAGTCCCAAGTATTCCCTTAGCTAATACTTGACTGGCCTCACAAATGGTAGGCAAGTACTGTACCACTGAGCTAGATCCCCAACCCCAGTATGAAGAATCTCAGCTTGATGAGGTGGCATACTCTTATAATCCAAATACTTAAAGGCTAAGACAGGTTGATTATGAGTTTGCGGCCATCCTGGGCTACATAGCAAGAACCTGTCTCAAAAGAAGCAAATAAAAAACAAGGGAGTTTTAAAACTGTGTGTTTTTCTCAAGAGTTGTCACAGAGTGGCAGTGCTTATGTGTTAAGGTGGAAGAAGCTGTAAGCTTTGAAAGGAGCCTGGGCATACTACCTCGCTGTTCACTTACTCTGTCTTTTTTTTTTTTTAATTAGTAAAAAAAGAAAAGAAAATGTATTATTTTGTTTGGTTGGTTTTTAAAGACAGGGCTTGCTGTGTATTTCAGGCTGGCCTTGAATTCACTTTGTGTTGGGATTATAGGTGTGTTCAACCATGCCCAACTTTGGTGGTTATATTTGTATTAGAAAGAATTGTTTACTTTTTGAAAAAGTGATGTAATATCAAGCTAATGTTAATCATAGTTTAAAAGATTATAAAATGACTAGGGATATAGCTCAGTGGCACAGCATCTGCCTGGCAAATGCAAGGTCCTGAGTTCAATTTCTGGTAACCTCCTTCCCCAAAAAATACGTTTTAAGAGCAAATGAATCGGGGACTGGGGATTTAGCTCAGCGGCATAAGCACCTGCCTTGCAAGCAGGCGGTCGAGAGTTCAATCCCTGGTACCTGATAAAAATGAAAAAGACAAAAAAAAAAGCAAATGAATCTGGATAAATTTACTTTTCATCACATAAAATGTGCTTAGAGATACAGTGTTTACATGTGCAAGAAAAAAAAATGTGCTTAGAGGACATATATGTATCCTGAAAACTCATTTGTGGCATATATTGTCAGGCATATTTAGTCAGTAATCACTTATAATACTAACTGTGCTTTTTCTGATCATTTTCTGTAAAGAGCTAAGGTTAATTTCCATCCTGCAGTTTTCTCACTGCTGCCACAAATAGCATAACTTTTCAAAGCAATTACAGTACTAATGCGTACCCTGGAATGAACTGAAAAGTTGCAGTCAGCAGCTTAAAGAAACTTGTTTAGAATCTTGATGCAAAATCAGTCATGTAGCGTGAATAGGTTTGTTCATCCTACTGAGAGGTTAGGGAAATTATCCTCCTTTCTGAACACTCAAGTAGTGAGCTTCTTAACTGGGAATAGGGACAACAGCTTTTGGTTATATTGCCTGAGGGCAGCAAAAAATCCACTCAGAGAAAGATGGTCAAACCTGGAGCAAAGCAGTGTTGGAATAGTCTGTGACCTGCCCAGTCATTGATGTTATAAATCATCAGGGCTTAGCAGTGCTTTTCTTGTTTGTGTCTTTCTCTTTACCTCTGTGAGATTGTTTACTGGGGAGGCTACAAATTAGTAACACTGAGAAATTTGCATGGTAATTTAAATTCTTATCATTGAGGATCATTGAGTTTGTGACCAGCCTGGACTACAAAGTGAGCTCAAGGCCAGCCTCAATTGCATATCGAGACCCTGTCTCAAAATGACAAAAAATAAATAAATTCTTATTTGGGAACCATCTCATTTCTTCCTTTTTAGGCTTAGAAAATAACACACATTTCCTTGTTTACCTCTTAAAAGAAAATAGACCATGGAGTGAATGATTTGCTTCATTTTGAGCTGTATTTTTTTGCAGACATTTTATTTCCAGAATGAGAACAGTAGATCTCAGCCCAGTGCCTCATCTTAATTTACCTTTTTCACCACTCCTCAAACTTTTATGTCGTGAATATCATTACTCCTTAGATTGATGGGTCAACCTTGAGAACGATCTGCATGCAGCATGGTCCACTGCTGACATTCCATCTGAATCTCACCCAGGGCACTGCCCTGATCCGATACAGCACCAAACAGGAGGCAGCCAAGGCCCAGACTGCACTGCACATGTGAGTATTACACCCTGTACCCAGGCAGACATACATCCCTCTAAGGACACATGTATTATGGTGCCTGATTAATTAAACGAATGTGTGCACTTACAAGTCTTGGATTCTGAGGTAACAGGTCTTTTCTGCCCAATCAAATATAAATTGTCCTATGTATATTATAGACTGGTAATCAAATTGTAAATTTAAATAATTTGTGAAGTTGCAAGTACATTTTTTTTTGTCTTGGCAGTGGTGGGATTAAACCCAGGGCCTTAACACATGCTAAGTACTGAGTAGATTTTAAGTACCATGAAACAAAGCCAGTACTTACAAAAATGAAATGTTTTTAGTGCTAACATCTTTCATAATAGGATCTAGCTGCTAATTGTGACTTTAACATCTTTAACAGATGATGATGAATTTATTGTCTGGGTGAGTAGCAGGTTTTGTGTTTGAAGTAAATAGGACTGGATCAGACTTTGACCATCCTTTTCCCAGCCACTGTCAAATTTGTGCACTCCCTTTAACCGCCAGTCCCTTGACAAAAGCCCACACACACAGCAGTCGTGAGATGTGAGCCTGGGCAGCCAGGCAGCCTGTGACACAGAGCAGCAGCTCCAGGGAGCCAACACTGGGTTCCCTCATGCTCTGCATGTGATGCTTTCCCTCACCTGGAAAAAAGTGAGTTAACATTTTTCTTCTCCTTTTCTAAGACTTGGATTTTTTGGAGTACTTTTTACAAAACTTGAGAGGAAAGTACAGGGATATCCCATATACTCCAGCTCCCCACTGCATATACATAGCCTCCCCAAATACCAACGTCATCCTTGAGAATACTCCGTTGGTCACAACTGATACACATACAGTGACATAATCCCCCCAGACTCCACAGTTACATTGGTGGTCACGCTTGCCAGTGTACATTCTGAATTTGTATACTTGTAACAACAGGTAGCTACTGTCATCATATTGGTCTGTATAGTTTCATTACTCACAGAGACTTCTCTGTTTCACAGATTGATCCTCCAACACACACAAGTCATCTGAAAAATAAAAATTCCAGGGCCAGGGATTTAGCTTAGTGGCACAAGCACCCGCCTAGCAAGCACAAGGTCATGAGTTCAATCCCCAATACTAATAAATAAATAAATTCCATCCCCAGAGGCATGGATACATAGTATCCTCTGGCAGTCTCTGGCTAGTTTGAGTTTTGTCATTACTTTACATCAGTTGGAAGAGAGGCTCTGATCCTCAGGCCTGCAGTAGGGCCTGTGATCCTACATCCTAAAAAGCATGCAAGCACCACAGCCTGAAAGCCTTGCTCCTGTTTGTGCTGGAAGGTCTTCCTCAGACCTGCAGCTGTCTTTCCCTCCTTTCTCCAGGTGTGTATTGGGAAACACTACCATCCTGGCTGAGTTTGCCACTGATGATGAAGTTAGCCGCTTTCTGGCACAAGCTCAGCCCCCTACACCTGCAGCGACCCCAAGTGCGCCGGCCGCAGGGTGGCAGTCATTGGAAACTGGCCAGAATCAGTCAGACCCCGTCGGACCTGCGCTGAACCTTTTCGGTGGGTCCACTGGGCTCGGGCAATGGAGCAGCAGTGCTGGTGGCAGCAGCGGGGCTGATCTTGCTGGCGCTTCGTTGTGGGGGCCCCCAAACTATTCTTCTAGCTTGTGGGGAGTCCCGACTGTGGAAGATCCCCATAGGATGGGTAGCCCTGCTCCTTTACTACCTGGTGACCTTCTGGGAGGAGGGTCGGATTCAATCTGAACTTAGAACTTTCAACTCTGACCTCGTGACCTTTTTTGGAACAGCAGCAGCACTAACTTGACCTTTTCGTTTTTTTTTTCAACTTGCAATAAATACATTTTTAAAAGGAAAAAAGAAAACGGAGAGAGAAAAAAAGGTGGGTCATTGCAGACTGTCTGAGCACATAGTTGCCTCCCTTATAACTTCAGTTTTTTCGTTTGGAATATGAATCCAAAAAGAGAACATATCACTCTTGAAATACTTGAATCATGAACGCCAACCTAGAAAGACAATGTGAAGCAAGTACACATACCATTTAAATTTAAACACAAAAAAATTAAAAAAATTAGTTTCTAGTTTTTCACTTTTTTCATGTTATATGGAAGTTGTTGCTAAGAAACATATATACTGAAAAAAATAGCTTTTTAACTTTGTTTGCACTGGGTGTGTTTCCGTCCTTAGGTCTACCATGTTTGGGAGGGAGGGAAATTCAAAAGAATTGTTGGGGGAGGGGGGAGGGAAGACTTGACGGAGCCTCACTTTAAAAACAAAAACACAAAAAACTTTTAAAAAAAAAAAAAGGAAAAATTTGTGATTGGCTGGTTGATAAATACCAGTGTGTTCTGGCACATGTAACTGCCCAGGCATGCTCGTTCTGGTATGTGTGTGCACGTGTGTTCATGCGCATCCGCGTGCATCCTCCTCTGTCTCTGTGTGTGTGCCTGCGTCCCACCCTTCTCCCACTCCACCCTGATTCTCAGAAAGCTGCATTGCTGACAGTCTACGGGCTGGCTGGCCGGCCATCTGCTGCCTTTTTTGTTTTTTGTTTTGGTTTGGATTTTTTTAACTATAAGAACACACAAGCATGGGGAGCCACTGCAACTCCACCCACTCCGTTGGACTGCACCGAATCAGAGTGCTTTTTAACGATTAGCACAGGGAGCTCCTTTCCACTTGCACATCAGCCTGAGTGTGAGGTTCTCTAGCTTTTCTCCTGACCTAGCAGTAGAGCGGAGCACTGCCAACTCCAAGATTCAGAGAGCAGGAGGTACCTCTCAAGCAACCGTGTGTTCATTTTCTGTTTTTCAAAATGAATGGCCGATAGGCACATCTGAGTACTTGTTAAGTTTCACGCAGGCTTTTTCATTAGTTTGAATGGGAACAGGAGATGAGATAGTTTTTAAATCATGTGATGTCTCAGAAGCAGAAAAGAAAGATACACGTTCCCTTTTTCCTGTGTGATCAGGTGTGAGAAAGTTGTCCCCCCCCAAAAAAAAAAAAATCAGGTAATGCCAAGTTAAATTTCCATTGATCCTCATTTTCATTTGATGGAAACAAAGTTGTGACCAGCCTCCTGGAAGCATCGCAGCTCCTCCCTCTCTGCTCCTCTCTCTCCGAGCGTTACCTGTGCCAGGCCTTGGCGTGTTACAACACCAGGCCATCACTGACAGAGACGTTTACTTAACGAATGTTCTTAAACCAGTGTGTACTTCAAGCGTTTCCCTTTGTTTCTCTGTGTTGTGTATTTCCTGTGTATGTGGTTTTGCTTAGGCAGGATAACTTAGCGAAGACTTTTTAAGTATTGCACCTTTTTTGGTTTTGACCTCTTTTTTTTTTTCCTTGTAATGTTGCTTTTTTATTTCGGTATTTAAAGACTTAATTTTTAAAGCATTGATGTAATAGTACTCTGGGCCGAACAGGAGGCAACGTTTAATCCACAGTTATCACCAACATGTATGTATTACGTTGGATTCAAAATGTATAAAACTGCTTATTGTGAAGAGAGTGACAGAAGACCTAAAGGGGTTTCCCTTCATACAAAGCAGATGGTGGGGCGGGCGGGTGGGGGAGGGGGATAGTGCCGGTGACGTGCTAGCACTTGTGTGGACGTCCCAGTCTGCATCATACTGTTCAACATAAAGTGCCGACATTCTGTACCAGCAAATACCTGCCCATTCCAGCGCTTGGTGGGAGCAGACCTCTACTGTCCTCCGTAACTTGCTGCTATTGAGGACAGGGGAGTTTTTCTTTCTTTAGCATCTTCAGTGAAGGATACAACAATGCCTAATTGTATTTTTTCAGCTTGTCTATGTGTAGGTGGGTGGATGGGTGTGTATAGGAAAAAGGCAAAAAAAAATTTTTTTATTTGCATGTAAGTGGCTTGTGAGATAAAGAATGGGAAATTCTATAGTCTTCTTGGCTTACCCTGTTGATGACAAACATAGCCTCAAAAGAGATTGATAAGTATAATCCAAGTGAGTGCTTGCACATACCAGGCTTTAGGAGCCCATTGTGGGTGGGTAATCAAATTGGAGTTTGCAGTGCTGGTCTGGTCCCACAGATGCCTTGTCCAAACTGACTGTGCCCTCCTCCACCTCCTCTGGTTTTCATCACCACCATGCCCCTCCCACCTGTACCCTCTAGGTGATATCTTCTTCCAGCCCCACTGACTGCTCTCTGCCTCATAGCAGAGCCCCGTTGTGTGTGGTGACCTCTATGGGAAGCGCAGCTTGTGTTCAGACATCCATAGACAAAAGGCTTCAATCTTAGTGTCCCTGGGCCCAGAGCCCCATCCCAAGGCTCCTGCGAGCCAGTGGGGACTGTCCACTGCCGCTCTTGGTTCACGGCTGTGTCCTGCCCTGCCCTCTCCTCCTGCCTGTTGGGTCCTTGACCTGCACTATGGCTTAGTTGAGTTCCTTATGATACTACGGTGAAAGCCGGGTGCTAGAGCCCCTCTTGTTTACAAGACACAAATGAGGGATTTGAAATATGTAAAAATAAACATGAGAAGCTAAAATGTTCTTCCATCATAAGCTTAAAGGGAAAAAAACTGAAAACTTAAAAAAAAAGACCAAAAAGTACATATATATACATATATATATATATACACACACACACATACATACATATAAATATATATTTTAGAATGAAGACTAACTCTGGGAGCATTTAACAGTGTTTTTTGTTTTTAACATTTTCCTGCTTTAAAATTTGCAAGCATTCTCAGGAATTCTAGGGTAGGAAGCCAGTTTTTTTGAAGATGGTTTATTTAACCGTATCTTATCCTAGATAGACGGCTGTTTCTTTCCTGTTAATAAACTTTTACAAGTTCCTTAAACTTCAAAAAGTTTAGGCAGTTTTTACTTAAAAAAACATGTAAAAAGAAATGTCTCCAAATGTTGTCATACTGGGGATCACACATTTTAAAACACATAGAAATATTTTTTAAAAATTATCAATTTAGCAGCAACAGGTAAATTCATTAGCTTACAAAAAAATATGGAAGAAGGATTAAGCTTTCAGAGAGCTCTATCATGGACTCATTGGAAATCGTGTAATTGAACGAGGAACATTTGGTGTACATGCATGGGAATGTTCCCATGTTGTTCCTTGCCATGTAAGACTAAACTGAAATCTCCCCTCGCCACTTTTATTTTTTTTAATGGAACCCTTCTTCCTGTTCCCCAGCCCCAGTGACGAAAGGAATAAAGAAAGAAACAACAGTAACTCGAATCTGTAAGATAGTATGGTTGGATTGCTGAGAATCTATGTAAAGAGTTAGGAAATATAGGTTAATAATTTTTGGAACAAATTTTAAATAGTCATTACTAGAAAAAAAAAGTATCTATGGACTGTCCTATTAATGAAGAATGTCTGTCTTACCTCCATGTGTTATGGAAGGAAGAGAAAATATAGAAGAATCTAATGAGGAACAAGTGATTTTACTTTTTTAGCTCCCAGCTACTATTGTGCTTGTTTTAATTGCTGTTTTGAAGATCTGCTGCTTAATATCCCCATCCCTCTGGGGGAGATATGGAGTGTTTCCTTTCAGTTTGGTGATGTTGAATTCTCCTTTTGTATTCCCTCTTGGGGCCAGGGGTCAGAATTCCTAAGCATGACCACAGCTTCTTTCAAACATTAAGCTTCCCAGTGGGAAAGAAACTCCAGCTCCACAGGTAAAGGGAATCAGTGGGGTTGCTGCCTGCAATTTCTCTAAAACCGCTTTAGTGCCTTCACACATACACCCAGACATCCTAAGCAAGGGGACACGTGTGTATGTGCATGACGTCCGGTCACTCCGCAGCTGGTAAGACACTGGCTCATAAAGGAAATAGGAGTGAGCTGGGACAGGTCCCAAAGGCAGTGGGCTAACGTAAAACAAATAAAAATCAAGGAAAATATGCTTTTAAGTCTTGATAATGTGGAATGCCAAGTTCCTTCCTTGCATTGTGTGCCCTCAGTTACTGTGCTTTGAATTCTCCAGGTGTGTGATGGTGACAGCTGCAGGGACTCAAAGTCTCTTGGGGTTGGGCCAGTGGAAGGAGGTCCCTGTTTCTCTGCCCCTGTCCTCCTTTGTCTTCTCCCTCCCTTTCCACCTTGTGTCAGCTTGCTGGAAGGTTTGCTTACTGGTTGGCAGTGACCTAAGAACAGGTGAGGGTATCTTGGAAGAGGAAAGCTCTTTTCTTTCCACGGTATTCTTTGGCACGAGCCATGTTTACCCTGAAGTTAGGTAACTTCAGAACACTTAGATAATTCAGTGAGAGCATCCTCTTATCCACCATGTATATGGAGGCTTGCTGGTCACCCTCATTACATAGATTTATTTTGTACACATTTGAAACATGTACATGTGAGCTTTCCATTTTTGTACCAGTTCTTGTATTTTTAAACACTTGATTATTAGTGGCTAGACGTGTGCATGTCTATTAAACATGTCAAACTTAGTGTCTACCACATGAGTAGCCAAAAGAAGATGCAAGAGTAGGGAAAGGGGTGTCTTCCATCAGACGGGACACAGTACTGCCCAGTGAGACCCAGCACCACCACCTTACTTTTTAAGTATTGAAGAAAGCTCTGGTCTTTCAGACACTGTGAAGAAATAGATGGTCTGTGTAGCGTCTCTAATCCCTCATCCCTAACCCTTGAAATTTTCCATGTACAACATTCACAAGAGTGAACTTAGCAGTACTAAAGTTAAGATTCCACATCATGCATTCAATCCCCACCACCACCCATCAGTCAGTCAGTTCTCTAAACCAAATTCTTTCATCAGTGTCCCCCCCCCCAAGAAAGCAACCTCCATTTCTTGCCATTTAGTTAGTTTTGCTCAAAACAGCTTGCTGTTCAAATGTTATTATGGCTTCGGTTCTAAGAATTTTCCCACCTCTTCTGACATGAATGTAACATAAGTTAGCAATTCATTCTTCTAAGCTCCTGTGTGTTGAATGTTGTATATAAGATATGCAAAGGGGAAAAAGAAAGAGGAATTCCTGCATATGGATTTGGAAGCGCCTTTATTAATGTATCAGAAACTAAGAGCTCATGGGCTATTAACTCCCTACAAATACTCACTCATCCTTTTATCGTTTTTCTTGGAGAGGGTACAGTTTTTGTAGAGTTAACACCCAGATTCCATTTTGATCTCAGATGCTGTGTTCTTTTAATTTTATTTTTTGTATTCTGGTGTCTTGACTCTTCTTTTAGCATTTGTGTACTGAGCAAGTGTAGAAGCCAAGCCTGTTGTCTTCTGCAGTGTAAACAGGATGTTTTTGACAGATTTGGCTATAATGGCCATCTCTAAAGGGCACAGTTGAATGTTTTTGTAAAAAAAAAAAAAAAAAAAAAAAAAACTCATTTTTCCCCATTCCCAGAGTTAAAATTCAGCATATAAAACTTTTGTTACTGTTTTGGGTTTGAGTATTTTATTTGAAGTATCTGTAAGGTCTTCAGCTAGGAGTGGAGATACATTTTTAGTTAGTAAAAAGAAAAACATTAAACTTCTCCAGTGTTGCCAAGTTTTGTCACATTTCATGTCTATGCATTAACTACACTTTGTAGTGTTACTACAGTAAGAAATCTTATTCCATGGTTTCATTTTTCCTTCTGTGAGTGTACGTCCAAGACCGAATGCTGTATAACATAGATGAGGCTATTCTACACTCTGTGAACACTGAATTAATCCATCTCTCAAGCTCACTCAGAATACAGGGTACCTTTAACCCCTGCCACACACCACACCATACCCCTTGGTTTCCTTCTCTGCAACAAGGACAAAGTATCTAACACAGTATATAAATAAATATACAGAATGTTTTCAAGGACATCAACAATCAACAAAGAAACTCAGAATGTTATTATCTCTGTTTCCAGAGCTTATACACACTCTATAGTATGGTCTGTAGTTTTATGGCCTATGCCAAAGGTGTTCATATGGACAAAGGTGGTCCCCATTTGTCAATGATAGTTTTTTTTTCTTGACCTTAAATTTGACAAAGAGAGTGGTAGTATCACATCCTTTAGATTCAAAATAATTGTCAACTGCAAGAATTATAAACAGGGATATTTTAATAAAAATTGAACATCAGCCTTCCCTGAACTACCCACCACACCTTTCTACCCTCCACTGCAGGCTGCCAAAGAAGGAGGCTGTGAACATCTAAGGGTAGTAAAGGAGGGACACCCCACACTCTGCAGCCGTGCTGTGCATGTGTGTGGTCTGTCAGATGAAATCCTCAACCGTGATGACATACTCATAATACCTGAGTAGTCAGTCTCATGCTGTAACCTACTAGCACCCCTCAAAAAGGAGCAAAATGACAGAAACTGCCAGTGTTTGCCTCATAGAATTTAAATAGTTCCTTTTTTCACAGGTGTGCACCTGAATTTGTGTTTAGTGTGAAACTGCATGCTAGGAAAATGGTACTGCCCTTATTAGAGGGTCTCGGCCAGATTCAGTTGTTGACTCTTTATTGTGACAAATGCTTGTCTTTTTGAAGGTGGGGAAAAGTCAAGTCACATACAGAGGCAAGAAGTGTTCTGTTTTAAACAAAAAAGAAATAGTGTTCCCCTAAAACACTGCATCCCTCAACCAAGTTTTCAAACTATGAGTCATTGCTTTGGAAATGAATTCCCAATTAAAATTGACAAATTTCCAGTCAGTATCAATAAGTTGAGGTGGTTTTCTAAATAGGAGATTATTCCTCGCTGCTTTTCTTTCACTTCTCCCTGGCTTCCTGGACCTCCTGGTGAATCAAGTATTCTCCTTGAGCCACTGAAAGTGTACCCCACTGATAGAGAGGGGTCAGAAGGTGACTGGAGGCTAGACATAGCAGTTTCACTGCAAGACTGACCTATCCGAAGAGCTATATGGCGACAAAAATGGCAGATCCTAAATGTGTTGGCCAGAAATGAAAAAGGAGACATTTTTTGCAAAATAACCTTGAGAGCCTTTCAAGAAGTCACATACCTTGTGAAGGTAGTTTGATTCTTTTTTTTCACCAAGAGATAAATTTTTAGCATGCTACTTCTTCCCAGAAATTTCAAGTTAGAATAAATGTGTTCAAAACACCACCCCCAAAATCCTTCTTAATTTTGCCCAAGGACTCGAGCATAGTACTTCTGAATGTGCCTTTGTGAGTATGGAGACCGAGTATTGTAGGTGTAGACTGCCCATGGCGGTGAAAACAGAAAGATGGTTACCTTAGCCTTCGGCAGTCAGAGTTCCACTGAGTGCCCGGGGGGAGCTGTGGAATTGTCATTCACATCCATGTTGCTCAGTGATGTTGTGTGGAAGAAGTCCTGGGACTTGGCTCTTGAGGTACAGGTTGCACAAGTGACAGAGGCCAGGGGTAGGCGGAGAATGCGGGATGGCTTCTGTAGCTGCATTCCTTAGGCTCTGTACCTGTGCCTGTGTGGCTGTTCAGTCTTCTGTTTTTCTCTAATCACTGGCAATTGGAATATGATGCTATCTGTGACACATTCATGCTTGTAGAGCAGGCGTTTTCTGGCCTCAGCTTGGCTTCAGCCTTTCAGTAGACAGAAAGCCTAGCGATTTCCCAGGTGGAAGTCACACCATGTTGCTCTTCAGGTTAACAGGGTATCAGGAAGGAGGTTTGGAAAGCATTGAGATTTTAAGTTAGGAAAATCCAAAATACATGTTTTATCTTTTCAGAACTATTACAGTTAAACATAGAAATCTGCAGTGTCTCCTAATTTGCTTTGGGATTTATTTCAATGATTCCACCTCTTCTCCCCACTCCCTGTGTCCTGAAAAACAGCAAGTGAACACTAGGGGCCATCTCCACCAATTCCTCAGAGCTCCCGGTTCCATAGACTCCTCAGAACTCTCCCACAAGAAGCCCCTTCAGCCTTGTCAGGGTGACACAGGGAGGAGGGTGCTGCGCTTCCCGTGTTCTGCTCATTCCCCTCTAATGGCCTTGAAATATATTATTATGCAAATGTGAATTTTGATACTGAATTTAAGAAGAGGGTGTTGGATTTTTTTTTTTCTTTTTTCAAACAAAAAGGTCCATATGTGGTCATCATTGCTTCATTTTTGTGAACTGTAACTATGCATTCTATATGGGGGGAGGGCAAAGGGGAAGGAAGTCGCTTTGCATCCTTGTTCTCCAGTTTCTGTGTCCATGGTATCCGTGTGTCCAGGAGGGGAAGGGGAGTGAGAGAAGATGCACTAAGGTCATAGTGAGGTCAAAAGAGACCTCGGAGGCCTCTTGCCATGGCCGGTGAGTCTGATAGCCAGGCACATTCCGGGGGGTCTGCGGCTCCTGTCTGCTGATCAGGTACAGGGGTCTTGATCTAGCCGTGCAGTGTTAATCTGGGGCAACAGTGGGACCCCAAAGGCTTCAGTGTTCCCTGGACAAAAGTACTCATTCTTTCCTGATTTCAGAACCCTTTCAAGCTCAGGAAACCATGCCTCAATCATGCTGACAGTAATCTTTGTCAGAAACAACTCCTCCTCTCCTCTCTACCCCCCTTTTTAAAATCATTGTTGAGTTAAAATGAGGAAATTTTCCTACTCTATGGAGAAGAGGGCTGTTGCCTGTTATTGCTTGACAGGCAAAAAAACCCATTCTGTCCCTCAGCCAAATGTAATCTTTCCGCTTCACCACACTGTACATAGCTAGCGAGCAGTGAAGTTCTGAACAGAAGAGGCCTACATTCTCTCTCTTCATTCTGATAATTCCCTTGTTGTTCTTACCTGTGATATATCATAGCACTGCATTGCTCTGGTCTAGGCTTTTTTTTTTTTTTTTGCAATGCAATATGTAAGCATAAGTGAAAGATCGTGGCCCGTATTCAGTGTTTTCCATGCAGCAGTTTTTGTTGTTATGTTCACAGTACTGTAATGAATAACCAGACTTGCTCACAGTCTTCTGTGCCTGTGCAGGACCGCATGGGCACGATCTTATCAGGGTTCCAATCTGTTAGAATGCCTTTTAACAAAAAAGCGGAAAAAAAAAAAAAAAAACTCCTGACGTTTCAACTCACACAGAACTATACCTCAAGGTACACTTTATCTCCCTGCAGTGTAAATCCTTAATTCCTGTCTTCTTTCTGACATTGGTGGGTTATCCTTTATAAGATATGAACATGTAAATAACACGATAACTTTTAAGGCACTTTCTTTGCTGTGAAAGTAATGCTAAAATACTATATATTCCATGTTAAGCCATCAGAAGTTTCAGATCTGAATTCTTTCATGTTTAAGAGGAAAAGGCAGAGCAAGTCAGTGGGGTGGATTTGCATCTGAGCTAGGGCTGTTCTCTGGCCCCACACACACAGTGACAGCAGACCAGTGTCTAAGTTCTGACCTAACTAGGTGCCATCTAATCCAGCATCCTGGTTCTGGGATGGAGAATGTCTTGAGTCTCTCTTCCAGAAGATCAGTCCCCCACAGGGATTCCAGGAGATTTCCTATGTGAGACCTTGAGCTCTTACCTGTCTTAGTATACACACACACACACACACACACACACATTCATTGATTATCATTCTGAAGTTCACCTTGGGATTTAGTCCCTGGCATTTCAATGTACGCTGTAGAATTCATGGCCTTGTTATATTATAATGCTCTGGAAATGTACTGATGATATCTTGAAGAAAACTTGTCTAAGGAGACACGCAAACAACCATGAAAGCTGTGTGTATCCTCTAGATTTTCTTCTCTCTCTGAGGCTTAAAGCTGACTTTAGTAGAGGGAAATACATTTAACACATGCTGCTCATAGGTCGCTGTCAGCTACTGCCTTTCCTACATTTGAGCTCCCATGAGGCAGGGTTGCAGCGGATCATCTTGAGTAGCTTCTTCACAAAGCCCCCTTTTGGTGTGACCTCACTGATCTTGTATAGTGACGACTTCCTCTGAGGGAAGAAACTTGATTATAAGTGCATGCACAGTATCTACCCACCTTCTGATTCGGGCACTGTCGAGTTAGGATTTTACTTCTGTTTTATCTGTAGGCACTTATCCTATCAGTGTCCTTCCTCTGATCCCCTGGGCTCTGCCTGCCCTCGTATCCCTCTCTGATGCTCCCAAAGGGCTCTGCTGATCTCTGCACCTCTTTTCTGGGACGTGCCCCCCACTACCACCTTTTGCACACACAAGTGACCAAAGTGTTTGCGGTGGTCTCACAGAAGACATCAAAATGGTGCACACACCTCAAATGTGCTCAGAGACACGTGCACAAGATTCTGTACCCATGGCCTTAATCTCAGCACGATTTAAGGTGCAGGAACATTTTTAACAGGTTTAAAATAAAAAATAAAAAAAAAACTCTTCTGGGAGGGAAAAAGCAGATACAACAGCTCAACTGTGCCCACCCCTCACTGTCCACTCTTGCTTATACCTTCATGTTGTGCGCCCACCCATCCCATCTGTGTTCTGCATAACCAAAAACAGACTACAAAAGCAACCTGAGGAGAGGTTTCTGGACTATTTTATCTTTCTCCCTTTCGACGGGGATATAAATGCTGCTTTGGGTTCCATAATCCTAGGGGGCTATGTTTACATAGTGAAATACATCCTACCAAATCAGGAAACAGTGGATAGCAGGGCTCACTTCAGTGAGCTGTTGGTCACGAAGGCTAGGGAGGACCTGGGGGCATAGCTGAGGAGGAGGGGCAGAAACATACTTCTTAATTCCTTGTGACACATGACCCCCATTCTCCTCTCTTCCTCCCTTTGTGGCTTTCCTTGCCCCCGTTAAACAGAAGGTGCAGAAAAGGGCATCAAAAGAAGGCTGGTTTTTTTTAAGAGGCAGCTTTCCAACTTTGCACACAAAGAGGTAACAGAAGGTACAGCAAAACTCCTCTCATCTGAAACACTGTCAGCAGAAACAAAACCTGTCAAAAGGACTGAACAGCTGCACATATTGATGCTCTCTGCAAGTTACCTATAAGTGTTTTGTTTTTCTTATACTTGAAATAGCTTTTACAATATTATTTTGGTGGCTTTCTTTTCTCTCTTCTAATGGGCAATAGAGAAAGTGAATGATGAGATTTAAGGACACTTGAGGGGAGAAAAGAGAGGATACAGCATTGTCTTTTTTTTTTTTTTTTTAAACATAGAGATTTAATCAAACTCCCATATGTTGAAATTGCTCCTCATATTACTGGTTTTACATGGACACAGAAACTAGGCACTTTAGAGGTGCACTTGCACGGCAGGCTGGGCCCCCCTTTTCTATATTTTATTTTACTTTTTTAGTATAGTGGTACTTAAAATCACTGGTTCACTTAAAAAAAAACAAACAATAAAATGTTAAACTCTACTAATGTACAAATAAGCTGAAAAGTTGCATTTTATGTGTATTTTTTGCCATAGCAGGTACTGTATTTCTCATGCTGGATTTCAAAATATATATATATATATATCAAAAACAAACAAAAAAAACTGAAGGGTAGTGTTTTATTGGATTGTGACAGATTGAGTAATAAGGAATTAAGTCGCCGTCATTTCATTAAAATGGAGAGATGATGTCATACATATATAAGAGTTTCCTGAAGGGTTTTTTTGGGCTTTTAAAAAACAGCTTATTTTTGTTTTGTTTAGTTTTTTATTTTATTTTATTTTGAAAAAATATGATTGTATTATGTGCAACTCAGTTGCTTACATTATAACTACAAAATATTTTTGGGTTTCTGGAAAAAAAAAAAGAAAACAGACTAATAAATGTGTTTGGCTGCTAAGCATTTACTATTGTGGTTTTCCTGTTTTATTCTGCCAATTTAATTTGCTCATTTGTTAAATGTTTATCGTTTTTCCTCTCCCTCTTCTCCCTCTCCCTGCCTCACACATAAAAGCTGCCTGAAAGTCTACACTGGAATTTGGACCTCAGCTTGCCTCTCATCTTGTTGTGTTTTTGTTGTTAGGGTAGGCTGTCGGGCCTGTCAGTTTGCACTGCTTACTGCCTGCCCCTTAATTCTCTAAAAGAAATGATGTTGCTCTGCCTTTGCTGCTGTTTCGTTAAGATGTAGTTTGCATCTGGTTTTAGAACACCAGCATAGAGAAGTAGCAGTGCCTCTCACCGCTGCCATGTCCAGGGGTGATAACCAGCCAGCCGGCTTTGTCCAGAAAAATACCACACTTGCGCGTCATCTGTACTCGGTTCTGCAGCACTGCAGAGGAGAGCTACTTAACCACTGGGCCTGGCTTTCCCCATCCCTTTTTTAACGGTCAGCTCTCAAGGAGGAAATTATTTAATATATGACCATGAAACACTTCCACAATGGTAGAAAAGAAAAATGGATAGGTTCTGCTTTTCCTAATGCCCAGATATTTGTGTATCTGATTCAATTCTCAGGATGCTGTGTGAGACATGATTTATTACAGTGAAGGACATACTGCTAATCCCCCTGAGAGTACTCCTCTTTGTTTTGAACGTACACCATCATTCTTTTCACCTTCTCAAGCAGTTGTGGGAGCCCTCTTTTGTGTCTTTAGTTCTGTCGTGGCTAGCTCATTGTCCTGAACTGATTGAAAACATTTACATTCTATAATCATTTTGACTCTGAGGAAGAGTGAGAATTTACAGGATACCAGGTCCAGTGGATAAGGGGGATGAGGATACACTGCAGTGTTTTTATTTGCCGGAAACTGCCATAAATGATTGATCAATGAACTGTGATAAAATATGAATGTTTAAATCAAATACTTTGTCATAGTAAAAGATACATTGTCATTAAACCTCTCAAAATACTCATTCCAAACACACTTAGCCCATCATTCTTGACAGTGTATCTTACCACAATAGGTTCCGTTAAATATTTGCCACATCTTTTGATCACTGTGGCAAATTCATTTCACCAGGAAGCGAAGGCTCAGCATAATGCTGTTAGCCAATAATAGATAACACTGATTAGTTTGCTACAAGCTGGGTACTATTCTAAACATGCCACATTTAACTACAACTCATCTCCCAGGTGACAGAAATTATGTGAATACGCAACATAGCTTCATGGTAGAACATACTTTGTGTATGCATGAGGCACCATGTTCCATCCCTAGGACCAAAAGAAAAAAATTTACATCAGAAGCTTGACCCAAAAATCACGTGGACTTCAGACTAGTAGGGCATGTACCAGCCAGTTCTTTCAGCGCAACAGAAGTAAACACTGGCAGATGTAGGTAGAAAAAAATGAAAAACATTGATACTATTAAGATTACACAAAGGCACTGTCAAAGGATGAGGCAGAAAGATTCCAAATTTGAGCCCTACCTGGGCACCTTAGATCCTGTCTCAGAATTGTAAAAAGGCTTGGAGATGTAGCTCAGTTTAAGGATCATGGGTTCAGTCTCCAGTGCTGTAAAATAACAACATATAAAAGCGCAAGTGGCCAACAGAAGTGTTAAAGTGTTAACACCGGACTTGGTCCTCCTCAGGGTGCAGGTCCATCTAGTCTCCAGGACCTCTCAACTCCTTCCTCCTCAAGCCTCCCCAGACCCTACCCCAAATTTCTCCCCTCTGGCATGACGAGTTTTAACACCTTCTACCATAGCTCCTGTTCTGCTGGCTCCCAGTCTTCTCCAGTGGCTCTGTTTTTACTTCATCAGCCATTCCCTTCTAATCTAGCTTTGTTTCTTAGCCCATGGTTTGAGTACTATGCTTTTTAACAACTATTAGTTCTCTTACTCCTCCTATCTTCTTGACACCTACATGATGAGATTTCAACTTTGGAAGACTCCGTTTTGTATTTTCTACTAGCGTTCAAAGCAGCCCAGCATGGCTGGAGTTTGTAGTAGTCATTAAGAGGGCAAATAAGAACCCCCCATAAGTCTACTATCACCAACCACCAAAGGGGCCTGGACACAGCCCAGCAAGCTTCCTGTGTGCTTCTGATCATTTCAATAACCACTCCTCTCTGAGTTAAGGTTTTTTCTGACATTTTTTTTCATGGTATGCTGGAGCTGGAACCCAGAGCCTCACTCATGTTGAGGCAAGTGCCTTGCCATAGAGCCATATTCTCAGCCCTGATTTCAAGTTGATCACCAGAGAATTTTTCCCATTAATGCGCAGAGAAAATTAAGAGGGCTCGGAAAAAATTCCCTCAAATTCCTAGTTCCAAATTCTAGGCAGAAAGAAGTCCCTTCCTCCCCATGCTGGTGGTTCTTTCAAATAGTAGAAAGATCCTCCTGCCCTACCCCCCCCCCGTCTCCTCCCCACCCTTCCCTTCCTGCTCCCCCTTTGACCTCTGTTCTCCCTTAACCCTTGACCTAGTGCCCTTCTAGAGCCCATCCTGCAGTACAGCTGTTCTGTGTGCCCACATGCCATTCTCTGCCTCTCCAGTTGTACTCCTGTCTTCCCTCTGGAAATTTTCTTTCCTGCTCCTCCACCTCTTCCCATCTGGTTCCTGCCCATTATCCCGCTGAAAATTGTCTAAAGTTACTGTCAACTTCCTTAAGAGCAAATCTGCAAAATCTACCTTGCCCCTCTGCACACTGGCATGTACCTATGTCTTGTCTCCCTCTCCCACTTGGTGCATCCCTGTGTGCCTGGTCGGGAACCTTTGGGTTGCAGGGGAGCTCAGAACAGTCCTGTTTTCTCTCTGCTGTCTGCTCTATGTTTTGCACCATCCCTGGGCTCTGTCCTCGGTGTTCTGTTTGCCAATCCTGTTGCTTTCTCTGGATGATTTCACTCAGTTCCGTGTCTTTCAATATAACACAAAGATTTATTCTGTCTAATTGTACGTTGAACCCTGACCTCTCTAATATCCATCCTCTGGCTACCAAATTGCTGAAGTCAAATGGACAGATCCCTGCACCCTCCTGGTCATAATGACTCTCCTTCCCCTGCCCCCCACCAGATTTTTGGTTCTGCTCACCCAGTTATTCAAACTCACATCTTCCCCCACATTGCCTCCATGAGGAAGTCCCATAATATGTGCATCCACAAACAAACTCTGACACCAGCTTGGGTCCCATCACTCTCCATGTTCATCGCAACCCCACAGCAGCTTCCTCCTCATCTGCCCTTTTGTCCTTGATGGTGCTCCAGACTGTTCTCTATACAGCTCCCACAACTTGTGCCTGCCTCTAATTTGCATAATTCATGCATAACCTCCGTGGTTTTTCTTAACACCTAAGATTCAAACTGCACACCACTGTCCACAAATCCACTGTCCACACAAGCTGCTCTCATTCCCTTTGAGTCCCCTGTATCCAACTAGCACTCTTGGTTTCCTTCTTGCTGACACCAAATTCACGCTCATCTCAAGGCCATTGTTCTTGTTTCCTCTGCCTGGCATGCTGTATCCCCTGCACCTTGGTCTGGTCTCTGACAAAATGGAAGGGAGGCCTTACCTATCAAAGTAGCTCTTACTGCTCCCAACCCACTCTAAGCTACTCTTGTTCCACAAAACTTAACACTCTCTAAAATTAATGTTTATTTCTTCCTCCTTATCCATCTCCCTCATCAGGGTAATGTAACACACACACACACAAAATCACAAAGCCTAAAATCTTTTTGGCTCTAATTAGCCATCTAGATGCTAATGACCCCTAAATTTATATCTCCCAACCATCACCATTGAGCTCCAGGTATGTATACCATATATGATTATCTACTTCCACATTTCAAAATCCTTGGATATGCTGCAAACTCAATAAATCCAAAACCGAATTTGGTATCGCATGCTTGCCCCACCTCCCACCCTCTGGTGGCTGGCATTGACACCCCTGCTTTATCCAACAATAAAACCTAAAACCTAAAACCCTGCTGATATCCTTGACTTTGCCTCCCTCTACTTCCCTACCTAATCCACTGACCTGTCACCAACCTGGCTTGATTGTTTCACTTACTCTCTTCCCTTTGTGATCCCTGTCTCAGCTAGACCATCACATTATTAGGTCTTAGCAAGCCCATGCATTGGCCCAGTAATGGAATAATTTTTTAATTATTTAATAATTTAAATAATTTTTTAGTTCGGGGATCGAACTCACAACCGTGCGCTTGCGAGACAGGTGTTTATAGGGGCTGGGGATTTAGCTCAGTGGCATAAAACGCCTGCCTTGCAAGCAGGCAGTCATGAGTACGATCCCTGGTACCAATAAAAACGAAAAAGACTAAAAAAAAAAAAAAAAAGACAGGTGTTTATACCGCTGAGCTAAATCCCCAGTCCCCAGAATAATTTTTTTTTGTCTTTTTTTCTTTTTTTTATCGGTACTGGGGATCGAACTCAAGACTGCCTGCTAGCAAGGCAGGCACTTACGCCGCTGAGCTAAATCCCCAGCCCCCCCTCCCAGAATAATTTTGAAAACAAATCTAACAAGGTGATTCTCCAGTCCAAAGTCCTTTAGTGGCTTTCCATTGCTTAGAATGAACTTTGAAATGTCCTTATTTCCAACAAGGCTTTCATTGTCTGGCTCCCACTCACTTCCCTAAACCCACCTCTCTCAGCTCTCACCCTTATCTTTTCCACTCCAACCTCATTGTATTCTGTTGCCTAATGCAAGCCCTGGCCCTTGGATGTATACATGGTGAATGGATGTTCTAAAAAGAATTATTTAAGAAATTACAGGGTTTTAGAAGCCAAAGATAAAAATGGATAGATACCAGAAAAATAAAACTTGTTCATTGGGTTAGGCCACAAGAGAGAAAAAACTAAAAATCCAGTTGAGAGATGTTGCCTTAGGTGACAATGACACCCAGATGGAAGTGTTTGGGTAGCCTTTGAAGACCAAGAACCAATATTTCATGGACGTGTCCAACATGCACAAGGCGTGGCTGCCATCCCCAGACCCTGCAGAACAAAATAACCACTTTGGAGGAACTTTGGGATCAGAAGGTAAGCTTTACAGTTCTGCAAGTAGTTTCCCAGGGGAGGAAAAGCTGGCTAAATCTCAGGGAAACACCCACTACTACTTTTTGTGAGGGTTAGAGGAAGCGACATAGGAAAAAAAGATGGAAGAAAAAGCAATTTGGAGTTTGGTATGGCAGTAAGGTTAGAGGATTGCAAGTTCAAGCCCAGCCCAAGCAACTGTGCATTTAGATGATCTAGAAATAAAAAAGTATTGGGGATGTAGCACACTGCAGAGGCCCTGGAGTTTGATCCCCAGTGCTGCAAAACAACAAATATCAATAATCAGTCCGGATAATTGGTAAGCTTCGCTAATCATCAGGGTATTCTAGAATTGGCACTTTGGTCCAAATTCTGATTGCTAAGCCTGGACATCCGGAAACATGGGATGAGAGAAGAGGCAAAGTAGTGCGAGGATCTAACTTGTGACTATTGTGGACTTACTCCTCTTGCTAGGCTTGACTGCTTCAGGCCAGGATATTTTGGTAGATTTGGCACTGGGTAACACAGGTGACCAAGACAGACATGATTTCTGCCTTTTTCCAGTTTGCCATCAATGGGAAAAGCAACCAACACTGAACTTTGGTGAAAGGTTTACCAAATGAAGCCAGGAGATCACTCAACATCTAAGGAAGCAGGAAGTGGGAAGAAAACACTGCAAATGATCCATAGATTTTTGACTGAATCTCTGAATGAAAGCAGAAACATAGAGGTGACTCTTCATGTTTCCTAAATACTTTATTGGGAAAGAGGAGTTCACCTCATCAAAGCCAGGAATTTGAAGCGGAATCTGGGGAGGTCTCACTAACAGGTAAGTTCAAAACAGCCCAGTATGGATGCTGCAGCACACAGGGATGGTTGACTTTGGAGCTGTTCACAACCAGGTTCCTGGATCTTCTCCCTAGAGCATTCTAAAGACAGTCTGCTGGGGTGATACCAAATGCCTGAAATTCTAGCACTCTTGGCTACTTAGCAAGACCCCATCTAAATAAGGACTGGGGATGTAGGTCAGTGTGAAGACCCAGGTTCAATCTCTACAAAGGGCTGGGTGAGATGGGAACAGTCTTCCCTGCCTTCGTCATCTACATATTAGGGTCCATAATAATGGATAGCATTTGTCAAGCACTTACTCTATACCAAAAGTTTCACTTGTATCCCCTCATTTAGCACCACCCATCAAGTTCACCTGCCTAGGAAAATCTTCCCCCAAAACGATACTGGTTTTCACAATTATTGGCCAACCAGAGAGATGGGACTATCAGGGAGTATTTTTCTGGACTAGGTTTTAAGCAGAAGTTAGTGAGAAAAGTATGCTAGAGAAGAATTAGGAGGGTGAGCCGGGCATGGTGGCTCACACCTGTAATCCCAGCACTCAATCCCAGCACTCGGGAGGCTAAAGCAGGGGGATTGCTGTGAGTTCAAGACTAGTCTAGACTACAAAGTGAGCTCAAGGCTAGCCTGAACTGCATAGTGAGACCCTGTCTCAAAAACACACACAAAAAAGGTATGAGGGTAATGTGACACATTTGAAGTGTGATGCTTCTAAAGTGGGTTTGAGTGGGAGGTGGTGACACACCTGTAATCTCAGCTTTCAGGAGGCTGAGGCAGAAGACTGATGCGAGTTCGAGGCGGCCATCCTGGGCTACATAGTTCAAAGCCAGTTTGAAGTACATCACGAGATCTTGTCTCCAACAAGAAAAAGAGGCTTTTAAATCCGGCTGTGCCTACTATGTGCCTCCCCTTGCCCTCAGCCACAAGCGCTGGCTAAAATCTATTTCCTGTGCAGCTTGGCATTAAGGGACTCACTTGGTACGCAATAAACACCAAATTCCCTTGAGCACTTTCATTTCTCCTCAGAACTGCACCGGTACGAGGCAGGCAGTAGGAGCGGGGTGAGGGAAGGCGACGATATAATTAAATAATAGCAAACACACCGTGCCTTTTAAGTTTGCCAGATTCCGCTCTAATATAGCATCTGCACAACCATTTTCAAAGGCGAGTCTTTAATATGCCTTTTACTGGAGGAAAAACAGGCACAGAGAGATTGTGGTAACTTCTATAGCGTTTTATCTGCTTCTCAATCTCTCATATCTCTATCAAATCCACTATGCTATATCCTATCTCCTATCCCATCCTATCCTTTGTACACTGCTAATCACGTTAGTGATAAACAAAGTAAACTACACCAGTCCTAGCCCGGATTCCCTAGGGGTGGAGCCAAGAGGGGGAAGTCCCGCCTCCAAGGCGCCAGGCTTCCGCTTCCGCTCTCGTTTGTTCTGTCGGCAGCGGTGGGTCGTTAGGCATGGCAGCTGTAGACAGTGGTTGTTTGTTGGACACTTACCGTTCTCCGCTTTCCTCCCGCTATGCTAGCCCGGAAATGTGCTTCATGTTTAGCGACAGAAACAAGTTCCGAACGTGGCGGCAGCTCTGGCTGTGGCTGGCTGAGGCCGAGCAGGTAATGAGCCCAGAGGCGGAGGGATCGAGCCAGATGAGAGCACACTGCACACGTGCCTAGGGTGGGAAGGGACCCCGAGCCCGGGCTTGCAGCCGCGGCACAGCGACAGTCTATTTTCGGCGGTTGTTTCGTGTCCTCTAGAGCTGTGGCCACAGGAGGGCCCGGACAGGAGGTCCAGAACCCACGCCTGTCACATTTTTTTAATCTTGAAGGGTCCGAGTCGCGCAGGCCATGAGAGAGGCAGAGTGTCGCGTCAGGTCAACTCAGGTTGACCCTTGCTACAGAAGTGCAGGGCTAACACAAAGTTTGAGCTCAAGTTATGCGGCATACTTTGTAAGCTCAGTGCTGTCCTCACACTTTGCAGGGAGGAAAACAACCAGAAGAGCGGGCGCGTGGTTTTCCCGAAGCCCACGCAGCATAATAACGGGACTGAACTTTTAATCTGGCTTCAGCCAGAGCTTGAGTTTAGCCACCTCGTCTTCCACAGTGCCTGTGAAGTTAGTGACAGTGAAACCACTGCAAAATGGAACTTTAAAAGAGTTGAGGTTTTTTTTCTTTTTCTTCCTTTTGTGTCTTTCATTTTTTTTTTTTTCATGCACTTTTACATTAGGATGGGCAGCGGTTTTTCGATACCATTGAGAATTATGTAGCCATTTGGAGCATAAAATCATTCTTTATGTGGCAGGATAAAGTTATAGATTTGTTCTTTTTCACTTATGAGACGGTCTCCCTGCGTAGTTCAGGGTAGCATCGAGCTCACTATGTAGTCCAGCCTGCGTGGCTCTGCCTCCTAAGTGCTGAGATTACAGGCATGCGCTACCAGGTCTGGCTGAGTTCAAACTTCTTGAACCACTTATCAACAGAAAATTTCAGATTAAGAGATTTTAAGAGGATAGAAAAATTAAAGAGGATAGAGATGCTGATGGTGTGTTCCTTGAAAATAAAAGTGTTCACACTACTTCGTGACTCCCTAGAAAACTTTAGTTACCTGTGACTTAGGAAAAGGTCATTTTATTTGATGGAATATGATCTGTATAACTGAAAGCACGTTCTAATTTGGCAGTAAAAGAATCTGTTCAAACCTAGCTCTGAGGAGATGAGGGTCCTTTTACCTTAGATCACCATCTCATTTACAGGTGGGCAACAGCCTTTTGGGGGTGGGGTAAGGGGAAGCCAAAAATAATACACAGCTCCACACGTGCTGTGTCACTTTCAGCCATCTTCAGCTCAGCCTCCCGTGGGAAATACAACAGGCTCCTGGCCTTCTGGGGCTGGCATCTACTTATCCTGTCACTTCTTTTGGGCTAAAGAGAGAAGCCGAGATTGCTGTGTGTTGAGTAGGAGGAAGTTTGGAGAAGTTGCTTATCTCTATAAAAAAAATCTCTAAAACTTTTAAAGATGTTTTGTGCTAGTTGCACCACCACTGGAATCTTGTAGTTTTTTTCTGCTTCACAGGGCCGCATTTTGCCTCTGAGAAGGGAGGGTCCAAATGGCAGTTTATTAAGTTGGGTTTATACTCTGTTGTATAAGGGCTGTAAATGCCACTGCTCAGCCCAGTGGTGTTAGAAATAGCTCCAGTGGAGCCTTCCCAGAGTGGAAGGAAACTGAAGGTGATCCAAAGAACGCTGATGCTTCCTCTCACATTTCAGAGGGAAAGTGCCACCTCAAGGCAGCAGCATGCTGGCAAGTGAAGTAGTTAAAACTAGAAACCATCTGAGTAGTGCCTAGGACCCTGGTAACATGAAACTTTTATCCCAGATTCCCTGCCCAGCCCTCATCACTATGCTCCAAGCATCCAGTGATAGGATAATTCCAGATACCTATGTATCACGCTCGGTGGCCCAGGCACAGTTTGTTTGTTTGTTTGTTTTCCTTTCTATCGGTACCGGGGATCGAACTCAAGACTGCCTGCTTGCAAGGCAGGCGCTTATGCCACCGAGCTAAATCCCCAGCCCCACCAGGCACAGTTTTAATTGGTGCAAGGCAGGGACATGGGGGTCGAACCCACGTTCTTCACACTGAGCTACATCCCCAACCAGTTTTTATTTTGAGACAGGATCTCAGTAAGTTACCCAGGCTGGGTTGGAAATTTTCATCCTGCCTTGGCTTCCTTGAGTGCTGAAATTACAGAGTAGGTGGGAATGCTGCTGCACTGCTGCTGTTACTAGGGTCAGGTGCCTTTTTTATACTTTATGTAGGAGTCAGTATTCCCATGCCTTAGGGCATGTTATAAATTTTGAGTGGGTTTTTTTCCCTGTGAAAATAAATTTTTAAAAGATTTACATCTAATAGCTCATTAATCCTTAAAACAGCTTGTTAGGGTAAGTACTGTTGCTAAATCTATTTCACAGTGAGAGAAGGGAGGCATAGATTTGACACAGAAAAGCTTTGGATGGTGATATCAGACCTTTCTGAGTAAGTGACTGCTGAACCCAGGGTCTAGAACATGACGACAGTGAACTAAGGAAGGTCACAGGGACAGAAGAAATAGTTGATAGCAAGATTGCTTTACGTTATTCGAGTTTATAAAGAATATAATTTATCGGGGCTGGGGATTTAGTTCAGCGGCATAAGCGCCTGCCTTGTAAGCAGGCAGTCGTGAGTTCGATCCCTGGTACGGATAAAAAAGGAAAAAGGCAAAAAAAAAAAAAAAATATATATATATATATATATATATATAATTTATCATAGTTCACTGAGAGGGTTCTTTTTCGCAGCACCCTCACATACTTTGTGCTTGTACTTTGGTTATTTTTCTCAGTGTCCCTTTAAATTGTGACACTGAAGTTTTTTGGTTTTATTTTTCGTATTCTGCAGGCATTGGGTTTGCCTATCACAGATGAACAAATCCAAGAGATGAAATCCAACCTGGACAACATAGACTTCAAGATGGCAGCTGAACAAGAGAAAAAATTACGGCATGACGTGATGGCTCATGTGCACACGTTTGGCCACTGTTGTCCGAAGGCTGCAGGCATCATCCATCTCGGCGCCACCTCCTGCTATGTTGGAGACAATACAGTAGGCCCCTCTGCTGTTCATATCAAAGGCTCAATGTTTATAATTCACTTACACATTTTATTTTCCAGCTAGGCATGGTGATGCACGTATATAATCCCAGCACCCTGTGAGTCTGAATAACAAGGATTGCTGGTACAAACTCACCTGGGGCAACTAAGCATGACCCTGGCTCAATTTAAAAAACAGCAAAGGTCTGAGGATGTAGCTCAGTGTGAAGCCCTGGTTCAATCCCCATTGCTGCAAAGGAGAAAAGTATTCTTTCCAAAGGCCATTAAAACTTTGCTGTGGCTTCTGAAAAGAAAGAAGGATTGCATTAAAATTGTCAAGACAAGGGCCAGGGATCTGGAGGTCATGAGTTTGATCCCCAACACTAAAAAAAGTCAAAACCTTTGATTATCAAAATTGTCTTGGGCTGGGGATTTAGCTCAGGAGCATAAGTGCCTGCCTGGCAAAATTGTCTTACAAGCACTTCAAAAGTAGCGGCAAGCATTTCCATGAGAGTTTACTAGGTGCCAAGCACTTTACACATACTACTTTGTTTATTTGTAAAAACTGTTGTAAGACATAGATGTATTGTTTCCATTGTTATTATTAAAGAACAGAGTTTCTTAAATTGCAGGAAGCTTGCTCATTTCACATAGTGTTGAATTTTGGTAGGCGAATCCAGTATAACCTTCACCACACTCTAGTTTTAGACTACATCATACCAAGGAGGTCTCTTGGTTACATTCGGTCCCTACTGCCTCCAGTCCCACTGCACTATAGAGAGGCACTATAAAGTGTTCTCATCAATAGAATTGGAATGTCTATAGTCTTTTGAGTCTGACTTTTATTATCCTCCTTTTACAGATAAGCAAACTTAAAGAACCAGCTTTCAGATACAGAGCTAGAGAGCCAGATAGAATGAATCCCACCCCATTCCAAGGATTGAACCCAGGCTCTCATATATTCTAAGCAAGTGCTCTATCTCTGAGCTACACCACCACCTACCCCCCTTTTTTTTTTTAATACACAGTCTTGGAACTGGGGATTTAGCTCAGCCTCACAAGCACCTGCCTAACAAGTGTGAGGCCATGAGTTCAATTCCCAATATCAACAACAAAAAAAAAAGGGCTCAGAGTCTTACCACATAGTCCAGACCAGGCTCCAAATCACATGTAGGTGGCCAGGGATTTAGTTCAGTGACACAGAACCTGCCTGGCCACCCTGTGGTCCTGAGTTCAATTCCTGGTATTCAAAACCTGTATGTAGCTTGGGCTGGCTACATACCCAATCACACCTGTATGCCAACATACTTAGCTCACCTTTTAAGTCTTCTAAGTGGTACCTAATTAAAGGCATCTGTGTATGACTAGTCAGATAATGGAAGAGCAGTACTCTTAGAAAAATCCTTTTGAAAAGTACCCCTTGTGTACTTTACAATAATTACTGTCATATGTAAACACGTGTTAGAGTTGGCCTAAAATACATCTTTTACCTCCTTCTATAGCGTCAGAGCTCAACATGGTGGCACGTGCCTACAATCCCAGGATTCTGGGAGGCTGATTCAAAGGCTGGAAGCTGTGCGTGGTGGCACACACTTGTAATCCCAGCACTTGGGAGGCTGAGGCAGGACAGTTGCTGTGAGTTTGAGGCCATCCTGGGCTACATAGTGAGTTGAAGTCCAGCCTGAACTATATAGTGAGATTCTGTCTCAAAAAAGCATAAAAAAAGGCTGGAGATACAGCAAAGTGGGAGGCCCTGGATTCGGTTACCAGTGCTGCAAAATAACAACAAAAAAGAAAGTAGCCTTAAATTTCTTAAACTTTGATGTTTTGCATCATGCCCTTCCTTGTTAGCAACTATAGAATGAAAAAAAGGGAAATAACAGCATAATCCCATATGCAAGTTTCTCAGACACTCCTATCTAGTCCACAAACTTTGTGGACTCGTTCATTACTTAGTCATTAAAGATAGCATATACATTGGGTTTTGGTTTTTGGGGTTTTTTTTTATTTAAATTTTGTTTGTTTGTTTGTTTTGTTTTGTCTTTTTCCTTTTTATCGGTACTGGGGATCGAACTCACAACTGCCTGCTTGCAAGGCAGGTGCTTATGCCGCTGAGCTAAATTCCCAGCCCTCTACATTGGGTTTTGTAGTATAAAAGATATGTCCATAGCCAGGTGTGGTGGCTGTAATGTGGTAGGCTGAGGCAGGAGAATTGCAAGTTCAAGCCCAGCCTGGGCAATTTAACAACTTAAGACCCTGTCTTAAAATTCTTTTAAAAACTGTTTTTTTAAAGGATCTAGGAGTATAACTCGGTATAGAGGTCCTAGGTCTGTTCCCCATTCCACAAAAATGAATAAGTGTATGTTATGTTCATTATGGATTCAAAGAGGACTATCTACTGTTGACATACTAATCAGAACAGCCTTGTGTTAGCACTGTCTGGTATACACAGTGGGTTGGTAAAGATGAGCTAGGCTGTGAGCTGAGAAACCAAGCCATGATACCTAAAGAATGATATGTAATCAAACTGTCTGACAAAGCTATCTAATAATGTGAGACCGTTGCATTTTTCTTTGCAGGACTTGATTATTCTTAGAAATGCATTTGACCTGCTTTTGCCAAAGGTAAGAAACTGGCAGGAGTTTCTTTGCTGCTTTAGATTCCCTATGATAGGAGATGGGCTTCAATTACAAGTAATCAACACAGCATCTTCCCTGTAGATTATCGTTTTCTCAGGTCCATGGAGCTGATCTGTAATAGTTTTTCTGCAATAGTCTTAAAATAGTTTTGTGGCTTTTGAGGCAGTCAGTTCAGTTTTCAGATGTTGATTGCTGCCTCTGATCCATGGAGCTGTTTGTCTATTTTTAGGTTAAACCAGTGTAAGTGAATACTTTTGAAATCAGAGATTTTTAAATGAAGAAAATGAAGCCAGAGGCTTGTTGTGGCCCAGGATATGTGGCCCAGGATTGATTTGGGGAGGGGAATAAAAGGCGAAAATGGAAATAAAACTTTTGTAAATGGTGAGAGGACCAAGAGTTGGAAGGGGCAGGGATGGTGGAGTTGGGGGCAGATGAAAAAAGAATCAAGATGTGTTATATACATGTACTAGCTCCCCATAGTAAATACAACTGCTATGTACCATGAATATGTACCAATAAAAAATAAATTTTTAAAAAACATGATTTCGTTCTGTTTTTCTGCAATAGTCTCAAAATACTTTGTGGTTTTGAAGTAGTCAATTCAGTTTTCAGATGTTGGTTGCCATAAACCCTGGTGGGACAGTGTAGGCTACCAACGAGGAGATGGGGATACTATCTCCCCTGAGCTGGAGGTCTCCCTCTTATAAAACTGTCTCAAGGTTTATTTCCTGATTACAGAATGAACTCACCATGAATTCACTCTCTATCCACCCCATGGTCTTTCTTGTAGCTTGCTAGAGTGATCTCTCGACTTGCTGACTTTGCTAAGGAGCACGCCAGCCTACCCTCCTTAGGTTTCACACATTTCCAGTAAGTAACAAAATTGCATTTGGGAAATAGACCAACTTTTACATGCTTATGGGTTTTAGTGAAGAGGGTGAATCTCCAAGTTTAACTCACATAGATAACCTGAATGCTGGTAAGAAATGAGCCTGATAATCCATCTGAAAAGCCATACTTGAGAGAAAGTAAATCTAGCTGGGGATTTAGCTCAGTGGCATAAGCTCCTGCCTTGCAAGCAGGTGGTTGTGAGTTCGATCCCTCGTACTGGAAGAAAGGGGGGGAAAAAAAGTAAATCTAACAACAGTTCATTTGTTTTGGTTTTTCTTTTATCTTTTTGAGGCAGGGTCACTGCAGTTCAGGCTGGCCTTGAACTCATTTTGTAGCTCAGGCTTCCTTGAACCCAGTGATGCCCCTGTTTTAGCTTCCTAAGGGCAGGGGTTGTAGGCATGTGCCACCGAGCCAGACTCACTTGGAAAAAATTTATCAAAAGCCTTAGAAAGCAGTTTCATACTCCTTAATTTAGTAATTCTCTTCTTGAGAATACAGTAACTCTCCTGTCTCAGCCTCCCAAGTGCTGAGATTACAGGTTGCACCACTATCCCCAACTGACAATAAATATTGATTATTCTGATTTATGATACAAATATTTTTCTATGGTTTTCAAAGTATATACATTTTCATAGTTAATAAAATTCTTTTTTTTTTTTTTTTTTTTTTTTTTTGGTCTTTTTCATTTTTATCGGTACTAGGGATCGAACTCACAACTGCCTGCTTGCAAGGCAGGCGCTTATGCCGCTAGGCTAAATCCCCAGCTCCCATGGTTAATAAAATTCTTAAAAACTAAAAACATCTTTGGGATGCTGGTGGCTATTAGTTGTGGAGGAGTGGTGTCCTAACATCTGTCCACCTCTTGTTTACTTTTCAGTGCTAGGGATCAAACCCAGGGCTGTGAGCTTGCTAGGCAAGCACTGTCCGCCTGGGCTACCTCTCTAGCCCTGCCTTATGTTTTGATGAGATGTTACAGCAACAGGGATATCACCTCATCACTGATGAAAGCCCTTTAGACTTAATCTTCCTTAAAGTTAGGACTGCCATGCTTGTGTGTGTATGTTACAAGAAATGGAAGTTAGGGTATCACTCATGCTAAACAAGCACCCTGCCACTTAACTACACCCCAAACTGGACCTAAGACTTGTAGACAATGTGAAGAAATCTTTTGTGTGACTTGACTCATGGTAGCTGTTGCCTTCCCTGCTGACTTCCTTACACACCACTGTGCACCATCCTCGCCTCTACCTGAGGGAGGCAGAGTGCTCAGAAGATCCAGAGCTTTCCAGTGCTCCTTAGCGATGCTGCTTAGGCATCACCCCGGGATGTCGGCTCATACATTTAAAACAAAACAGGAGTGTAATCCCAGCTCTGAGGAGGCTGAGGCAAGAGGATTGCTGCCAGAGTTCTATAGCAAGTTCAAGCCCAGCCTGAGCTACGTAGACCCTGTCTCAAAAAAAAAAAAAATTTTTTTTACTATGATATTAATGTACCATGAAATCTTCCCTTTTAAAGTATGTAGTTCATTAACTTGTAGTATATTCAGTACATTCACAGGACTTTGTGGTTATTACCACTAATTTCAGAATATTTTCATCACCCCAAAAGGAAATACGCTATGGTTGTTCACAGTACTCCTGTACCCCTTGGCCTAGTTCCTGGCTATCACTGACCTGCTTCTTGTCTGTATATGGAGTTATATTAATGAAATCACGTACTATGTAACCTTTTGTGACTGACTTTGACTTGTGCAACATTTTCAGTATTCATCCACAAAGCATGTGTTAGAAATTCACCTCTTTGCATGACTTAGTAAATATTCAATTGTATGGATATATTGTACAGTATTTTGCTTACCATCAGTGGGTGGACATTCATGTTTCTAGTTGTGGCTATTAGGAGTAATGCTATCTGAACTCCTGTTTGAAATGTCTTTCCTTTCTTATAATGGTAATCTATTAGCAGGATAAGAAAAATTACCATGCAGTTAATCTGGGGATATACTGCAGCTTGTGATGTGTCTTGATGTTACCACCTGTCCAACTTACGAGTCTAAAAGGAGAGAAATTCCACATGAAGTGGCCTGTGTTCTCTGTTAGAACTTGGGTGTTATTGTAGCTCGTTCATTAATGTGTTTAATGTCCAGAAACAGACCTCAGGGGATTGATTGGAGTTCAGAAACAAAGCTGTTAGCATCCTCTAGTTATATGTGCTTGGGGTCGTCTCCAAGGCATGACTGCCTCCTTCCATAGGCCGCCCTTTGCTGCCCATCTAGAGCACCCTTGACTAGAGCCATCTTCATTTTTAGCACCTAAGGCATCAACAGTTTTTTTCTTTTTCCACTGTAGTGTAAGTTCCACTGGACATGCATTTTGTTCTCTACTGTATTTCCAGAACAAAGAACACCCTAGGTAGCTTGGCAAATGTTTGTTACATGAGTGTCTGATATATTTCTTGGCAGTGTCTAGGGCTGTAGTCATGAACAAGGAAACATTGTCACCGCTCTCATATAAAAATGACAGTAAGCCTTGTGTATTATAATCTTGGAGTATTTATAGATGACATTTACTCCCCTTAATTATTATTTGCTCAAGCCTTTTAATATTTTGTTTTGGGGGCCAGGGATATAGCTATATATAGCTGTATAGATATTGCCCAGCAAGCACAAGGTCCTGAGTTGGAGTCCTGGTACAAAAAAAAGGTTTTGTTTTGTCTTTTAATTAGTCCCCTTAAAGGAGTGCTGCTGGCTGTTAGGAGAAGGAACGAAGCCTTTCCGAAGTTGGGTCTCGACTTGACACCGAGTTTTCTCTCTCTTGGTTGCGTTCAGGCCTGCTCAGCTGACCACAGTTGGGAAACGTTGCTGTCTTTGGATTCAAGACCTTTGCATAGATCTCCAAAACCTGACACGTGTCCGTGATGACCTGCGCTTCCGGGGAGTGAAGGGCACCACAGGCACTCAGGCCAGCTTCCTGCAGCTCTTTGAGGGTGATCATGATAAGGTGTGCAGGAGCTGCATAAACTCGGTGGTGGCTGCCCAAGAAATGAGGCTCTGGGTGTTTGGGCTGGAAGGAGGTTGGAGATTAGGGGCTGGGCAGGATAACTGTTGAGATCCTCTTATAGTGGGCACCTCAGATTCTGCAGGGGTGTATTTTCCCCAGGTGGAGCAACTGGACAAGATGGTGACAGAAAAGGCAGGATTTAAGAGGTAGGTACCTCCTGGTTAAGGTGATAGCAGGCCTGTGTTCAGTGTACATCCATAATTGATTAGGGTTCAGAAACAAAGCTATTAGTGTTTTTTGTTTATGTAGATATCACCAAAAATTATGTGACCATAATTTTTTCTTTTAACTTTTTTTTTTCCTCTTTGTTCTACCCATTTCTTCCATCTCTGGCCTGGGTTTTATTTTCTTAAGGTCTAGAATCTTGTTCTTTCGTTTGTTTGTTTCATTTTTGTGAGAGCAGATCTTGGTATGTAGTCCAGGATGGCCCTGAACCTGTAATCCTCCTGCCTCAGCTTTCCGAGTCCTAGGATTTCAGGTGCATACTACCACCATGCCCAGCTAGATTCTCTTTTATTGTTTTATCCCTGAGCTGTTCTCAGCCTAGATTCTGTTTTCTTACAACGTACGGAAATGAATTGCCTTACCCATATTGTTGTTTTTGTTCTTCCTGAGGGCCTCCAGTGGGTTAGTCTGAATCTGACCATTTCCTCTGAGGTCTTTCGGCTCCACCACGGTTTCTGCCAGGCGTTTACATCGAGCTGTGGCAGGATGTGGGCATACAACACTTTCTTTCCTCCTCAGGTCAGAAAAGCTTCCTGAGGAGGAGAAAAAGGGATAGAACAACAGTTTGTTCCAGGGGTAACTGAGCATTGACAGTTGCCTTGTACCTTTTTTTTGTACTGGGAATAGAACTCAGGACCTTGCACCTGGTAGGCAGGCACTGTGCCACTGAGCTATGTCTCCATCCTTGCATTGTGAACATAAGTTTCTTTTCTGTTCATTCCCAGGGCCTTCATCATCACAGGGCAGACGTACACACGAAAGGTAGACATCGAGGTGCTGTCTGTGCTGGCGAGCTTGGGGGCTTCGGTGCATAAGGTGAGGGCAGCGGCAGCGGCAGCGGCAGTGGACCCTTTGGGCACCGCAGCAGACTGTCCCATCCCTGTCTCCCAGTCCTACACCAGTTCTAACAGTCAGGGCCCTGTAAGTGGAGTCTTAAGTTGAGGTTTACCAAAGGCAAAGACTAGTTGCGGCAGTCTCTTAAGAGGCCAGGGATTTAGCTCAGCGGCAGAAGCCCCTGCCTAGCAAGCGCAAGGCTGTGAGTTTGTGAGTTTGATCCCTGGTCCCTCCCCCTCCCCCCCCAACAAAGTTACTCTTAAGAGCCAGGCATGATGGCACACACATGTCATCCCAGCACTCAGATGGGGCAGAAGGATCACCTGAGTCCTAGGCCAGCCTGGGCTACATAGTAAATTCAAGACCAGCCTGAACTACACAGCAAGAATCTGTCTAAACAAAAAGTTGGGAGCAGGGTATGTAGCTAAGCAGTACAGTGCCTCCTGGGCAAGCACAAGGTCCTGAGTTCGATCCCCAACACCAAAAAAAAAAGGTTACTCCAAGAATATGAAGTGCACATCTTGTTGAGGGGTACAGTTAATCTTGCCATTGTCATTCCCGATGTCCTAAAGCGTGCTGCTCAGAAGTGTACCACTGCCCCCCTCCCCGCAACTCTTAAGGAGCAGAGGGAGTCCTGGGTGGGCTGCACCCCAGGAGACTTTGGGCAGGACAGGCTGGTGCTCAGCTCACTGACAGCTGAACAGCAGGGCACATGAAGATCTCGTCTTCTTCACCAGCCCTGCTCCTAGCTCCACACCACAAGAGTCGACTGATGTCCCTTCTCCTGCTTCCCCCAGATTTGCACCGATATCCGCCTTCTGGCAAACCTTAAGGAGATGGAGGAGCCCTTTGAAAAACAACAGATTGGTGAGTGTAGGAGACCCAGAAGCACCTCAGCGCTGCTAGAGCTGTGCATGGACTCCTGCTAAGAGCTCACCTGGTGGGCTGGGGATTTAGCTCAGTGGCATAAGCGCCTGCCTTGCAAGTGTGCAGTCATGAGTTAGATCCCTGGTACTGATTTTAAAAAAAGCTCACCTCGTGCCACACGCTGCTTGGGCATCTGCTGTCCCCTGAAGTCTTTCCACCTTGGCTCTTGTCCCCTTATGTGGGCAGGCTCCAGTGCGATGCCATACAAGCGGAACCCCATGCGGTCAGAACGATGCTGCAGCCTCGCCCGTCACCTCATGGGCCTTGTCATGGACCCGCTGCAGACAGCATCTGTGCAGTGGTTTGAACGCACGCTGGATGATAGTGCCAACCGGTTAGTAGGTCCGGGGGTGTTGCATACAGGGTGTCGGGACCAGAGGAGGAGGTGCCTAAAGGCAGAAGGACACATTGGAGCACCTCCATGTTGTCTCCCCAAAGTACCCAGAGTCCAGCAAGGCGGTAAGAACAAAGAACAGGAGGTTGAGATGTAGCTCAAGGACTAAGTACTTGTCTAGCACTGCAAAGATACAAAACAACAACAGAGAAAACTGAGCTAGGCTTGGTGCCATGTGCCTCAGGAGGATACTGAAGCAGGAGAATTGCTTAGGGATTTGGGGTCAACTTGAGTAACGAGATCTTAGAACAGTGTGGTAGTGTTAGATGTATTTGATGTATCTCTGGGAGCAAAGAGCAGCATTAAAGGAAATAGAGAACATTTCAGTCATTTAAAGACAAGAAAAATCAAAGAACAGCTTAAGGAGTTCCTCTTAGCTGGGTCGCCCTGAGGAGTGGAGTGAAATGTGGCAGAAAAGGCAGGACTTGATCACAGATGGTCATCATCTTATGGACAGTGCCATCTTGATTAGTCACAAGGTAGGTCAGAGGAAATTGTCACCACACACACATGCCCCAGCATATGCATGGTTTTCTGCTTTACATCTGTACTCACCTGGAGCAGATTCATACTGCCACCACCACAAAACCAAAATCCATGGTGCTTCACCCCTTAGGTGACATGGTATAATTTCCCATGTATTACATACCTGTCTTCCTGTAGACTTTTTTTTTTTTGGTACCAGGGATTAGACTCACCACCTTGTACTTGCCAGGCAGGTACTTGAGCCTCTGAGCTAAATCCCCAGCCCCGTATACTTTTTCTTTCTTTCTTTCTGGGTTTTTGTAGTGTGTGGATTTGTTTTTTGAGACAAACTCATTATGTAGTTCAGGATGGCCATGAACTTGCAGTAATCCTCCTAACTCAGCTTCTTGAATGTTGGAATTGCAGGCATGTGCCCTTACAATTGGCCCTCCCATATATTTTGCAATACCTAATACAGTACTAGTACTATTTATTGTAAATAATTGTGATACTGTTTTTAGGGGACAAAAAACCAATATGTATGTTCATTACTGATACAAATTTTTTCTCAAATATTTTGCATCCACAGTTGGTTGAATCCATGGATACCAAACTCTCATGATCTGAGGGCCAACTGTGTTTTAGGAGGGCATGGCATAATCTGATTTGCTCAATAAATCATGTTGGCAACTGACAGTGATGACACACGCCTATAATCCCAGCAATACCCTATCTCAAAAAAGTAAAGTAAGGTGGCTGGGGCAAAATAACTAGGTAAAAAGGACTGAGTAGCTCAGTAGTGGAGCACTTGCTTGGCATGCTCTGGGCACTGGGTTCCATCACCAGAGTTGCAAAAAACAAAAACTCAACCTGACAACAGTTGGGAGAATCCAGTCGTAGGAGTCAGGGATCCAGGCAGAAAGGTAGGAGGATCCTTTTAAAAGTCCAGACCCACATCAGCACAGTGGCCCTGTAGATGGAAAGGGGATGTGGGCCGTCAGCAGCTACTGGCCGGCCTCAATTTGGTGATAGTGCCCGTGGCATCTACTGAGGCAGGAGCCACACGAAAGAGCAGGGATTGGGTCAGTGGGAAAAGGGCGGAGGCCAGCAAGAGGTTTCCGGGTGTAGGCGCTGGTAGTGGGCAGGTGGTCTGGACTCATCGTGCTAAAGATATGAGGCTCGTGAGGATGTTAGGGTGTAGTCCATGGCTGGAGAAGTCAGTAGGGTGGTCTCTGAAGTTGTGGTTTGTTTACAGAGCTAATCAGATGGCTGTTTGTTTTGTAGGCGAATCTGCTTGGCTGAGGCATTTCTCACTGCAGATACCATACTGAGTACGCTGCAGAACATTTCTGAAGGATTGGTGGTGTACCCCAAAGTAAGAGAGCTCGATCTAAAGTACAGCATCGGGGAGGAGTTGAGCCATGGAAAGGGATGCATTTTAAACTGATTTTGAGGTCTGGATTCTGGTCCAGGGAGTTCCTCCTTGGAAGTCATCCGGGAGCAGGTTCTATGGGAACCATAGATTCAGCTGTAGAACAAGAGAAAATGGTATTTCCCGTGGCCTGTGGCTAGCAGGCAGGTGTGTTTCCATCTCACACTCAGCTCTTGGGGCTTAGAGCCAAAGTTTAACCCATTTTAGGAGTTTTAAGTTTTAGGAATTGTTCTTTGGAAGCAGCTTCCAAAAGTTTCCTCAAATCAACCTTCCCCTTTTTAAAATCAAGGTAAATCTCTGGATTTGTAAGAAAACAAAAACACAGTATAAAATTGAACAACTCTTAACGTCTCTCTGTCTGCATAAATAATAGTACTTCATGTCCCTGCTGTGCACTTAGCTGGACATGGTTGGTATCTCGTGTGTGTGTGACTTTGTGACCTTGAGGCATCTATCTTGGCCTTTCATTTTGTTTTCTTCTAGGTCATTGAACGGCGCATTCGGCAGGAGCTGCCTTTCATGGCCACCGAGAACATCATCATGGCCATGGTCAAAGCTGGGGGTAACCGCCAGGTACGTAGCCACTGGTGCTGCTGGGTAAACTGAGAGTCACCCCCATCACCCCAGGAAGACTGGGAAAGGGGAAGTGTTTCTTTCAAACCTTCAGTCACAGTATTGCCACGAACCAGTGACCATATTCTGCCATCTCTGGAGAATTTGTGTTGGACTCAGTTTGTTAGAAGTGAATCACATAATCACTTCTAGAAAAAATCCACTCTAAAATCAAGAACTTAGTTGGGAAACCCCATGGGAAGTGAGCAGGAAGCAAGAGCACATGGCGCATGAGAAAAGCGGTGACCACCTTGGGGTCCTCTGATGTGGCGAGGTTGAGGTCCCGATGGAGTGAGACTGCAGTGGCTCTCCTCAGCCCAGAGGGCTTTTCTCTGCGCGTCTGCTGTCTGCCAACAGAGTTCAGCATTGTTGGTGACCTAACTCTGCCTCACTCTTCCCAGGATTGCCATGAGAAGATTAGAGTGCTTTCCCAGCAGGCAGCTGCTGTGGTTAAGCAGGAAGGGGGTGACAACGACCTCATAGAGCGGATCCGGGCTGATTCCTACTTCAGTCCCATTCACTCCCAGCTGGAGCGCTTGTTGGATCCTTCCTCCTTCACAGGCCGGGCGTTCCAGCAGGTGAGCGGTGCATGGTGCTTCTAGGAAGTCTCCCAGGGCCCTCTTCTACCCTGCTGGGCCTCAGAACTGGGGTACTCTCCTTGATGTCTCTTACGGGAAGTACGAAATGGGGCTGGTTAGAAGTCAAGGTAGGCTGCTGGCCTAAAATATAAGGTTTGGCTGTTTGGAGTTCCCTTAAATATTTCCCTTCTGAGTTTCTCCGAAACTACTTTATCTCACTGTGGGCTTGTGAGGATTGTAATGTATGTCTAGCATACTACTTAGCACGTGATGTTTGCTCAGTAAGACTTGTCATTTTCTTAGCCTTTTGAAAACAACTAGAATTTAAATTTTTACCAAGTACATAATGTGTTCAGTATATGTTCAAGCAAACAGTGCATTTAATTCTAAGGATTTAAAGGTACATAGATAAATGCAGGCTAAGGCAAAAGGATCACAAGTTTCATTTCAGCCTGGGTGACATAGCAGGCTAGCAAGACCCTGTTTCAAAATTTAAAAGGAGGCTGGGGGTGTAGCTCAGAGGCCCTGGATTCAATCCTTAGTATTGTCACAAAAGAGGGGAGGGGGTAAGGGTCTGTCACCAAGCAGTAGGTGCAGAGGGCTTGAGCCAGGGTAGTGGTCACAGACACAGATCAGGGGAGACAGGGAGAAGAGGCTGATCACTTGGTGGCTGGGGAAGGGGAGAGAGGATTTCCTGGTGATTGGGTGGAAATGGGGAACCAACTGGGAGTACAGGCTGCCCAGGCCTTTGTGGGGCCCGTGCGGGCTGGGAAGAGGTTTCTGGCCGGCGTTTGAAGAACATACATGCTCAGCAGCATGAAACTATCAAATAGTTTTCAGCAACATTGAAAAGGCATCACCTTGGGGCTGGGAATTTAGCTCAGCAGCATAAGCACCTGTCTTGCAAGCAGGCGGTCGTGAGTTCGATCCCCGGTACCGATAAAAATGAAGAAAAAGACAAAAAGAAAAGGCATCACCTTGACATTTTCCTTTGTCTCCTATTTGCTTTCCTCTTTGGCAGGTACAGAGATTCCTGGAAGAGGAGGTTTATCCCCTGGTGAAGCCATATGCAAATGTGATGAAAGTGAAAGTAGAATTAAGTCTGTAGAGTTCGAAAATTAATAAATGAAGAGTCATGGATGGTTTATTAGCTTTAATGCCAGGACATGAAAATAGTTTGCCTGTAGTGCCTCATTTACCTCGAGTTGCTACCATAAGTTAGTACAGTACCCACGTCTTTAGTACAACAGCAGTGCGTTGTAGTTAACAGCATTTTTTACAGCAACACAAACTCCATCACTACTTGTTGCTAATTATTCCTTTCTGTTCTTCCAAGGTAAATTTTCTAGCTACCTCATGTCTAAAGATGTGGAGTTTCAAACATATATTACATCTGGTAAACTTGAGGTCGTGAGTTCAATCCCCAGTACCACAAAGAAAAAACTATTATGTGTATATTCAGGCAAACTTACCCCTCCAGTTTTTTATTTTTATAAAAATTCACATTAAATTTATGTCTATGATAAAAAAATAAAGATGTAGGGTTATATTATAGTAAACACACCATAAGTCAGACATGCACTTACTGCAGTAACCCATCAGACACAGCTTAGTCTACCTACCTGAAACGCATTTGGAACCCTTCCATTAGCCTTCAGCTAAGCAGTAATGCCACACAAAGCCTCTTTACAATCAAGTGTTCATTTATTAACTGCTACACTACAGAGCCTTGGTTGTTGGGGACACTTGGCCCCATCACGGAATAGAAAAGTTATAAACTGGTAAATCAAGCCACTCAAAGTCAGGACCTTCTCTAGTTCTTTTTATACTGACCTCGTGCTAGTGCTTGTGCTCGTGCTTGTGCTGCTGAGCTAAATATCCAGCCTCTAGTTCTTTTTATATGTTCACCCATTTGTGAAGTAGCAAAAAATTTCTGGTCCTCATAAAGATGAATTTGCTCTGAGTCTAACAAAATAACCCAAATTTGGTGATTTGATACAGTCAGATAACTGTTTTCAGTCATCTGGCCAAAATAATGAAATTTGAAGCGCTTTCCCCTCAAAAAAAATTTGATCATCGGGTTTCGTCAGCTCAAGCTGTGCCTATGTTGTTTCACCTTTTGATAAGGCTGATGTATCAGGAAAATGCTAATTGGGCATGTTGATTTCATCCCGGCATCTGACAGCCTCTAATCCTTGTTTATGTGAGTTGGTAGCTGATTGAACCAACCAGCTGGGTTATAATTACCCACCTGGAGATAATGCACTAGCTGGTCAGATGACTCATTTTATACATTCTCAGTGTCAGGGAAAACAAAAGCAACTGGGTGGGGTAACACAAGCCTGTGGTCCAGTGACTGCGAGGCTGAAGCAGGAGGATGCAAGTCCAAACCCAGCCTGGGCAACCTAGTGACATAAATGAAAATTTGCCAGTGACACAAGACTAAAAATTAACTGAGGCAAAATAAGATTTCATCTGACAAGTATAAATGTAAATGAGGCATATGGCCACATGCCTGTCCACGCAGCCTCAGGAGGCTAAGGCAGGATCTTGGCAGGTTTGAGACTAGTGTGAACTACTACTGAGTTCAAGACCAAACAACGTAGCAAAACGCTCTCTCAAAAAAAAAATTGTGTGTGTGTGATGCTTAGTGTGAGCCACAACTGAGAAGGCAGTTAGTGTGTGTAACTGTAGTAGTGCTCTTTAGATTGCCTAGTGTGAGGGATAAACCGGAGATCCGGCCTTGGAGGAAAGACTGGATGAGGTGCGGTGAAGGGTCCAGGCAGGCGAAGACTTGCCAGTTTGTTGGCGCTCGCCTACTGTGTGCAGGAAGAGTGACTTCCCGGCTGCCCCAGGGATAAAACTGAGCTGAGGATCCATTGTGTAGGGTCTGAGGCTGGCTTGGGCCCGCAGACAGTAGAACCACCAAGACTTTCCTTATCCAGAGTCAGGCAGAAGCCAGAAGATGACCGTGTTAGCAGGAGTGTTGTGAGTGAGGAGAGGCTGAAGCGCTTCAACTCTTGTCTTTCTTTCTGTCTTTTTGTTTTTTCTTTTTCATTTCCTTTTTTTTTTTTTTTTTTTTTTTGGTACTGGAGATCAAACAGGTGCTTATGCCACTGAGCAAAATTCTAGTCTTATCTCATTAAAAGTAGCCAAAACTAGAGCTCCACCTTTTGGAAGAGGACCAGCTCATGGCAATCCAGCCAGCCAGAGTCCACACGCCACAGTGTCGGGCCATCGAGGACTGCACAGAGCTGACGGAAGCTGAGCACATGTAACCCGCAGAACAGTACTGCCTGTTAGACCTGTTAGTCGCTTGTAAAAACCTTGCAGGATGTTTATACTGGGCCTGGCACAAGGAAATTAAGACAAGTTCTGATTAAACATTCCCTCTACTTCCTTCTCTGGTACCCAGCTCCCCAGGAAGCAGCTACTATCAGTATATCTGTAATCTGAGAATATGTTTCATGCTAGCCACCCTGAGGCTGTCAGCCCCGGAACCATCCCCTTCTGCAATTATAGGAAGCTTCCGGTCTCCAGTGACTGGTGGCTAGACTTGCTTCTCCTCCTGGGCTATTTGAATGGGTGGGTTTGTTTGCATGTCTGCTATTTCCTCTTCTGTTCTCTTATCTATCTGTGTACATACTTGAATTACTCTTAAGTATAATTTTGTAACCTATTTTCCCTTGTAACATTTTAGAGGCATTTGGGTAAACTGCAAGTTGGCTGGAAGATAGAACATGTTGGTTATCAAGATTAAATTCAGGGTTAGGCAAGGTTGCAGGGCTCAGAACCACCTAAACATCTGGGCCAATGGACTGTTGGCCTTCTGCTCAGCACTTAATGCTCTCTTCCCATGATGAGCCTAGAGTTCATTTAAGAACTAAGAGGGCTTGATGCTTGTAAACACTCAGAAGTGGAAGCAGAAGGGTTAGGAGCTTCAAGGATGGTATAAATAAATCCTGGGTGGGCATGAGGATTAGTTGAGGCTGCAATGGTAGTGTTGGATCTGACATGAAAGCTACTCAGAAAATAGCATTTTTAGTCAGACATGGTGGCACACCTCTAATCCCAGTACTCGAGGCTGAGACAGGAGGACCATCATAAGTGTCATGGCTTATATCCGTGGCCCCTAAACCTCATGCAATTATGCATTTTTGCTTGGTTCATTGTCTAGCACTCCGATTGGTGGTGTGAGTTCAACACCTGCCTCGGGGTGGAGCCACAATACGATGTAACAGCAGGAAGGTGTATCTGGCGTTCACTAAGGTGTTCATGTCTGGCTGTTTGCAGCCACCAAGCAGCAGCCAGGAATGGCTGCCCCGCCATGCCACACTGCCTTGGAGATAACTTAGTATGGACTGAAACCTCCAAGAACTGTAAGAAATAAACTTTTCCTTCTCTAAGTTTGGGTGTCAGGTATTTTGTCTCAGCTATGAGTAAAAAGTAACTAAGATAATGAGTATGCCTGAACTGCATAGTAAGATCTTACTTCACAAAACAAAAGAGGGCTGGGGATTTAGCTCAGTGGTTTAGGGGCCTGCCTGGGAAATGAAGGTCGTGAGTTCCATCCCTGGTACCAAAAAAAATGAAAAGAGAAAGTTTTTTTTTTTTTTTGGTCTTTTGAGACCGGTTCTCACTATGTACTTCAGGCTGGCCTTGAGCTCACTTTGTAGCCCAGGCTGGTCTCGAACTCGAAATGATCCTCCCGCCTCAGCCTCCTGAGTGCTGGGGTTACAGACATGAGCCACCACGCCTGGCTGAGAAAGTTATTTTTGTTCAGGAAGGCTTACCAGGCTTCTCTGTGGTCAGTAAGGAAGCAGGCAGCACTTAAGTTTGATTTGCATGCCATGGAAAAGAGTAATACCTTGAAATAATGGGAAACATCAACCTAGAGAATAGACAGCAAAGGTGCCAGGAGAAGAAACAAGAAGCCAGTTCACCCTTTCTATGAGCCAACCTGTGCTCGGGCTGGGAAACGAGTACGCCAACATCCCACCACCCCACCTAAGCAGCTGGTTGATTCAGAGAAATACAGGTTGAGCTGTTAGCAACTGAGGTAGAAAACAATTTAATCTTGTATTGTTTGATTGACTTTGCAGGCCTAGAGCTGGTAGTCTAAGCATCTGTTGAGAGAATAACAAAAACATGCAATGCAATGTAGCAACTATGGGGGATTTTCTTCTGTCTCACCTTTGAAACCCATTATTGTTCTCAATATTGTTTGGCTCCATTTTATTGTTTTATTTGATGTTCTGTTTTGGTTGATTTTACTCTGTTCTGTTTTCTTTGATTTTATTATGTCTAATGGTTAACAAATTGGAAGAAAACAAGAGGCACTATGACAGCCATTGTTGGTTCCCTATTCTGTTTTTTTAGGGGTTTTGTTTTTGTTTTTATTTTTTGCCATGACCCATTACAGCTCCTGAGGTTCTTGGGGTTAAGGACCACTAGAGGATGAGAAAGGTAAAGAAAAGACAAAGAGGGGCTGGGGGATTTAGCTCAGTGGCCTAAGCGCCTGGCTTGCAAGCGCAGCACAGTGGAGAGTTCAATCCCAGGTACCGATAAAAAAAAAAAAAGAAAAGACAAAGCTGGGGTCAGGTGAAACCCTTATCCTCCTGAAGGGGGAAAGGAACTGCTCAAGCACTGTAGCACCTTTATTTGTACACTGGGAAAGATGATGTCAATTTCAGCCCCTCTGCCTAGCAACCCATTACTTTGCAGGCCTGGCCCCTGGCCTTCTTGGTGCTGGAACAACTTGTTTACATAGCTTGTTTTGGTCTCTCTGTTTTTCCTGGGCTGGCCTTGCTTTAGCCCCACACATGTGATCAATCTCCAGCTTAAGTAGCTCCCTACAGTTTTTGTTTTGAAACAGGGTCTTGCTGTGCAGACCTTGAGGCTGGCCTTGAGCTCACTTCATAGCCCAGGCTGGCCTCCAGCTTGCAATGATCCTCTTGCCTCAGCCTCCCAAGTGCTGGGATCATAGGCCTGTGCTACCATACCCAGCTTCCTATTCTGTTTTAAAGTCCCATATCACTTCCACTGTTTTGTTTTGATTGGCTTTATTCTGTTTTGTTTAGTTTTTTCTCTTTAAAATTTAAAGAAGAATAAGTCGAAAAAACTAGGGTAGGCTAAGCACA